TATATATATATATATATATATATATATATATATATATATATATATTAAGTAATTCCTTGGAAAATAAATTGTAAATTATTTATTAAATATATAATAATATATATATAATAATATAATTGTTTATTTTATTACTATTGTAGTTCTAGGAATTTATAATGTGACCGATAGAAGGTCGATAGCCTGATAACAGGTTACTCAAATTAATGTTCATTTACTTCTCACAGTGCCACAGCCGAAATGTACATACTGTTGTATGAATTACCTAATTATTACTCCTTAAAACATGATGCGCTCCTTTCCATTAAAAGAGATACATTTTGAGTCAGTTGGAGCGGTAAAAATAAAATCAACAGAAGTATTAAAGGCACTAAGAGAAAAAAATTTTCAACATTGTTTCAATCAATGGAAAATATGAGTGGAGCGATTTATCAAATTTGGAGGAGAATATGTAGAAGGGGAGAAATGTTAAATTATTAAAAACTGTAAATAAAATGATTTTAAAGTAAAAATCTCGTTATCTAGTAGCTATGCCTCGTTTAATGGTATAAGACAGGGAGGGGCAAGTCAAAGTTACTGGAGGGTCAATTTTTGGAAAATTAAAATCTAGCGGGCCAGAGCATAATAAATTCAACACACACGACAAGAATAATACAAAGAAACTGATATAGTAGAATAGTCCGGTTCAAACAGCTTTTGTTGAAAGCTATATGTATACATTTAGAAGGTAAACTTTAAAATTGTATGATATAATTTGAAAATATAGCACGGGCCAGATAAAAAAGGCTCGTGGGCCACCAGTTGCCCACCCCTGGTATAAGGTATTGTGAATATAATAGTGGTATAATTTAAATATTGGTTTTAGTAATGGTAGGGGTGTTGGTTCATAATGTAGCATCAACAAGGTTTGAACTCTAGTTGCATAACTGCATCAAGGGGTGCTAAATTATTATGCTCCTCCTTATATTGACCCTTAATATTAATGTTATGTACTGCGGCTATACCTCATGGATCAACTAAACAGCAACTATCGTAAACAGTGCCGTCGTTCGTGAACAGGCAACATGGGCGATTGCCTAAGGCACTTAAAATAAATTCAGAGCTCACAATTTGTCGAGTTAGAATAGTTAAATATAATTAGATATGTAAGGAAATTGTACTGATTTTTCTTAAAACCTTTTGACAGCACTGATCGTTAACAGGGGCGGCTCCAGAGCCTTGGTTTGGGGGGGGGGGGGAAGTTATAATTTTACAAAATCTTATAACAAAAAAAAAAACAACAATTTTTCCAACACAAATCCAAGTCGTCTATTTTTAAAATTGGCAAAAATATCAATAATATGATCTATTTGATCTGGAATATCTACTTTATGACATATATTAATTAGACATAATGCTGATAGTCTATCTTCAATCATTCTTGAACGAAGCCAGGTTTTTAGTTTCCGAAGTGTGGAGAAACTCCTTTCAACCGTCATATCTCTATGTCTCTATCAACATACTTGTGCGTGTCGTATGATAGTCCATATTATAATCAGTGGCGGATTAGGAGGCAAGCTAAAAGGCTTATAGCCTAAAGCGGCTTTTTTGGAAGGGTGACTTTTTTTTTTATAGAATTAAGTGTTATTATTAACTTATTAAGTAGGTATATTTATTTTAATATATATTTTTTTATAATTTTCATATAAACACGAATAAAAATAATTTTAAAAAGGTATAATAATATATTAATATGTACATTGTATGATGCGTACATATAAGCTATAGTAAGAATATTACAATTATTATTATAATTTGAAAATATTTTATTTGTAATAAGATAATTACAGTTAGTTACTAGTTATTATCAATAACTTATTACTAATAACTAACTTATTACTATAACTACTTATGTACTTACTGGGAACATTCGACTATTCAAGTACAGGTATTTTCATATCTGGCTAATTATATTTCTGTTATATGATTGTATAAACATTGTTTATTTGTACTGGTAATAATGGTATCTGAAGTAAAATAATAATCATGAAATATTTTATTTTTAGAAGTTTTCTATTTTAAAGATTTTATTTTTTATATATATATTTTTTTTTTTTTGGTAAAAAAACTGAATAAAATTTGAAGAGAAGGGTTTAGATCAAATATTGTTGGTTCCTTAGTAGAGTGATAGGGGGGGGGGGCAGAATGAATAAGCCTAGGGGCACCAAAACGCTAAATCCTCCACTGATTATAATATGCATTTTTTATTAACAATATAATTTTTTTTATAAATACGGTACGGGCTTGGGGGGCCGCGGCCCTAGCCCCCCTGGATCCACCCCTGATCATAAACAGAATGCAATCGGGATTAGGGGTGGCAAAAAAAATCGATATTTTTCTTCCCATAATATCAGCACATCAATATTTAATATTATTTAAATTTTTGATGTATCGTTTACTGATATATGGAGGTCAGGGAAATTTTTGCCATCCCTTATCGGGATAACCGTGGAACTATAATTTCCTTATGTCGCACGTTGTTCACTAGCACTCCGATGGACAGTTTAAATTTTGGAGATATTTTGTTGTTCTTCCATGAGCCAACAACCTTGATAAATACAACAAACACTATCATCTTATATCAATTTTAGTTTATTTTTTTCGGGACGTTTCGTTCTTTTACGAAGCGTGTTTTATACTGTAATAAAATAACTGTTACTTTCATTATTTACTTGGAAGTTTAAATCTGTTTAGCTTGTATTTTTATTCATAATCTATAATACACCAGACACGTGTAAAAACTATTGATTTTGTGTTTTATTACGTGTTAATACACATGAAGTGTCCGGTAAGATGATAAGTTGATTGTATTATACTTTTTGAAATAGATGATTATTGTTTTCAAGTTATTATTATTTTTTAAATTTTAGCATTTACGGGTTTACACGTCATGGATGAGTCGAATTTAACAACCGGTACATCTTCGACTGGTTTTTTACCTACAACTTCAGCAAACTATTTAGTTATGCCTTTTACTCCTACGGTGCCTAGTGTTCCAATGCCACAGTCTGTAGTATGGACTCCAATGCAACAATCTTCATTAGTGGTTCCTGTGACGCCACATGTTGTGTCTGCTCCTCCACGTTTTAACCCTCGTGCTACTCGGAAAAATTTCCGTCAACCAACACCTTCAGAACCAGCTATTACTGTATTTGTTGGTAATATTTCTGAAAAAGCTCCAGATACTATGATTAGGCATATTTTGGCAACTTGTGGAAACATTGCTTCTTGGAAAAGGGTACAAGGATTTGGTTTTTGTGAATATTATGGAGCTCAAGCTGCATTACGTGCCATTAAAGTTCTACATGATATGGAAGTAGGTGATAAAAAACTTGTAGTCAAAGTAGATGCAAAAGCACAAGAAACATTGGATCAATTTAAGGCAGAAAAAAAAGGTACTGATGATCCTGAAGAAAATCAACAATTTGAAGTATTTTGTAGACAGAGAATAAGTAGTATTATTAGTGAGCATAATGATGAAATGAACAAAGAAGGAAATAAAAATGAAGAAGAAGACAAACCAAGTATTGTTGATGGTGTTGGATTTGATTTGGTACCGAATGAAGATGAAAAAAAAAGTTTAATTACTAGAGAAATAGGTAAGTTTCGAGAAGTTATGAAAAAACGAGAAGAGGAGAAAGAAGTTGAAAGAAAAAAGAAACAGGAAAAAGAAAAATTAAATGGAAGACATGCGACTCCTGATAGTCCAGATGAAGATGAAATTAGAAGAATACGCCGTAGAGAAGAACGTGATAAAAGAGATAAAGAAAAAGAAGAAAGAGACAAAAGAGAAAGAGAAAGAGATGAAAGAGATAAACGTGATAGAGAGAAGAAAGAAAGAAGAGACAAAGAAAGAGAACGAGAAAAAAAAGATAGAGAAAAAAGCATCGATAAAGAAAATCGTAAAGAAAAAGAACCAGAAAAAAGCAGAGGCCATTATGATAAAAATAGATTAAGAGAAAAAGAAATGGAAGAAGAAGAACTGGAAATGAAAAAAGAAGATGATCGGAGAAGGGAAAGAGAAATAGCATATCAAGAAAAACGCAAGCAGTGGGAAATTAGAGAAAATCAGAAGAAAAAAGAATTGGCCAAAGAACGTTCTAAAAAACAAATGATAGAAGAAGAACGAGAAAGAAATGCTAAAAAATTAAAAGAATTTTTGGAAGATTATGATGATGATAAAGATGATCAGAAATATTATAAAGGTAGAGAGTTGCAAAAACGAATTGAGCTTAGAGAAAAAGAAATAGAAGAAGATGGAAGAGATAGACAAAAAGAAAAAGATGAACTTGAAGCTATCAGGGAAAAAATATACAACAGTGACTTCAAAGACCCAGAACTAGAATTTGCTAAGGTATTAAAAGCCAGAGAAGAAATGTATAAGCCTAAACTATTAATAGATGTTGCTGAAAAACAAAGAGATAAATTAAAACGTTATGAAATGGAAATTGAAAAAGAAATTCAAAAACAAAAAAATATAGAAGCTGAGCAAGAACGACAGCGCCATGTTATGGAAAAAGCACAGACGCCCAGTCCTCAGCAACCAGCTACTCCTCCCAGCCTTGAACCTCAAACACCTCCGCCTGAGTTTGCACCTATGACTCAATCAACAACTTTAATGATTAAGAAAAGAATGGACGTTAAAGATGTATTCAACAATGACGATGAAGAACTTCCACGACCGAAAAAAAGAAAATTAGTTCCTCTTGATTATACAGATAAAAAAGAAGAAGAGAGTAAAGCTGTTGAAGAAAAGAAAAAAAATATACGCCAATTAATTGAACGTATTCCCACTGATAAAGATGACTTGTTTTCATTTCTTCTTGATTGGACTGTTGTCGACAATCAATTAATGGAAAAACGTATCAGACCTTGGATTAATAAAAAAATCATCGAATACATTGGTGAACCAGAACCAACTCTAGTAGATTTTATATGTTCAAAGGTATTAGCTGGTAGCAGTCCTCAAGCTATACTTGATGATGTTCAAATGGTGCTTGATGAAGAAGCTGAAGTGTTTGTTGTAAAAATGTGGAGACTTCTTGTCTATGAAGTTGAAGCTAAAAAATTAGGATTAGTTAAATTAGAAGAAAATGGTCATAAAGATCCTTAATATTTCAATACTAACTTTTGTAAATATAATCTTTTAATATTTTACAAATTTGGAAATGTTTCAACCTCAGTTTTTAGTTTAATAATAATTTGCCACTGTCTCATAAGGTAAAATTGGCTGAGTTTTAATTTATCAAAGAATTATTGTTATTGGATCAAAATCTGTATTATTCATATTTTGTGTTTTTAAGTTAAATGTACAACTATTTTCATCGATCATTTTACTGCTTTAAATTATATATTAACTTATGAGTACAAATTACATATATATTATATGTATGTACATTTTTATTTATTTTATATTTGTAAAATAAACTAATTAATATTACTATATATATATATGATATTTTATTCAAGTTAATATTTCAAATACATGTTTAACTATGAATTGAAGTCGAATTCAAGTAAACTTATTATTATACTTCTGAAAAATATTCATACCTATGTGCATAAATAATTATATATTATAGTTGACTATTATAAAGAAACTGTTCAATTGTAAATATTGTTATTTCAGTAAAACTAGAAATGTAAGTATTATAAACATTAAATATAATTAATTACACTCTTATTTACTTTTTATGCAATAATTTTTTTCTTTATAAAAGAAATAAATGAAATATTTTTAACCGGAAAATTTATGTATTTTTTTTTCATTTATTTTATATTGTATTTCCATAATAAATTAGCTCACATTTTTATAAGAGCAGTATTACTACTACATTTATCATCTAAAAATAAGTTTTTTTATATTATTTCATTACTTATAGGAACATAGTTATATTAATATTATCAAAAAAGCAAGATATTTTATAGTAGTAAAGGTAAGCTTGACAAGGAATTAGAGTAAACATTTTTAATAATATATATATATATAAAAAAAGTTTTTAATTTACATATTTGTATTCTCACAGTAATATCCTGACATTTATTAATCATAAATATCATATTTTTAAACTTAATAATAATAAAATTATATACTATTCTATTATACCCAATAAGAACAAACAAGTTTTGATCAAGAGTAGGTATCAGGAAGTATGTGAAAATGTAATACTGCAATAAAAGTAAAATAAGTATTAAATGTATCAAAATGTAAATAATTAAATGATTGATCCAAATGTAACTTAAAAAAAAACAAAACTATGGATGATGTTAAAAATTACAAGTTAACACATAGACATTACATCAAGATATAAGTGTACAGTCATCAAAATAAATTAAATACATTAGCAAATGTAATATTTGAAATAATAATTATAAAATAACATATTAAAAATAAATTAATTTACATTTTTTCATCTTTGATCAATAAGTATCCATTTTTCTTATTGATTTTAATTTTTAACATAGACAATATTCAATTATTTACCTCATTTACAATTTTTTTTATAATGATTGAATTATTTTAGCAAAAGCTTAGAACCAGTGACGTAAGTATGCAAATTTGGCCTTGATGCAAAAAGCTTAAAGGGCTCTCTTCCTATAATATCAAATATAAATTAATAAATATGAATAAAACTACCTAGATGTTAACCTATCTTTAATTGTGTATTTTATTATTATTTTTTTTTTTTATTGTATATTAAGTATTTAAATTTAGTAAGTATACACAGATATATTATAATTTACATGTATTAACAAATAAAAAAAATATACAAAATAACAGATTTATATTAAAATTTTACTCTTTGCGCTTTTAAATTCGCAGTTGTCGGTAAGTTTTGAAACGTTTGTAACTTCTGCTTCTCCGGCTTCTATGTATAATAACGCGGTAGGTATTTGATAGTCGTTCTTGCCCTATAGAATTCTTGATAATTTTAAATTTCGAGAACGATCGCTCAACTGTAGCCCCCGTTACAGGTATTATTAAAAACATAATTAATGAAAATACTTCTAGAAAACTACTGTTCATATCATAATATTTTATAATTTCAATAATACTTTAGTACTATTGAAGTCATAGAAATAAAAACTTAGATGAAAATGTACAGAAATGTATAGTTCTTTGATATGAAATCGATTAAAATTAATACTTAAATTGTCATCATAAATTTAGATTTTTATTCTTTAAAATAGTTTTATATGGTTTGAGATTTAAGTTTTCTGAAAGTTTAGGACATGTAATTTTAAATAACTTGTGTTAAACGCAATTTAAATATTTTTTTTGAAAATAAATTTCATTTTATAATTAAAGTTTGAAGTTAAGATTCTTAATATTTAAATTATACAAGTACATATTTAAACATTGACTGAAATTTTAGTTTTTATTTGGATCTTTCTTTTAGAGATTAAAAAATACTGCATTTTTATATTTTAATTGAGTCTGTATCAACTTTGATTATAAAGGTTTTCTAATTTTAACTGGGGACATATTTGACAATAATTATTTATAAGTACGTATATTCTGAGGCTCATCTGAGCTCTAATTATAGCCAATATTTTTAGACCAGTATGGTATTTATATTTTTTTACTCATTTTAATTGGTTTCTGATTGACTTATGACCAGTAAATTAAAGAAATTATGAATAGTAATTGAACAGATAACTATTATACTTAATATAAACAGTAAAATTATTCCACTTTTAAATGTAAGGCCAAAAAACATTAATCAAAAATTATTTTTCCAGTATTATTCAGTTGTAAATTTAAAATATAATTAAATATTATCAATGTTTAAATTTAATATTACCAGTCATTAATTAGACATGATTAAGCACCCTCAACTTAGTTTAAAGTACATCCATGTTCCAGTGTTGTAAAATAAAAATATCTATAGCTAATGACATTGTTCCATACGAAATATTAAACACAATTAGGACTCTAGACAAAATCAATACTTTTAGAATCTCTTTAGGTTTTGAAAAAATGCATTTATTCAACTATAGACAATTAATTAATTATATATTAATATTATTAAATTATAAAAAAAATTATTTTTATTAAAATCTAAGTACTGTAATTAATAAATTTTCTTTAAACATTTTAAAAACTATATAATAATGAATCCAACAATTTTACTTTTTAAATAATTTATATATACTTATATCAACGTTTAATGAACATCATTTTGAAGAAAAGTCATATATTAATATACATTATCTTCAGTTTAATTTTGATGTATTATACATTGTACATAACCGTCCCAACCAAAACTAAATTCAGTTGATTGCTGGATGCATACCAGTTATTATTTTTATTATTTAATAACATATATATAAAAATATTAAATAATTTCCTTTTTTGCTCATCAGTGTTTCAAAAAGTTTTCGGTTTTGTGTTAGCTTAAGTAGCAACATATCCTAATAACAGTCCTGTCTACCACCAAGGAAATGCCGCCCCAGACATAGGTCTTTGTTACCTGTGCATTCCACTAGGCCTGAACATAATTGCTTATATTGATGGGAAAATATGTTTAACACTTTAAATTTTAATATTATACAAAAACAAAACTATGCATTTTATTAAGTTAAATTTCTTATACTGATATTGGAAGTATAATATAATAAATATTGATTAAATTTTATGTTAGGGGTGTAAGTTAATAATGTAGCACTACCAAGTTTTGAATTCTAGTTACACCATAACTCAAGATATCAAACATAGAAATTGTATTTGAGGACCCGATATATTTTTTATATGAATAGGGACAAATGGACGTTAAAAAAAATATATATATATGTTATAAAACCATTGATATTTTATGTTCATAATATAACTAATGGTATCGTATCATAATATTAAACCTTACCGAATTTTATCGTTTGGGCAATGGGTACCTTTTATAACAATATATATAACTTATTGGGTTTTACAACTTATAATAATTATTATACTATATCGAAACATGGTGATATACAAAACAAAACAATACAATACACATCTATAACCGAGTTAACAGTGTACAAATTGCATTCAAGTGTACATGTAAGATATCATTATTAATTTAAATTGTGATGGTAAAGTGTTTTTGAATGAATATTTTTGACATTAAAATTTACATATTATAATAAATATAAATAACTTATTTTATTTACTGATTTCTATCTTTATATATATAAAAATTTCGTGTCACGATGTATGTTCGCGATAATCTCCGAAACTACTGGATCGATTTTGATGAAATTTTTTACACCGTGTGTAATTCGGTCCAACTTAAAATATAGGATAGTTTTTTTCAAATTTTTTAATATTTTAAATATTTTAATTAACTTTTTAATAAAAACCGGAAACATCGATGAAAATTTAAACGCCAATGACATCGGAACTGCATGTATTTTACCTTCAAGCTACATCGGCAGTCCACGGAGCATGCAGGAATACATACAAGATGCGATGACTTATGTACGTCATTACGGTCGACCTGATTTGTTTGTTACATTTACGTGTAATCCAAATTGGGAAGAAATAAAAAGTTTGTTATTACCAGGCCAACAATCAATACATCGTCACGATATCGTTACACGTGTGTTTAAACAAAAGTTAAAATCTTTAATTAATTTAATTGTAAAATATTCAGGTTTTGGTAACACACGTTGCTGGCTGTATTCTATTGAGTGGCAAAAGCGAGGTTTGCCTCATTCTCATATTTTGGTTTGGCTTGAAGATAAAATCCGTCCAGAAGAAATTGACCAAATAATTTCTGCCGAAATTCCGGATCCACTGACTCAGAATTGTTCGATATTGTTACCAGTCACATGATCCACGGACCGTGTGGTGCTTTTAACATGGCATCACCATGCATGGAAGAAGGAAGGTGTAAGAAACGTTTCCCGAAACCCTTTACCAATGATACTATTACGGATATCGATGGTTATCCATTGTATCGCCGCAGTGACCCTGAGCATGGTGGTCACACATTTACAATTCGAAAGTCGAATTCTATAAATGAAGTTGAAATTGATAATCGGTGGGTAGTTCCGTACTCACCATTGCTGTCAAAAGCGTATAAGGCTCATATTAATGTCGAGTTTTGCAGTTCCGTCAAATCCATTAAGTACATTTGTAAATATGTTAATAAAGGAAGTGATTTGGCCGTATTTGAAATACAAAATATAAACAAAAATGACGAAATAGCAAGATACCAGATGGGTAGATATATAAGCAGCAGCGAAGCTATCTGGCGTATTTTCAGTTTTCCAATACACGAAAGAGAACCTTCTGTCCAGCATCTTGCAGTACATCTTGAAAACGGTCAACGAGTATATTTTACCGAAGAAAACATTCTCCAAAGAGCATTTGAGACACCGAAAACGACACTAACTGAATTCTTTACATTATGTCAAAAATCTGATGTATTCGGCCAATTTGCAAAAACATTATTATATACCGATGTTCTACGCTATTTTACATGGAATAAAATAGGGAAAAAGTGGGAGCCCCATAAGCAAGGAAAACCACATCCATCGATCCCAGGCATATTTAAAGCTAAGACATTGGGACGACTTTACACTGTACATCCTAAACAACGTGAATGCTTCTTTTTGCGTTTATTGCTGGTGAATATTCCCGGACCAACATCTTCCGAATATTTGCGAACAGTGAACGATCGAGTGTTCAATACATATCAAGATGCATGTTGCGAGTTGCAACTACTGGAAGCAGATAATCATTGGGACTTGACACATGCTGATGCAGCATTGATATCTACACCGAATAATATTCGTCAACTATTTGCAATAATTTTGACAACATGTTTTCCAACACAATCATCGACTCTGTGGGAAAAATATAAAAATTATATGACTGAAGATATACTGCATCGAATTAGACGAACAAATCAATGTCCAAATTTAGATTTCACACCAGAGATGTATAATAAAGCATTAGTGTTGATCGAAGATTTATGTATTTTAATTTCAAATTTGCCACTTAGTCATTATGGAATGTCATCACCTGATCGCCCGGCTGCCGACTTAGTTAACACTGATTTGCAACGAGAAAAACAGTACAATGACGTTGACTTAGCTACAATTATTGTGAATAATGAGCCATTACTGACAGCCGAACAAAAAAATATTTATAATCGGATAATGCTGACCGTTGATGCTGACCAAGGTGGGTTTTTTTTCTTAGACGCACCAGGTGGAACAGGTAAGACATTCTTAATATCATTAATTCTTGCAAAGACACGTTCCCAACAGAAAATTGCTTTGGCAATTGCATCGTCAGGCATTGCTGCAACTTTGTTAGATGGTGGACGAACAGCACATTCAGCATTGAAGTTGCCATTAGACATTCATAACAAACCAAACGCAATGTGTAACATTAAAAAAAAAAAGCGGAATGGCTACAGTGTTGCAAAAAAGTGCAATAATAATTTGGGATGAGTGTACTATGACTCATAAACATTCACTTGAAGCATTTCATAGAACTATGCAAGATTTGAAAGGCAACCATAAACTTTTCGGTGGTACTGTTTTACTACTGTCCGGTGATTTCCGGCAGACTTTACCAGTTATTCCTCACTCTACTTTTGCCGATGAGATCAACGCATGCTTAAAACAATCGTTTTTATGGACAAGTGTTGAGACACTTCGACTGACTATGAATATGCGAGTACAATTGCAAAATGATCCAACAGCACAAGTATTTTCTAAACAATTGCTGGATATTGGAAATGGTGAAATTGAGTTGCATCAAAATACACAATACATAAAATTACCAGATATTTTCTGCACTGTTGTTGAAACGAGAAATGAACTAATTGAGAGTGTCTTTCCGGATATATTGAATTATAATTTAGATCACAATTGGCTCTGTAATCGTGCTATTTTGGCAGCAAGAAATGTTGATGTGAACGAAATTAACTTCCATATACAACAGATTTTGTCCGGTGATTTGATGTCTTTTAAATCAATCGACACAGTTATTGATGAAAACGAAATCGTAAACTTTCCAACTGAATTTCTGAATTCTCTGGATTTGCCAGGAATGCCACCACACAACCTTCAATTGAAAATTGGTTCACCAATTATTCTTCTACGTAATTTAAACCCACCTCAATTATGTAACGGTACACGTTTAGTCATAAAAAAAATGACCGAAAATATTCTTGAAGCAACAATTTTGTCGGGAAAATTTAAAGGAGATATCGTCCTGTTGCCACGTATTCCACTGATAGCGTCGGAATTTTCAATACCGTTTAAAAGGCTCCAATTTCCGATTTGTTTAGCTTTTGCGATGACTATAAATAAATCTCAAGGCCAAACAATGTCTATTTGCGGTTTGGATTTGGAAAACACGTTTCTCACATGGACAGCTATATGTTGCCTGCTCACGTGTAGGAAAACCATCAAATCTCTTCGTGTTAGCGAAAGACAGGTTAACCAGGAATGTTGTACACAAAGTAGTACTTAGATAATTTTTAGTTTTAATAATTTAATTTATTTTTGTATATTTTTAATGTATATAGTATTTTTTGTAAGTAGGTCACTGATTACAAACAATAATTTAATATAAGATGAATAAAATGTAAATTCAGAAAATATATATTTTGGTTTGTACTTAATTTCAACTTTTAGATACTTTACCTATTACTTTTAAATTTTCTCATACATAATAACACTAATACATGGCCTACGAAAATGCTAAAAAACCAACTAATACGCGGGCAACGCCGTGTCGGGACAGCTAGTATAAATATATATATTTTTTAATGTCCATTTGTCCTTACGTCCAAACGACTACGTCGATTTGTCCTAGATCGTTTTTTATAGTAATACTTATACCATAGTTGAAGTATATTTTATTTTAAATGGGAAGATTAAGTAAAAAATGTAGTCAACAATAAAGGTAATTGAAAAATGTTGTTTAAAAAACTTTATTTTATACAATCATTTTATCCAACAACAGGTACTACTGGAACAGCAGGTACCGCCACTTCTGGTTTAGTTTTGATATCACTAGTCGGTGCAATAGGTAGAATTTCTTCTTTAGGCTCAGCAACACTAACATTATCCGGCAAAGGCTTCTTTGGACCAAGTTTACCAGATTGATCCCACGGCAACATAATTTTTACCTTGATACCCAAAACTCCTAAAGAAATAAAAAAAATGTCAATGATAATATCCTATTAAAACAAACACCATATAATCAAAGATTACCTTGTCTCAACAGAACGTGTCTAGTAGCAACATTAACATAATCATTGCAAGGATCACCACTGTGAATCATAAGTCCATCTACGAATTTCATAGATTTAGCACGCTGACCTCTTAATTTACCAGATACTACAACTTCACATCCCTTAGCTCCACTTTCCATGATGAATCTCAATACACCATAGCATGCCCTTCTGACAGCTAGACCTCCGATTAACTTGTAACGCAATGACTCAGCTTGGGCAACAGCACATAATCCACGTTGAGCTACTTTTTCAGCGAAAAGTTCTACTGCTTTGTCTTTGAAATCAAAACGTTTCTGTATAAGAGAAGTGAGTTCACGAATACGACGTCCCTTGTCACCCAATACATTTTGGGTACGAGTAGCAGAGATAACAATTTCTGTACGTGATGGAGCAGCACGGACATCAACACCAGAATAACCATCCTCAGCAAGTTCTCGTGTCAAGAACTCATTTAGTTCAGCACGTAACATACCATCAGATACAAACTAAAATAAAAACAATGAGATTGTTATCATTAGTTATGATGGGACATTTTAAGTCATAAGTATTTAAGTATTTAATTAACCAAAGTATTGAATGATACATAAATGGTCTTACAATTAAAATATACCAGAATAAGATATATCTAAGATTGAAGTATGTTTTACTTAAAAATAACCGTACACATGGGTTTAGGTATGAAAAAATGCAAATTTTGATGTCATTGTATTAGCTTGTTTTAATAAGAATTAGTACGACGTATATCAGTGATTAGATTATTAATTTCTACGGAATTAAGCGCTAAATACTTAATGATCGTATCGAATACATTTACTCAACCTTTTCTTCACGGACGTCGTTTTGGCTGGCATCTTGTCTAAGGAAAGAACGGATAGGTAATCAGATGTTGTAACGAGTAACGAAATCAAAAACCAACTCAACACTTACCTTTATACTTGTTTTCGGGGGTTAAATAGAATATGACGGCACGCTACAATTTTCTAGATGTAACACAAATGGCATGAAAATTGTTAACCAAACTATTTCGTTGACGAAAAGCCAAGGCGACAGAGTGGCCAACATAACTTTCGTAAGCCTTGATTGTCCATGGATGTGGTTCGACCGCAAAATTTAATCTATTTCTTGTTTGGATATTAAACGGGCAGATGGCGCTGTAGCTTATAGAAACGACTATTTTACTGTGGTGAAATGCAATAGGTAATAATAATAATTAGTTATAATTGCTATAAAAAAGACAAAATTGACACATTCGAATTTCAAGTTTCGACATTTCGGACAAAATTCTAATTTTAGATACGTTGTGCCGGGTTCATGAGTTCAAGACAATTATTGCCCATCCCTGTCAGCCCCTAGTAAACCGAGCAGTCGCGGGTGGATTGTGCTGACTTTGATTTCCATCCTCGACATCCTACGTCGGGAACCCATGTTTTCGTTTGCGTCATAGAAAGAACTTTCAGATGTTTCTTCAACAAAATGTATTCGAGTTCAGGGCCGGGCCAATCATAGTGGCGCTTCTGGTAAAATGAAAATGTTGCGCCCTCGGGGTTGGGCACCACAACAAAAATAATTAATTCAATATAACAATATAATCATATTTTAGATTATAGATTATCGGTATTATTGTTGCCCGAAAATTTTATTTTTATATTTGTATATTACCCGGTGACTATGAGTTAAAGCGAAATAATTTATACCACGTTTTCCTCACAATTGTAAATTATACCTACGGGTTACGTGTATTATTAACATGGACATTATTATATATTAATATTATTTAATAGGCCAGGTATTTCACACTTTATAGTATCATTCCGTATCGCCGTATTTCCATCCAATATTAGTTCTGAAATTAATATAATAATATTTTGGTTTTGATTTTTAAAATCTAATTTAATGACCATCACATTTTGGGTCCTAATTCTCACTCGATATTTTTCGCCCCTGGCAAGCGCTCACTTTGTCAGGCTTTCGGCCCAGCTCTGTTCGAGGATAATGAGTAGTAAAAATTATTTTATTTGAATAATGTCCCATGGTTCAGTTTTAAATTTAATTTCCTAATATTTCACTGGATCTTCGTCTATGGTCTGCATATATTATTCTTATAATCTCATTACAGACTGTTTGGTTAGTAATGGTTAGTTTGCTCTTTGTTAAGTAATTTTTTCATTAAAATTTAATTGATTATTTGACGCGAAAAATAATCTTCAATTAGGTCCGAAATTAAAAAAAAATTATAATAATAAACTGTACGTATATATCATTTACATTTAATAAATATACACATGTGTATCATCACCGTCGTGTTGCGATGAATGTAAAACCGTTGGACAGTTAACGGGTAGCAAGTGGTTATGCTCTACCGGTGGAGGGTAAAATATTTGTGCGCCACCACTTGCTGCGAACCAACACCCGCCAGCGGCTTCCGTTACAATAACCCGCAGAGAACAGCTTTTACCACTTTACTTCTGCATCCACACCCTAACGAGTTTTGATAATTAAACAAATTACACTAGCGCGGTTTTTTTCATGAATTTTCCACGAGAACTCGGAACAGTCATAGCGTGTTTTTTTATTTATTTATTTTTAAGATCAATTAGATAAAAATAATTATTTTATTCCATTATATAACACTATCGTTGTATTTATTAACTTAACGCATATACTGATAACTGAGTGAAACGATTTTCTCCTATGGTAAAAAAATACATAAATGCAATGAGTTAGCAAGTGAAATTTATTACTTATTTTTTGTTGCGTGTTATGAAAAAATGTACATTATCCATTGTTTTGTCGTTAGCACGGACGCGCCGGTGTGTCCAACAATTTAGGTATGCTGTCACTCGCAAAAAAGTGTTATTAAAGTTCATCGAGACGAATTATGTACAGCAAACTTTATACAAAACATGATAAATTTAATTGGTTTTTGTTCTACTCAGGGCCAGCTCAAACAAAAATAAAGTGGTCATTATAATTCTTAATATCACATAAGTATTGGAGTATAGTTCTAACTATTTGTTTCTATAAATTTATTCAATAACTGATTTCAGATACCAATAGAAATAAAAAAATGTACGAGTCAATTTTGCAAATGCCGCCCCTATCAAAGTGCCGCTCTAGGTAGATGCCTAGCTCGCCTACACTTTGAGCCAGTTCTGGTCTTACTGTAATTTTCCATTGACCATTTATTCAATAATTTTCGTCGCCCGAGTATATATGCTCCCTCAATTAATAACAATAATCGACGTTTTATATTATTATTTGTTTTACAAGCTAATTATAAAACAATACCTGTCAGCTAAAGTCCCTAACTTTGTTTTCATATCTTCTAATTCAAATGTATTTCTACGTTAAACATATAACATGTTCAGACTGAAAAACTCATTAAAATGTAAAAAGTGTGCATTAGGTACTTGAATAAATGATCCTGTGATATTTTTTGCTTTCACATCGAGCTTAGTACTGTTGAAAAACTAGAATTACTTGGAATAAATCAGAGTGCGCACTTGAAAATTGTTTATATTTATTTAAAACTCAGGTATTTGATCTCTCGGTTAATTTTGTTTCACTGCATACTTTTTCACTTGCATTAATCCTTTAATAGTTAAGGAATATTATTATAATCGTATACAGCTGTACGGTATCGCCTGTACCTATTAAAAATATCTGCACCGTCACTGTAACAATTATTGTCTACACTCGTTTTAAATTTCTGTTCGATGTTTACAATTATAAATAATTTTTTATGATGAAATACCTAAAAGTTACTTATAAGTTCAAAACAATACAAAAATATAACGTATATTTACTCTTTTATATTATTTTGTATTTTTATTGTCTTTAGTAGAAGTGATTATTTTTATTTCAGTAATAACTCAGTGATATATCAGTAACATATCAGTGATAACTTGTTATGTAAGCTAGTATAGGTACTTATAATCATTATATTTGTAATTATTTATTTAGTATGAGGAATACTTTACAATTATTATAATGAAACTTATTTAACATTTTTACTTACGTAATTATTAGTATAATATATGCTAATAAATAAAAAATAAAAATTTTACAAATCATATTGAAATTCTATTTTTTACAATAAAAATCAAAGGAATATTAATATAATTTTTGCTGTCCCGAAAATGAGTAAATATTTATATATGAGTAAGAATCATGTGTAGGTAGGTGCATTAGTAATAAAATTGTATAGTTTTGGGTCGAATATTTTCGCTGGTACAACTTGTCCAACACAAGTGATCGCCTATAAAAAGTTCGAAATACATTCGTATATTTACTGCTATATTCCTGAATCTGTAATTTATTTTTATGGGTTTCTTAAAAGATTAAATTCTCTAAAAAAATAAAATAAATATTTATATATTTAAGGTTTCTGCTACTATAAAATACTTTTTAAGTGTTTCCGTCTATATTTTATTACATATTTATCACGAAATATAAATTTACCTAAAAGCTATAATAATATTTTTTTAATGAAGATCAATATAAAAAATATTATTTACTGTAAAAAACGTAAATTAATAAAACAATTAATTAGGAGTTAACAAGGGCGTTCATTAGGGTGACAAAGGGAAACATGTCTCCTTATTTTTTTCTATATATTATATATTTTTACATAAAATATTATAATTATTAATTTATATTAAATATATATCAAATTTATTTTGTTAGCTTATCTTATATTTCATGAACAAAATTTTACCACGGGAAAATTAATTCTGAGAATCTTAGATACTAATTACTAGAGCTCGGGTTTAAATGTCTTGAAAATCTAAAAAAAAAAAATAAGAAGTTCACTTTTATTTATTTTCGATGAATCACAATGCATATTACAGAAATAAATTCTTATTAATTTACTGTCGTTCTATAAAATAGTGATGGGTATATTTCGAATTACATTCTTTTACCCTTTTTATCTGGATCAAGTTGCCTTTTCTTATAAATAATAAATTAAGCATTTTAACTTAATTAGGAAGTTACTTTCTTTTATAAATTTATAATTAATACGTAGGTATACATTAACGAAGTAATTATTTGGAAGAACAAAATAAAAGTAATGGAGATCAAAAGATATTACTTGCTAATGGTTTAATATATTTATAAACATGTGAAGCTAATTAGTTAATTATACTGTGCATTGCAAACGTTTTAAGTTCTGTAAATATAGCGGCTTTATTCATAATTTTAGATATCCTATACTCCTAATTCCTTCATACTAACACTAATATAACGAAAGGCTTTACAAAAATTAATTTTTTGAAATTGTTGAATCAACGATTGGGTTCAATATTTACTGGTGTATCTACTGTATAATATATAAATATAAATTGAATGCCTTTAATGTTAATTATTTAATTAATATGATAATCAAAATTAATGATGTTTTAATTTTTTAATATTAAATGAAATTTTTTATTAGGAAAAAATGTTTATTATAATTTAAAATTATTAAATAAAATTGTATTATATTTACTTTTTTGAATATTAAATTTTAAACGTATTATTATGAAGTACATACATATGTATAAAAGTGTTACACTGATTAGTTTTAATAAATTGTGACTTAATAATAACTTTATTAAATATCAAAATAATAAAAAATAACGTTTTCATGTTTCGTTGATTTTTAAAAATATTTACGCCTCACTAAGGGGACACAGCCTCAGATTAAGAACCGCTGGATTAGAATATCTAATAGACGCAATATATCTCGGTCTTGAAAATGTAATGGAAAAAAATGATCACTGACTTTGTTCAAGGACAATAATATCATCCAGAAAAAATACAGTGAATTAAATAAATAACTTGATTTTACAGAAAATTCCCAGTTAAGAAAAACACGGTAGGTAATATTAAAGATAAGTGCACTGTCCACAAGAATTTTTAAATTATTATGAGCCTTATGTTAAAAATTGACGTTCCGATCAAATTGTTAAGAAACTTAAGCCCTCCCAATACGTGTTATGGCACATGGCTACTAATGAAAGAGTTGCAAGACAATATAATCTTGGCGATCATCCTCACGGAGTCAACAGTGTGACAACTTGCTTATACCAATATCGTTCAAAAGGCTGCAGTTTAAAGTTACAGCTTCATTTACCCTCACGATTAATAAGTTTCAGGGTCAAACATTCTCTCTGGTGGTCATTGATTTGAGAAAGGAGTGTTTTCCCACGAACAGTTATATGTTGGCTTATCTCGAGTTGAAACTCCAGAAAACCAATCCATTTTTCCATCAGACAATTGCATAACATCAAACATTGTAAACAAAGAAGTCTTAAACAATTAATATACTCGCCCAATACATACTAGCAGCTAACAAAAAATAAAATAAACATAAAAAAATAAGTTCTAAACACTCAGTAATAAGAAACACACAAGAAAATTGATTAACATCTAGTGAAGTGAGAATGGTTCAACTAATATATATATAAATGTATATATAGTATATACCAGAGGTTCCCAAACTGTGAGTTGTGACCCATAAGGGGGTCGCAATTATATTTTTAGTGGGCCGCGTTATATTTTTCATGTGTTTCTATTACTTGTGGTTGATGTTTAATTATTTATTTAGTTTTCTTATAAACTGTTATCTGCGTTTGTGACAATTACAAATTTATTGCGACCAATAGACATAAAATATTTTTTTATATGTCTATGCTCGACTGTGTCAACACAACGCAATCGAATTAATGATTATTGAAAATATAGCAATATATTTGAAACAAATTAGTACCTGTATGACGTTCAAATAAATTGATTATTTTCAGTAACAAACGGTACATTGAATACGATACATTCACGCAGTTTAAATCTTGCTATTTTTCAAATAACCAATAAATTCGTTTTTTCTTGTGATTTTGTACAATTACTATGGACAAATGGTTAAATAAAAAGTCAATAACTCAAAGTTCTACAAAAATTGAAGAAACAGAGATAATATCTGAGTCAGCGGTTAAAAGAGAAAATTAATTGATTTATTGATATAATTATTAATATTTATTGATGATGAGCTTACAACAAGTTCTTTGCAATCAAAATAAAAAAATGGATATCAATCCAGCTATGAAAAATAGGAAACAATTATATCCTTCACATTAAAATTATATACTTAATAATTAAATTACATAGTATAAACTTTTTTTTATAAATATAATACTTTTCTTCAATTTAAAATGATAAAAACAGCAAAAAAAAAAAATAGTGTAAACTTTGTTTTATAAATGTAATATTTTTCTTTAATTCAAAATGATAAAAATAGCAAAAAAAAAAAAAGGTCAATGATATTATTTTGGGTCGTCATAACTGAAATAATTTCCAAAATGGGTCGTACTATAAGAAGTTTGGGAACCTCTGGTATATACTAATAAATACAGTATGTAATAGTATATTAGTATATTAGTATATAATAATAAATACATAATTGTCTTTTTTTTTTAATAAATATTATAATTAAGTTTAATACTTAACACTTAGCGTTCAATACAACATTTATTTAATCTCTGTTTATTCATACCATAATATAAAAAATAATGTTCACAATAGTACACTATTTTATGCAATTATAAACTATGATTTAATTTAAAACTCTTAACAAAAAGGGATTTCTCCCTCAACGGTGGCATACTGTTTGCCTCTGATGTAGGCATGTCTATCTATATAAAATATATGTAGTATAAACAACATACAGTCCCACGATCCCTTATCCCTCGGCCTCGAGCAATTCAGTATGCTTCGTGACGTCAGTCGGTATGCTCTGTCGAACATTAAAAGAAATACATTCTATTGTCCCCAAGAAAAATAATGTTTTTTTAAAGTTTAAAATAAAGTAGAATAATTTAGTTTTCCACAATCTGAGGTTGGTATTATTTTTATTTGACAATATACTTAAATAATTATACCAATATTTAAATACTTACCCGTATTTAAAACTTTTTTAAATTATAGTATATAATATTATTTCAATAAATGTTTATCACGATATCATCATACATATATAATTTATATTATAAATGCTTAATTTAAACTGATATTTATAAAAAATGTATTTTGGGTGTTGATTGAAGTTATAATTTATTTCGTACAGTTGAAATTTGTTAGTTAAAAGTTTTGATTTTTAAAAATATAATTCAGCATGTGATATAATAATAAGTTATGATAATAATATAACAATATACGTTTTTCAATGTATGATTTTTTGTACATTCGTTGTATTTGCATTTTATAAAACTTGACACATATTACACGCAATTATTTAAAAATATAAATTATATTGAAATAATAAAATATATGTATGGTATGCATTAATTTTTAAAAAATAGATAAATAGTAGTTAATTATTTAGATATTATACTAAAAGAACGAAGTAGGCTACAGTAAAACACATAAAAAAACATGTAATTATAAATTGTAAACTGTATAATAAATATATAAATATATAATAAATCTAAACTGTAATTTTGTAATAGTAATTGATTATATTATTTTTTATGCATGCTAGTTTATGACATATTGTGTATCAAATATAAATAAAATGTACATTTTCTTATTATGCTTTACATTTTTTACTGTATTACCTACCATTTTTTTAATTAAATATTTTTATAATGTGTATAATATTCAATATTGATCTATTATAAAATAAAAAGTTTATAAAAACGAATTATTAATATTTTAAAATATTATTTTAATTGTAATTATAAATTAACATATGATACACAGGAGTTATTAATATTATTACTTATTACTGATATTTATGCAACATATAATTGCCATTTGCTATTTTAAATATATCAAATATATGCATAAATCGATGTTTATAGAATAGAGGGAGTTATAAGATAAACATAAATGTTATAAAATCTCTAAAAATCTCTAACGTTTTTTTTTTGTGTAGCACAAAATTCTGTATTGTAAACGTGTATTGTTGAATGTCGGTTGTCGAAAAGAAAAATTTAATTTTGAGTACATAAGTTAAATAATTCAAACCGTTTTTTTATAATACACTCATATACACACATACATATATACATACAATTTGGTTGTTGTTTACACTATAGGTAAATATGTGCAGTAATGGCTGTTGAATCATGTTTATCGCGGCTGACAGAACTCCTCGGTGATCGTTTGCTATTTGGTTCGACGACAGTACAGCTTAATGAGTCAACGTTCAATGGTTCTTTAATCGCATTGTACTTCGTTCCATTAGGCGATGAAATTGCCTCGATAGACGATCAGGCTCTACGTGATTTATACAAAACTGTAAATGAAAACGAGAAAAAACTTGATATTATACAGATTTGTTATCCAGACACAATTGACGATCGCAAATGTTTCGATGAACTGACGAAAAGCGTTCCGTGGCATACAGTCCTATATGAATATGTGGAGAAAAGGGTAATTTGAAAAAAATATTATAATACTTTCCCGTTTAAATATAATAATTAGATATAAAAATAAATTTTATAGAAATGCTTTTTTTACTTTCAGAAATTAATATGCGTTGTGATAATTTATAGTTGATTTAAATTACGAATTTCATTTTTGTAAGCCTATTATTATTCTACGAGATTAATTAAGTGATTACAATATTTGTAGATGTTTTAATTATTTAAAAATATTTTTAATATATATTTTTAATAATAACAGTCAATGTGCCTATTTGAAAAATATACATACGAGTATAATTTATATTAAAATATTTATTATATAATCAAAATAACATAGAAATAACAACTATATTGATGAAACAAATCATACTAAAAAAATTAGCTGGACGTTCGCTTTTTTTTAGGGGATAGAACATTATTACAACGAAGACCTCCTAGGGTCGCCATCCCAAAAGGACGATTTAGTAACCCCTCGGGATTCTCACATTTTAATAACAACTATTCCTCCCACTTCGTATATCATTCCCTTTTCAGCTTTCATACACATCACTTCTCCCCAAGATTTGGCACCCTCAGTAATTTTTTTGCATTTTATTACTCTGGGGTAGCCAACAGTTTTGCCTAGTAACTCTCGAACATGCACCTGCTATCTATTCATATATATATATACATTAAGCATATATCAGAGATACATAGCTGATTTATTGCAGTTTTACGCATTAACTATATAACCCTCTCCTTTGTTACACTACACCTCGACCACTGTTGAATCAATACTGCCATAAAATTACTACGTTTATGATACACTATACTTTTTATTTTTTCGTTTCACTGTTTTAAATGCAGCTATTATGTACAACACTTATAAACAGTTCTATACGTGTTTTTACTAAAATGTATATCACTAATGTATTCTATTGATTTGATGTCATGAAGTAGAAAAACATACGCTTTTAACTAAATAAAATAGCAAAGCTGTTTTATTATAAAAGTTAAAAATGTTATTAATTTTTATTGAACTATCTTATAATTTTCTTTTGTTCAACTTATTAGAGCAACTATTAGTATTTTGATTTAGTATTATTTTATTGAATAAAGGGAATCTTGTTTTAGTAAAAAAAAAAAAATTGATTTTTCATACATTTTAGTAATTGAATGGGTTGATAAAAAATTAAATATATTATTCTTCTTTAGTAAATTGTAAATCACATCTCTAAATAAAAATTGTTACCTAAAAACATAATTAATTTAATAAATTCAATATTTATTTAAAATAATAATTTGATAACGGCATATAAAAACTTAGTAATAAGTACTTAATTAAAAAATAAAAATGAAAAATACATCAAATACATTAAATTATAGTATAAATGATTTATAGATTATTATTGGGTTTTTAATAGTTAGTTTTTTTTTTTTTTTTTTTTTTAATAGAAGTAAGGCTTCAACATCATAGGTCATTAGCCCGGTATAAATTATAACAATATTAGAAATAGTAGAAAACAAAAGTAAAATTTACAAAAAGTATTTGAACTTAAAGACTATGGAAAACGTTTTATACATTATTAAAATTTGCTTATAAGATTAATTTTGGTTAGAAATTAAATAATTTTGGGGATGTTGTTTACGTTGAGTGCTTCATCCATATTAGAAGGTATTGCTAGGTTGTTTCTTATGTATCGGTACTTGATGAAATCAATGATAATGTGTTGGACTGGAAGGTTGGTGTGGCATTCGTCACAAGTGGGTGGTGGATCTTTGCTAATGAAGAAAGAATGAGTTAGAGATGAATGTCCGATTAGGCATTTCGTGATTGTAACTTCCTGTCGTCTGTTGAGGTAATAAAGTGTGATACATTTCTTTGTATTTTTTTAAATTGTTTTAAGTTTATAAGAGGGGGGGATGGTATCCCAATAATTTTGCCGTTTGAAAAATATTTTGTGTTTGATAGATGTTTTGATGTCATTAGTTGGTAGATTGGATATAGTTGGATGGGGGATAATTCTAGTTGCAAGGTCGGCTGCCTTGTCAGCCATTTCGTTGCCGGTTATACTTGTGTGGGATGGTACCCACATAAGTTCAATGTTTTTAGAGGTCGATTTTAATACTTTTTGGATATTTTGGGTGATTTCATTTGAGGATTCAGGGTTTTGATGGGAAAGTAAAGCTCTGAGTGAGTCGCTTAAGATTAGAATATCATTTGAGATAATGGTTTTGGCTAATATGGTAGCTTCGTAAATAGCTTGTGTTTCAGCAGAGAATATGCATGTTTCTGGTGGGAGTTTATAGAGCAGTTTAATATTATCTTGGGAAATTGCAAAACCGACCCCACGTGTGGATTTTGATGCATCCGTGTATATTTTCGTGAAGTGTGGGTATTTGGTTTAGAGAATATCATAGAAAAGAGTTGATAATATTAGAATTTGTGTCGTGTTTGCTTCGTTGTAAAAGCTCAGTATTGACATTGATTTGCCAAAGCCAATTGGGGTGGTTAGGATATGTGATTTTGTTTATTGTAGATGTACATATATTAAGATTATTGATAAGCTTGAAGAAGATGTCATGTATGGACGGCAAAGGTTTTTTTATTGAGACTATTCTATTTCAGATTTGGTTGTTGAAGAAGATGTTGTATCGTAAGTGATTTAGGGTGCTTTTCCTTTTAATTCCATAGTTTAAGAGTTCTTTTTCTCTGAATAGGTTGAGGGGTAGTTCACCAGCATAGCATAAAGTACTGACTGTGGGACTGGATCTGAAAGCTCCTGTTGATAAATGAATCCCTTCGTTGTGGATAGGGTTTAATGTTTTTAGGAGATTTTCTTTAGCTGTAATGTCAATTTTGGAGCCATATTATATTTGAGATAAAATAAGAGATTTATAAATTGTGTTGAGGGATTACATACTGGCACCTCATGTATGGCGGGAAAGTTTTTTTATGATGTTCATTCGTATTTTGCATGTATTTTTGAGTTTTTATATTTGCGGTGTCCATTTGAGTTTGTTGTCGAATATCATTCCAAGTATGCGAAGTTTTACATATGGGAATCGGAGAATTATTGAGGTATAATTGTGAGATTGCTTTAGGACTAGTGTGAAAGGCAATATATATATATGTATACATTCACTTTTAGTAGCAGAAAATTTGAAACTAGTTCTGTGTGACCAATCTTGGAGAATATTTAATAAATTTTGTAATATTTGAACAGATGTTTTGGTGTTTTGTTCGCTACAGTAAATGTGACAATTGTCAGCGAATAATAAATGTTTTGTGAGTTTTGGTATATTTTTGAAACTGTCATTGATGGCCAATAGAAACATTGTAACACTGATAACCGAATCTTGTGGGAGGAAATTTTCAATATGATGTATTTTTGATAATACTGAAAGAGCTCTAACTTGTATTTTACGATTTTTTAGGAAATTTTGTAAAAATAGAAACATATTGCCATTTATACCATTATTTTGAATGATTTGGAGGACTCCATTTCGCCATACCATTTCATATGCTTTTTCTATATCTAAAGAAATTAGTATAAGGTGTTGTTTTTGATTTTTTTACATTGCAGATATCCGTGTGGAGGGTAGCGAATATGTCAATGGTTGAGTGATTTTTTTCGGAAACCACATTGTTCTTTGATTATTAAATTGAATGTTTCTAAATGCTAAATAAAATGTTTATTAACCATTTTTCCATGGTTTTTGCTAGTGTATTAATAAGTGAAATAGGTCTATAGTTTATAATATTGAATTTGTTTTTATTGGGTTTAAGGATTGGAATCATGATCGTATTGTGCTATTGATCAGGGTATATGCCTTTGTCCCAAATTATGTTGAATATTTGGAGGAGAATATTATGGGCTATTATGGGTAGGTTTTGGATAAAAAAAAAAGGTATCCCATTAGGGCCAGGGCTTTTACTTTTGCATCCGGATAAGGCGTTATAGAGTTTATTTAAGCTAAAAGGCGAGTTCAGATGGTTATCGTCCTGATGGAAATTTGTTTCTAGTTCATGATAGTTCTGATATTGTCTTCAACAGTATTTTTGAAATTTACAAAATCTGGGTTGTAAGTTTAGCAGTCACTGTTTTTTATTTAAATGATTTGCGAAAGCTTCAACTATATTTGAAGGCAGTGAGAGTGTATTGTTATCGAAATGTAGGTAAAGGGGGAGTGGTTGATAGTTTATGCCCTTAATAAATTTTATCTTGTTTGATTTCCGATGGGGACGTTTTGGGATTTATTAAACTAGTAAACTTTTGCCTTGATTCTGTTTTGCTTTTTTTTGTTATGAATTTTGCTTGAGCACGCGCTTTTTTAGTTTTATATGGTCATCATCTAGTTTGATTTTTTTGAATCTATTTAGTGTTTTTTTATATAACTCGATTGCATCATTGCAATCCTTATTCCATCAGAGAACTTTTTTTCTTTTTAATTGCGAATTAGTTCTGCTGATGGCCTTATTTGCAGCTTCTAATATAATGTGACAAAACTGATCAATAATTATTTTGATTTGGATTTGATTCGTTACAAGTTCAAGATCAATTGGTTTTTCATTAAGATTTTGTGTTATAATATCCCTGTATAGATTCCAATTTAGACTTTTAAATTGCCATCGAGAAGGTGGGTGAATTTTGGTTGGTTTATTTAATATTTTTATTGATATTGGCCAATGGTTGCTGCCGCTGTATTCTATAAGGACATTCCATTCGGTTATAGGAGCGAAAGCACTATTTGATATTGTGAGGTCAGGGGCTGAGAAAGAGTTATGGGCTGCATTGTGTCGTGTGGGTTCGCCGGAGCTTAGTAAAATTATTTGGTCATTTTCTAAGAATATTTCCATCGTTCTGCCTCTGGCATCAGTGGGGTTAGATCCCCAGATTTGGTTTCGGCTGTTAAAGTCACCGAGAAAAAGAAAGGGTTTGAACAGTTGTTTAATGATATCATTGAGGTCATTAAGTAAAAGATTGGTTCCATCCGGTAGATAAATGTCGCAGATGTATAAGGGAGTTTTGAGGTGTATAGAGACAGCAATAACTTCAAGAGGAGAATGAATATGAATTTCGAAGATTTCAAAGAGGTTGTTGACGAAAATTGCAACACTACCACTTGCACGGAAGTAAGCTTGCTGATTTTTGAAAAAACAATTATATCCTTGCATGGATAAGGTGATGTTGGATCCTTGAAAGCGAAAAGCGATTGGATGAACGAGGGCTTTTGCTTAATGAATATCGGTAAAGTGCTTTTGTAGGCCATTTATGTTCCATTGTATAATGTTAGCTGTCATATTTATTTTTATTTAAAAATTTGTATTTGTGCATTGATAAATTGTGAACAGTTGATTTGGTGGAAAAAGTGTTATGATTTAGCTGCATATGATTGTAGGAAAAATTAGTTTTTTTGAGAAGGTAGTAAAGCTTGGAATAAAAAAATGGCTAATCTAGTGAGTTGGTTTTTGGAAGTACGTTCAGTGACCTTAGGTTGTATTTGATCGATCAAGTGAATAAGGAAGTGATATCCAAATTGATGTCTTTGTAGATATTATGAATATTTATATTTTTGTTGGTATAGTTTTCCATTACATTTTTGAATTGGCATAACGAGATGGATGGGTTGTTAGAGAAGAGGTCATCAGCTGGTTTGAGACCAGCGGATAATTTGTCAGCTGTCTTGAATGAGGAGTTGGATCTGGATCTGTCTACTTTAGCTTTTTTGTGATATTTCTACTTCTGTCAATGTTAGTATCGTTGGCTTCATTGATTGGTAGGTTTGCCGGGGGGGATGATGATAATGTTACTAGAGATGAGAAGTCAGAGAGACCTTTTATGTAGTTCATTAATTGAGGGGTAATGGTTCTCGGTTTTATGAGTTTGGTTTGGAGACGGAAAGAGTTTCGTTGGTCTGATAATTTTCTGTGATCCCTTCCATTTTTTGAGGGATTGTAAGTGTAAGATTGGGGTTTATTGCTGTCGGAGTGTGTATGGCTGTATCTTGGGTGTCGATGTCTGTGAGAGAGTGTACAAAAGATTCATCTATTACAGTTTTCTTCACAAGGGGTTCTTCCACAGAGATTGTAATAATAAAACATACAATTTCATTTTTTTAACTAACAAATTAAAATATAATAAAAATATAATTTTTTTTTTAATTTACAAATTATAACATAATAAAACATCCTATTTTATTTTTTTCATTAGGTACATCATTTTTAATATTAATTTTGCTAAAATATTTTGCCGTCCCTGAGACATGACGCCCCGGGCATGTGCCTACCCGTGCTCCCCTCCCCTAAATATAGGCCTGAGTGGAGTTGATATTAGTAATTGTTAGAGTTATTGTAGAGAAGTTTCCATTCAAAACATTGTGTCTAGTAGGTTCGTTATTGTTTAATAGAACGAGTGTTTCGACTTCTAATAATTCTTTGACCATTGGAGCCCTGTTGTAATAATTGTAAGTGCTTCCTCATGAAGTATTGTGACTATTGAAGTCACCCAAAAGGATGAAAGGTTTGGGAAACTGTTTAATGACATCCTTTAGATGTTGTTTAGTGAAAATTTTGATATCGGGAATGTATATGTTGCATGTACATAAAGGTTTTTGAAATTTGACTAAGATTGTAATGGTTTTGAGATCAGAGATAATTAGAATATTTTTGGAATCGATAGTATCATTGATAAAAGTGGCTACTCCTTCACTTTCTTTGAAATCAAAAATTCATTTTTTTATAATAACCGGTGTAATTTTTGATATTTGCGCAGTGTTTTGGTTTCTTGGAGATCTTGCCGGTTGAAGGTCATAAATAATGCGATTTATGCCGACAGAATGTTTATAGAAATCGTTAATATTCCATTGGTTAAAAGAAGTCATAGATGATGGTGTAGTAGTTTTTTTTTTTTTAATTTATGGTGTGCTTTGAAAAAGGAGGTTTGTTAGTTTAGTGATTTTAGTTTTTATACTGCGGTCAATTAAAATGGGTCTAATTTCTTCAATGTCCCTGATTCTCAAGCTAGTAATTTAGCAATCGTTAGTAACCCCTTCCTTTCGAAGTGCTCCCACATAATTCTAAAAATCAGCGCATTACTACTATCCTTCAAAATCAGGTCATTCTCCATATCCTTCCTATGGGCTCCAGGGCATATAGGCATAAATGGTAACGAATACGTTGATTCGTTAGCTGGCTCAACCGCCAACCACTCTTACTCGGGTCCACTGTGGTGTCCCTATACGGATTTAGTTTCTTTACATCGCAAATTTATAAATGAACAATGGAAGCTGGAATGGGATTCCTTACCAGAATCCTATGCTTTTGGTTATAGGTCATTATTTAAAAACATCCCTAATCAACCATGGTTTCATTCCCTAAAGATGAGCCGTACAGTCATAGCTAAATTCACTAGATTACGCACGGGCCATAGCCTATTACTATACCACTCGTTTAAATTGGGACTCAACAGTAGTGCGTGTTGTCCTCTACCCAACTGTGGTGGAGAATACTGTGATTTCCATCACCTAGTCATAAATTGTCAATCTCTATCTATCCAAAGATCTCAGCTAAAGATTCTCTTTTTCATCTCTGGTATTCATTTTTCCCTTATTGATGCTCTTTCAACCGACAATACTAATATAATCAAACATACGCTAAATTTTATTCTGCAATCAGGTCTCCGAATTTAAGAGTGTGAGCTTTACCAACCTTAATTTATTTCAGATTCATGTACATAATTGTCGAGATATCATAATGTAACGTTAAAATCTAATTAAAAAAAAAAAATTTCTTCAATTAATTTATTTAAATTTGCTGCAGTTGTTCCGATTTGATTACATAAATCATAAATATTTATGTTTTTGTTTGAAAAATTTTCGATTATATATTTGAGAGTGCCTTTATTGACAGATATAGATAAGTCTTTATTTTGGAGAATAATTTCAAATGTTATTTCGAGTTGTTCACCTATTTTATCTGTATTGCTTCGTGTAGATGAAGAAAAACTAGATCGGATTTTGGTTTCTTTAAATTTTTTTTTCCTTAGTAGATCTATTTTTGTCATGTAAGATATCATGCAGTGGCGGCGCGAAATATTTTACTTCATGAGTTCTGTTAGGATTTTGCCTACCCACCCACTCACCTAAAAATAAATTTAAGGGTAGATTGTAAAAAGAGCTCCTTCACTATTTGTTTTACATGCTGCGTAACTACTCGATACCCAATGGTCAATATCCACCCACCTACCCACCCACTGACTTGAGTCCAGGGACTCAAAAATCTGCCGTCACGCCACCACTGATATCAGGTGCTTCGATATTAAAAGAAGAAGGTATAGGTAATAGTTGTGATGAAGGACATATGGATTCAGGTGCTGGTCTTTTGTTAATGATTTGGTTGTCTTGTGATTATGATATGTTTGTATAATTTATATTTAGCATTATTTGGTCGTTATTTTGGTTAGGCGTGACGTTAGTATTCGGTGTTTTTTCAGTGGCTCGGTGCGCTTGTGGTGTTTTTGGTTGAATCATCATTTAAGGAGTCCATATTTTCAGGTAAAATAAGGTTTATATATGTCGTTTTACATGAGAATAATACATAGCCTGTTTTTTTTTTGTATAGGAAACAAGTTACTGTGTCATCGATAATAAATATACTGTATGTGGTATTATCTAAAATTATTTTGATTGAGAAGTTTTGAGAAATCTTTGGGGTTTATATAAAAATGTTTATATAAAATGTCTTCAAAAACTTGTTATGTGCGTGAATTTATCTAATTGAAAACTGGCTTTAAGCGCAGTGATTATAAATGCAATTTTTACATCGAGGTTCACGAGTGCTTCAATTATAATATTATTAAGGATAGCGGGATAAACGTTTGATAATATAATGCGTTTAGATGGATTAATTAATTTACGTATTGGTATCTCGATATTATAAATGTACATGGCTGAATGTTCATTTATTATGTCCTTAGATATTTGTTGATTTTTAAGAAATATACAGAATCGGTTATTGGTATATAGGTGACGCAGATATTATATTAGTAGCATTAGTAATTTTATTAAGCGGGATTATATACTGAATTTGTTTAATTTCGTTTACCGAGTTCAATACTACGGCTAGATTCAATTTTGGCGTGACGGAGTTTGCTGTTATTTCTGCAAATCTTTTACCTTGGTTAAGTGGTTTATTGGAGACTATAAGGTGATTTGAGTGTTGTCTTGAGTTGGTATTAGATTTGTTGGTTTGTATTAGTTAATTATTGGAGGCCAGTAACTTTTCATTGAGAGATAGTTTATTGGACTCTTGTGTATTTAAACGTAATACGTTTAGCTGAGAGTTATTCATTGCGAATAAATGCCGTTTGTATTTTATTTTAATTAGATACGAAAATGAATGTATGAAAGCATAGTCACCTTATTAATATACTCATATAAGAGTGGGTCACTTCTATTGGAAGATAAAAATGTGGGTTGCGAAAAGGTTTCTCACGTGTTGCTCGGTTGGGAGTCAAACATGAGCTGAATAATACCTTGTAGCATTAAAAAATAAAAATAATAAATAAATCAAGGATAATATTTTTAATAATCATTATTAATCTTTGAATCCAATATTTGTGAGTATTTTTAGTATATAATTCAAATAATTTATTGATATTTGTTTAAGCAAATACCGATTGGCGACCATTTTTAATTATAACTAGAAGAGTATAATAGCATATAATTATTTTAGTGTTTTAAAAATTAATTCTAACATTATGACATATACCCTATAACCTTGACTCCATTGAAATAGTCTCTATATCATAAAAAAAATATGTACATTGCCATCATTAGACAACTTTTATATTTATTTACGAGTATATTTATTATATGATTTTTTAGATTCGTTTAAGGCATAAATATCGAGTTGAAAATGCTGAACATTTATTGATTCTAAATGATAACCATTTAGAAAAAGTTCACACTCGAAACGGTCTTAAACTTCTATCATGTGAGAAAAGTTTTCCATGGACAGATTTATGGAATGAAAAAATTTGTCGAGAAGCCTTGAAACTTACCTCAAATGAAGCTAATGATACCATTTATGGTCTATACTTTTCTGCACATTGGGTATTAATTGTGAACTATAATTAAGTATAATGCATAGTACTCACAAATTGTTGTAATTTCAGTGTCCACCGTGCAAAGCATTTATTCCGCAGCTCATTCATGCTTACGATAAAATAAGAAAAAGAATCAATTTTGAGATAATTTTTGTTAGTTCTGACAGGTATTATATAAAAACTATAAATTATTATAAAATAATAAATGTATTATACCACATGCTAATAATAATTAATATATTACTAAATGTTTACATGATTAACATTCATATCAGGAATAGACGAATGTTTTTTTTAAAAACATTTTAACAAAAGATATACGGGTTTAGAAATTAATTTTCCTAAAATAATCGATTGTAAATAGAAGAATTCTCCACTTTTTTAATCAAATAGTTATTACTGTGAGCGATTATTTAGAAATAGATAACTTTTGAAGTTACCTATCTAATAATTTTTTTCTATTTTTTTTATTCAATCTATTCACCATAAAAATACGAAGAATTAATTTATTAAAATTAAAATGAATTACCTTCCATTTACGTAAACAAATAAATACTTTTTCTTATGAGTGTAAAAATGTGTGTTGTACCTAATCAATCCAGATCTAATCAAAAGTAATATATATTTATTTTGTAGTAACATCGTATTTTAGTATATTATTTATAAGTAAATGTTTTATTAATTTTATGGTCACCTTACTTCATGTCAAAAAATTAATTTGAAAAATTACGATAAGAAATTATAGAATTATATCCATTTTGTAGAATTTAATACGTAATATGTTTGGGAACTTGGCCATTTATAATACTTGATTTTTAAATTAAATTAATTTAAATATATTTATAGTAACCTGTACCATACACATTAAATACTCCTGATTGTATTAGATTTAAATAAAAGTATTTTTCATGAAATATAAACCCATTCTTTTTTTTAGAAGTGAACAGTCTTATAAATCTCACGCGTCCACTATGCCATGGCCTTCTGTTCCATATGACAATAATATTTTACGAACAAACCTAACCGAATGTTTTAATGTTCGTGGTATTCCTTATTTAGTATTAATTGATAACAATGGAAATATTATCACAGAAAATGGTCGAGCGGAAATTATAGAAGATCCTGATGGATCTGTAAGATTGTATATTTTGTTTGGATTAATTAGAAACAATTCTCATTTTGTTCTTATTTACAGTATTTTCCGTGGAGAAAAAGATTTGTATATTCTCTTTCTTCAAGACTTTTACCTAAACTTCAGAGTTACCCAGCTGTAGTATTATTCATTGAAGGAGATCAAGAAGAAGAATTAGAGTTGGCTGAAGGTGTTTTGTTGCCTGTAGCACAACAAATTGCAAAAACTAGAAATAACGCATTATATGATCTTTTATTCTTTATAGCTCCAGACGTATGTATAAATTTAAACTGTACATTTTTATTATGATGAGACATTTTAAAATAGTAGCTATTCAAAAATTAAAGACTAATTGAACCTTACACAAACTTGTTCAATGGGGTAAATAACCTTTTCAAAGAAATAATTAACAATATTAATAAAAGGAGTAAACTTTGATTCATTCATACACCGAAATATTATTTATAGAATATTTCTAAACCGTTATTTTCCTGCATTTTAAGCTCGAAATAAAATATGATACTTAATAAACACCTTGTCAATATGAAAGCTATTTATTATTTCCATTAAAATTTTGCTTTGTAGTTGTATACTTTTTTTTTAATAAATCTACTTAAAAATTCGATTTATTTCGGATAATAAATTGCATATGGAAAAGTGAATACCACTTTATGATTTAATAAACTTATGTCGTATATACTATTATTGTATCATTATACTATCATTAATTATAAATACTGATACTAGTATTTATAATCAATGGTACTATAAAATCAAAAATTATAGTACATAAGTATAGAATGACACATATGTACACATTTTGGTTCATTAGTTACAGAATTTGTTTTTTTATTTTACAGGATGATACATCAGATACCTTAAGACATTTCACGAGACTGACAGATGATACAGCACCACTGTTAACGTTAATAGATATACCAATGGCAAGAATTTCAGTTATGGAATATGGAATCCATATAACAGAAAAATCTATAATGAATTTCGTTCTTGGTTTTTTTGATGGAACAATGAAATTTTCACCAATACTTTAGTTAAAATATTTTTTTTACAAATTGTTAAAGAATATTATATGTAGTAAAATAAAATACATTTATTATATAGAATTATCATAAATGCTGTAAAAGTAGGACAATCCTATATCCTAGGACCGTTTCAATGATATGAATATGGTATGGTAAAACTATATAGATAATTATATAAATTATGTATAATTTATATAAAAAATATATGAAATTATTTAAACAAATTTTAAATTATTTGATGTGTTTTTTATAAAAATGTGAAAAGTAGAAAAATTAATGCTATAAAATTGAAAAAAGCATATTTTATTAAATATTTACTTTAATATTTGAAAGCTAAAAATTATACATCAATATTCAAGATATATTTTTTTATTTCTTCTAGTGGATTTTTGAGCCAATTTGTGTGTAGCGAATAGCGATTGGTATAAAACGGTTTTTTTTTCAAAATAAAACTAATAATATAAATTAAGTTTGCAAACATTTACAAACCAGGATATTTTCATAACATTTGTTTTTGTGTTTAATGATCTTAAAAAAAATTGAAGGGGTGAGTGAAAGAGTAGTGGTCTTCCATGACATATCTTTAAATTTTCTTCTGGACGCATATGGATATCACAAGGCTTATAATAATTACTAATACATAATGTAAGGAAAAGAGATAGTTTATAGGTCAGATACCTCTTGGTTTTTATTGTATCTGTGTACAATTTTTTAACATGAGAAAATTAATATATTATTATTACTATTTTATTATAATAACCTAATTTTATTGAAATTATATTTAAAAATTGTATTCATAGTAATTAGTATTTAATACTGCAATTCATAAATTGTCTCTATAGATTGTGTGATAAACGATGTTTATGCCGCTAAATTTGATTAATCTACAAATTATATTCATCGGATATAGAATGCAATATTGTAGTCAGGATTTATGAGACTCACGCCGAACACTCATTAAGTGCACACGCGCATTTCGTTGTTCTCTAAGTTATGTTTCAAATCTTAACTGTACCATCGATTAAGATATCTAACAATCGTGTAATAAATAATGAAACTACTTCACAAGACACCAAATGGCAATCACAAAAACACAAACAATCAAAACGCAGCCTTCCCACCACATCGACCACTCTATCCAGCCAACAAGATAAGAAACCAAAACTATTTTTCTCACCAAATCGTTTTTCAATACTATCAGAAAATGAAATAGATAATACAGAACATGATGCCACTAATCATAATGAAATAGAATCCACAATCACTCAAAATAATAAAAAAGAACTATCTCCGTCAATATTTGTGAAAGAATTAATAAACTACTCTGACCTCAGAAATTAAATTTCCAACGCAATTAGACCTGATGGCTTCATCTGTAAATCCACTACCACACATATAAAAATACAAGCAAATACTCCTGATAATTATAGAACACTAATACACTTCTTATAAGATAACAAAACTGAATACCATACATATCAATCCCAGTCTAACAAATCATTTAGAGTAGTAATTAAAAATATTCACGCCGTTACAGACTCCTCGGAAATGTCTAATGCACTAGAATAAATAGGTTTCACTATAAGATAAGTAACAAACATAAAACATTACCAAACAAAAATACCACTACCCATTTTTTTTGTTGATCTTGCTCCTGAAAATATAAGTAAGGAAATATTTAATATAACTTCTCTGTTAAATACAAAAATAAAAGTAGAAGAACCGCACAAACGCCGAGAAATCCCGCAATGTTTAAATAGACAATCTTATCGCCACACGAAAGGCTATTGTTCACATTTACCTCGTTGTGTAAAATGTGGTGAATCTCAATCAACAACAAAATATTCCAAACCATCCGATATACCGGCAGAATGTACTCTTTGCCAAGGCAACCACTCTGCCAACTACAAAAGTTGTGTCATTTATAAAGAACTACAGCAACGCCGTTGCTTACCACCCAGCTCAAGACTTAAAAATACGCAACAACAATCAACACAATCCACCAACCAACTAACTCCACTCTGCAATTAGTTAACCTCACAGCCAACAATTTTAGTGCCAAAGACGCAACCAAAATGCACCTATGCAGAAGTAGCAGCCTCTACAGGTAACGTACCACCGCCAAATTCTTCTAACACTCAACACACACCCTCTTCAGAACATTTACTTAATACATTTCTAGAAGATTTCAAATGTTTAATTAGCCTGTTCATTTCTCTTCTCACATCAGTCATTTCTAATCTTCTTAATGCAAAAAAAAACTAGTCACGCATATACTAACATCTCCCTCCTGATCCTCTCCTGGATCGCAAACGGTTTAAACATAGACGAATAGAGACGAACTCTTAATAACTCTTCGGGAAAAAAGAATTGACATTGCTTTAATATCCGAGACTCATTTCACGAACAACTAAATTCTCAACTTACCAGGCTTTCGTTTATATCATAACAATCACCCTGATGGCGCTACTCACGCAGGTGCTGCAATTTGTCAGATCGTCTCTCACATCGTTCTCGACGAACAAAATAATAACAAAATAAGCCGACAAAAGTTACTATAATAAACTCGTCCAAAAACTTAAACGTATCCAAGTAAACTTCAGAAATTATTTCTACACTAAACACTTAGAATCACTTACAACAAAAGATGGATCTCTTTGGAAAGCTACGAAACGACTCCTACGCATACGTAACCTCCCAGCTACCTTATGCGGTACCAACGGAATTTGGGCACATTCTGACGAAGATACAGCTAATATATTTGAAATCCACCTCGCTGAAACATTCAAACCACGTCACAACATTCTTTCTAAAAAAATAAAAGCAGTCGAGGAATTTCTAGTCTCATCATTACAAATGTTTCTCCTTCCTAAACAATTAACTCCAGCTGAAGTCCAATATACAATATCTAAATTTCTACAAAAAAAATGTCTTGGCCACGACCTAATTATAGTAGAAATACTTAAGCAGCTCCCTAAAAAAGCTATCATTATTTTGACCTACATATTTAACTCGATATTGAGGTTATCGTACTTTCCTATAATATGGAAATACTCGACCATAATTCTAATACCCAAGCCAAAAAAACTACCCGACTGTCCATCATCATACAGGCCTATTAGCCTACTTCCAATAATATTAAAAGTATTTGAAAAAATGCTAATAAAAAGCTTTTAAACATTGTCGAAAGATTAAAAATTCTCCCGGACTATCAATTTGGCTTTCGTAGTAAACACTCTACAATCCACCAAGTTCATCGATTAGTAGACAAAATTTCCTTCTCTTTGGAAGTAAAACAGTACTGCACTGGTGCCTTCTTGGACGTCTCCCAGGCGTTTGATCGCATCTGGCACGTAGGTCTTTTGTTCAAAATAAAACACTTTTTGCCTCCTAGTTACTATCTCATACTTAAATCTTATTTAGAAGATCGATTTTTTTCAATACGTTATGGCTCGTTCATTTCCTCACCAATACCAATTAATGTAGGAGTTCCTCAAAGTGCCGTTTATCGCGCCACTTCTATTTAATATATTTATATGAGACCAATCTACGCTGCCTAATAATTTCGTAGGTGACTTTTCTGACAATAAAGCTATAATAGCCAATAATCATAACCAGGACTCATAACTTATAGCTCTAAAAAAGGTTGTTATAATCGTATATATAGTTTCTTCTGATATACTATAAGTTATATAAGAAGAAAAATTAATTAACACAAATTAATTACTAATATGAACAATTAATATAAATATAATTACTTGTTATTTTTAAGAAAAAATGTTTTAGGCTAGTAAAAATTTTTTTAAAAAATTATGCAAAAATCCAAAAATAAGAAAAAAAGCGAAAAAAAGCAATATAGCACTTATACTTCGAAATATGCAAAAATATACAACATAAAATTTTGTATGTAGCTTCTTGATTATCTGAAACAAATTTATAGCTCACATAGGGTACCTCTAGGACCTCTCAAAAGAATATGCAAATACTAGAAGTTATGAGCCCTGGTCATAACCCAACCACTGCTTCTTAGTACATTCAAGACCACTTTTCTCTCCTTGAACAATGGTATAAGGAATAGGGAGTGAAAATAAATGAATCAAAATCTATGTATTGCACGTTTACCCTTAGAAAGGGAAAATGTCCATCTATTATCCTTAACGAACAAACTCTACCAACCACGCTTTCCATCTGCTATCTGGGCATCACTATCGATTAACGAATTACTTGGGTTCCGCATCTACGCAACAAAATCCAAACTCTAAACGATCGTTTTAGTCTTCTCCGTCCTTTTCAAACTTTTAATCACGTAAAACTACCAACCAAGCTACTAATCTGTAAACTTTTTTTCAAACCAATATGGGCGTATGGAATCCAACTTTGGGGTTCTACAAAGTTCTCTAACATCAACAAAATACAGCGTTTCCAATCAAAAACTCTCCGATCTATTACCAAAGCCACCTATTACGTATCAAACCATTCCCTACATAATGATTTTGCCATTCTCCCCGTCTAAGATATTGCTAAAACCTTCTATAAACGATTCAACTTAAATTTAAAAAAAACCACATAAATTCATTAATCAAAGATCTGGCCTCAAAAAATATACCTGGAAACCCAAAAAAAGATTAAAAAAGCGGTGGTGTCGGGATCGTAGGTTAATAAAAAGAAACACTAAATTGTAAATACCACAATTGTAATAATTATTCTTACCACTTGTTTTTTATTTCTATTATTATTATTTTTATTTAAATAGTTAACCTAAACGAATGTTAAAAAAAACCTAAGTGCTTTCACCTTTAAAGAGGCTTCTTTAATTTGTTACTCATGACAAAAAATATGTACCTTAATTGCCCTTATTGTTCCATTTGCAACAGATTGTATTAAAAAAGATTAAAAGTTTAATAAAAAAAAAAGGATTTATAAGACTTTTTGATAAAACAAAACATCCAAAGAAAAAATAAACTAAAACAACAATGATTACTACTTTTACTGCAGATGTCACAATTTTAGGATAGATAAACGTTAAGAGTAAAGCAAAGAAAAGAAAAAATACAATAAATAAATAACATAGACAAATAGACCAGATAAATATGCAATTGCCTAGTTAAAAACTAATTCAAGAATCGGATAGTTAATTTAAATTTAATAAACAAGCTAAAAATGGTAAAAATTTATGATGGTAACAAGTTCATAATCACAATTTTAAATTTGCACAAGATTACTCAGTTCTGTTTTATAAAATTTTTCGATGGCTTCATCGAAATCCTTTTTAGGGCAAATGTTTCCAAACTCAGTCATAACTCATTTAAGGTTTGTCATCAGTCTTCTTGAAAGCTCAAAGCCAAATTTTTACTTGAGAAAACCATTCCATATCCCTGATGATTCCCAATGCTTTTTCTAAATATTGCTATGCGAATTCAATACCTGAAAATAATACAAATAATACGAATAATATATTAGTAAAAATTTAATTTTTCCATTTTATAGGAAATTAGCATTCTCTGTCGACATAGAATTTAATAGGATTAGGTACAATTTTATATTAGCTGAATAAGTATTTTTAAATAGCCTATGAGCCGGTACATCGCTCCAATTTAAATTTGCTCAACCAAATACTTAAGGTATAACTAGTATTTGATTAACTGTAAATAATTTATAAAAGGAGCATATATACCAGGTTAGGCGGTTATACCAGGGATGGCAAAACTTTGTGCACTGCGTGCTCAAAATTAGTTTTTTTTTTTATAAAGCGTGCCATGAAAAAAATATTAAAAATATTATGTTTTGTTATATTATAATTTGATTGTATAATTAATGCATTAGTATAAAAAGGTTAGTTTAGGTATATAATAATAATAATAATTATAATAATATTGCTTTGTTAATTATTTATATTATATTATATTATAGGTCCCACAATATTATATAATATGTAATATATAATAGTAAAATCTTTTTGCGTACCATGGATTTGCCATCCCTGATACATACATACGGCAACGATTTTTCAACTTACTAAAATTATTCTGACAATTCTTTTTGACTATAATAAGTATATTTACATCGAAATAAAACATATATGCTGTACTATCATATATTTTTTATGTGCCCATAAATTATTATAAAGATTAAATTAACGAGTTTACTTAAAAAATAAAAACCATTATCTGTTATAGTACTTGCTTTTCGTAAACGTATTTAATTATTTTCCTATTTTCAATACTTTTTTAAAATGTTCTTTTTAAAATACACAAAAATCTTTTTACTACAACTAAAATAAACTTAATATCGTACTTATGTTTCACACGTGAATAACTATGCGTGTTTAATTATATCTTATCTCTAAGTACATTACTCAAAGTAGTCTTGTTCAGATAATAACATGTTTTAACTTCCCACATAAATATTAATTTAAGTAGGAACTAATTCTTACAGTTTAGACAAAATACATGATTAAAAACAATAAACTGTTAATATAAAAATATAATACTTTATAATCTATAAAATAAAACATGTTTGTCTTCTTATAAGTGTATTTCATACTCATAGTTTGTACGTTATTTTTTTCTGTCCTAGCCATTTATATGTATTCATAGATTTTAAGATTTTTTAGATTTTTAGATAGTTAAATAGTTTTTTTTTTTTTGGTAATATATAAGTACTATTATATATAGTACTATATATTACAATATACCTAATAACATATAGGAACATTAAGAACTATAAAGCTATACTTAACTGCAGTAGATAAAAGTTGTTTGTTTTAATAAAAAAAAAAAAAAAAAATAGGAAAGAAATCCATGGATATTTTAATTGCTTTAGACAGTGATAAATAAAAACCGAAGAAGAATCTTTCAATGAAACCCAACTTCTTAATTCTACTGTTCGGTGATGTGGCATTATAAATATTTATAAATAATTACAAAAAATTAAACTAATTTAATTATATGTAAAAATGTTATGGAATATAATATTTACTATTCGAACAATAATCGGGAAATTTTGGATATTGGAGTGGAAATAAGTACATCACTAATTAAATTTAGAAGCACTAGTATAAATATAAATTTTAATTGATTTTCAATTTAAATTTTAAAATTAAACAAATTAAATTATTTTAATTATTGCGTATCCTATATCCACTCATCGAAAAATCAATAAAAACAATTTAAAAACCAAACCACTTTTCCAAATAAACTGATTTTAACTGTTTCTCATTAGCTTAATCATTTAGAATTATTAAAAAGATCGGAACCATAAGTAAGTGTTTTTGTTTAAACTATCGCAATTACTTTAATATTTATTGTACATATTGTAATCCTTTAGATACTAAAATTATATCTGATGATTATATAACACTATGTATATTTACAATAATCATAAATATTAATATATTATTATATTTTTAAAATCATGCTATTTGATATTTATAAATGTTTGATATTAAATATAGAAAAGCAATCCTAAATTAAAACAATTAATACATTTTCATTATATTATTTTTTGGAAGTTAAATTAGTGATATTTTTTTTAATACAATGAAATATTCACTATTAATAAATAATAATATAAAAAGGATATATGTATATCTTTGTAATATGTATTATTTTATAAAATTACAATTTTTGAAAGTTTTTCGAATAATAAATAATGTAATGTACTTATTATAATATGTGCAAATGATATAAGTATACTTAAAACGAATCCAACAAAGATATATCTTATACATACATATATTTGTAGGTAAGTTCATATTTTATATCCAATAGGGAAGCAAGTTGTAGGTAAATTATAGGTTTCAGTCTAAAATATAACGAAAGAGAAAAATTATCAATATCCCTATGTTAAGTTTATTAGATATTCATTACTTAGTAGAACCTTGAAGGCTTTTATTATAAAATCAATATAATTTTTGTTAAAATATTTATATTTATACTTTGAGCTGACTTTAGTTGTCCATGTCATTTTAACAGTGTTATTAAAATGAAGTTCGCGGTTTATTTAGAATTTTGGCACCAAATAAAAGCATTAACCATTAGAAATGTGCTCATTAAAAGAAGAGAAATTAAAAAAACTTTATCCGTGAGTATTCTTTAGTTAAAGAATGCAATTAGATCTTTGAAATTCATAAATTTTTCAGGAAATCGCTATACCAGTGTACACATTAGGGCTTTTAGTTGCAATCAAATTGTTGATTCCCAATCCTAATTTTCCATCGGTAACAGTTCCCCAAGAATCTCCTGATATGTACAATTATTTATACGGAAATATAACTGTCGCACCATCATCAAAACACGTTCAGGTAAATTATTTAACAGAAATTATAATTAATTTACAATAATTGGAAATGTATTGAATCATATCTGTGTTATAATACATGAAATCACCATAGATTTTTTTAGAAAAAATGAATGAAATTTGGATGAAACGAAGTGGGGAGAAAATTAACTTTGATGTTTATCAAAACAAAGAAGATATTTTTGAAATACAAAGAAATGATCCAGCAATGGTTTACGTAGCCTTATTATTTGAAGATGATCCAATTCAAAATCATTCTTTAAGGTTCTATATAGTTTTTTATAATAAACCATGATTCATGCGCATGATTCGATTTATGTTTAAAACTCATATTGTTGAACTTAATTTACTTACATTTAATATAAATCATTGTTTTACATTCTTAATATTATAATATTAAGATAAAACTTGATTTATTTTTTGCAAAGTATAATTTTTTGTTGTTTAAAATAATAGATTAATATATATTTCTAGACAATACATTTTTTTAGTACCAAATTTGCCTTTTAAAATTTAATAATATATTTAAGTGGTATGCTATAGATTATTTAAAATTTAATACTTCTATATTTTGCTTTAGTTATAAAATTCGAACAAATCCATTTTATGATTCTTCGCCATCACCATCTAAACTTTATGGGTCCAATCATCAATGTCGAAAAATATTTGCAAATAAATTAACAAAAAAATTTCTTCATCGTCATCACCATAATAACGACCAACACAAAGAAGAAATATCATGTCCAGCAATTCATTATATATACTCAGGGTTTATGGCTCTGCAGACTCTAGTAGATATTACAAAGATTTCTTTGACCTCACATTCATCTATGATATTACCAAATTACCGTTTCGTACTTTTTCCAAAACCAGCTTACACAGCAAGTAAATTTGACGTTTTCAAATGTTACTTATGTAATTTTAAAGTATAAATGACAATATCATTAAAAATATTATTTGCAGATTGGTTAATGGTATTTCATATGGTTATACCACTTTATGTAGTAATCGCATTATCACAGTTTATTACATACCTTTTAGTACAGTTAGTTGGTGAAAAAGAACAAAAAATAAAAGAAGTTATGAAAATAATGGGTCTTAAAGAATTGGTATTTTGGTGTTCATGGTTTAACATCTACGCAGTTTATGTGACATTGCTATCAATTGCTAGTACCGCAATACTATATTTATTGGGAATTTTCAACAACACTAACTGGATACTAATATTTTTATTAGTGTATTTTTACTCAATAACAGTTATTTTCTTCAGCTTTATGATTTCTCCATTTTTTGACAAATCTAGAGTAAGTGTATTATTTTTATTTTGTTTATGATCAGAGGTGTAGTTACGGTGATCGACAAATTTGAGTATAATACACATAAAAAATATATTATAAAAATAAGAGGATGTAATCACTAACGTGTAGCTTATTTGAGTTAAAATTTAGTATCAAAATGTTTAGTACCTACTCATTAAAATATAAAACAAATTAAATACCTATATTTTATGTTTACTCAAATTATATGAGATAATATTAATTTATAATATATTATTTAAGTAGACGTATTATGTTTAAAAATATCATCAAAATCAAAATATTATTTTATAAAAAATACTGGAAAACTTTTTGAAATTAAACATCTTACCTATGCCACTGCTTCTGATAATGTTTATTCTTAAGTATGTTTAAAACATAATATAATATATATTTTAGACAGCAGGAATACTTGGAAATTTTGTGCTTAATTTAATAAGCCTTATGTATTTTCTACATACTTTGATTGACCCTTCAAGCAAACGACTATTTTGGCTGATATCATTGATCAGTCCATCCGGTTTTGCATTGGCTATTGACAAAGCTATGACAATGGACTTATCAGGCGAAGGCCTTCACTTTGGTAATATTTGGAATGGCCCAGGAATTTCATTTGGAGAAAGTTTATTGTTTATGGTATTTGATGCATTCATCTACGCAATTCTTGCTTATTATTTCGACATGGTCTTGCCTAGTGAATATGAACGCAAACAATCACCTTGGTTTTTTTTGAAATCATCGTTTTGGCATTCTAAAGTACCAGAAGTAATAGAATTCGATGATTTAAATCGATATTCAATCTCAAACCCAGACTTAGAACCTGTAGCGGATTCTATGAAAGAGTTTCAAGCGATTAAAGTGACAAATCTTTGCAAATCTTTCAAAGGATCTACAAAAAATGTTATAAATGGTGAATTAAATTATCTATCTAAATATTAAATTAACTACTATGAATAACTACTAAAGTGATTTTCAGGAATAAATATGATAATATACCAAGGGGAAATAACTGCTATATTAGGACATAATGGCGCTGGGAAAACAACATTGTTTAATATATTGACTGGACTTACTGAACCAACATCAGGGACAATAAAAGTATTTGGATATGATGTTAGAAACCCATCTGATGTGACTAAAATTAGAAGAATGATTGGAGTTTGTCCACAATATGATATATTATTTGAACGACTTACTCCCAAGGAACATTTAAAATTCTTTGCTACCCTCAGAGTAAGTAAACGATATTTAAATTTATTGACATTTTTTGTTCTATATTTAAAATCAGTGTTTGAAAATTTCATGAAATTTAAAATTGTGAAATATTTTAGTATTATAATACATTTTTATTTTTTTTAAATAAGTTTTAATTTATGTATAATTGTCATAACATACTCTTTACATTGTATAATATTAGGAAATTAATGATTATACCTAGAACTAGAAATTTTATATTATATAATTTATAATTGATAAATAATCATCATTAATATTTGTATTAGAAAAAATTCAATGTTTCACGTTTTTACGAAATATTTCATACTAAAAACATTATTTAAAAGTATTGAGCCATTTCATCTGTCTTGAAAAATCACACTTCTTATTTGACATTTCACCAAAATTTATTTGGAAAATGATCAATCATGTTTGCAACTTGTATAAGTGTTCATGGTTTTATTTTTAAACATTTAGAATAAATTAATTTGTTAAATAAATTACTAAGAAAAAAAATTACAATCACTTATTAACTCTGAATATAATACAATAAAAACAATTATAGTGTAATATACAAATTTAATTCAGTATTATAATTATAAAACAGTTTGAATATCTATCAGTTGTATTAATATGATAATATTATTTTTTTATCTTTGGTATTTATCTGATACTTTGCATACCCCTTGCACAAGCCTATGAATAAAATTATTATAAAATAATATACATATTGTTTTCCATTCTCTGTGATGCGAAAGCCACTAGAGAACAATGTTAAATCTATTTTATTATTAAAAATCGCCCTCACATTTTAATGAACTTCTGATTCGATAATGATACGGGATCCATTTTATGTAACATATTACTATAATATTTTTCAAGGGACTTACTTCTGAAAAAATTGATGATGAAGTACAAAAAATGCTTGTAGAACTTTACCTAGTTGATAAAGCAGATGATATAGTAAAAACATTAAGCGGAGGACAGAAACGGAAGTTATCAGTTGGTATCGCAGTTATTGGAAATCCAAAAATTATAATATTGGATGAACCTACTGCAGGTGTTGACCCACCAGCAAGAAGACATTTGTGGTCACTTCTTCAAAAGAGAAAAAAAGGAAAGGTGTGTTTTGTATATAAAAAATGTAAATATTTTATTATATATTCTTTTAACATATTTATGTAGGTGATATTATTAACAACACATTTTATGGATGAAGCTGACATCTTAGCGGATCGTATAGCAGTAATATCAAAAGGCTGTGTAAAATGTTGTGGTTCTTCTATATTCCTTAAAAATAAATTTGGTATTGGATACCATTTAACGTAAGTCGAATTAAAATAATGATAATAATTTAGGATAGCTAATGTTTTTTAAATATATCTTAAAAATATATAATTTACATTTCTAAAAAAAAAAATCAAAACTAGTAAAATAAAATACTTTCATATGACGTAGTAGAGTAAAAGTAATAGGAAGGTATTCACTGATGTCACTTTCATTTTAATATAGGGTAAATATTTGAGATATTCCAATACCTCGGACATAATATAAAATATTAAGATAACATTAAGAGTAAATAATTATATTTTTTTCTTATATTTTTTCACAAGATGTATATAATTCTACGATAAATAAATTAGTATATATTTTATATCCAATGTTAACAAAAATATCCAAATTATAAATATATTTTCAATTGTAAATAAATATTTTATTATATAAAAAAAAAATAATAATAAGAAATAAAAAATAAAAATAAAATAATGTGGATATTATGTAAGCTAGAAAAAAAATTAAATTTTAAAAATGATTAAATTGTATAAATATTTGAAATTTGTATTTTTGTAGATTCTCATAATAATATTAAAATTATTATGCATTTCAATGTAATTATAGATTAATTCTCAATAATCAAGCAAATGAAAATTCAATAGTAAAAATGATTAAAGAACACGTGCCAAACGCAGAACGTGCTAGACGCCATGGTTATGAATTATCTTTTGTGTTACCACATGATAGTGTGAGTAAATTTCCACCGCTATTTGGACAGATTGAAACAGAAATTAAATCTAAAACTAGTTCCATGGGCATTGAAAACTATGGTGTATCAATGACCACACTGGAAGAAGTATTTTTATATCTTGAACAAGGTCAACATGAAAACGCCGGGAAATTGGCAATCGAACTGTTAAAAGGGCCACCGACTACAGACTTGAATAGGTGATTGGGCCTAAAATATTAAAATATTATACTTTTTATATCTATATTATACAGAAGTAAAATAAAATAAAATTTCTTTCAATAGCCGTGGATCGATTAATTCAATACATAATGTTACCGTGAGATCGAGTATAGTATACGATCCAACTAACTGGAGTACAATAGTGGCACTTTTGAAAATGCGAACAAAACGAGTATTAAGAGATATACATAAATTATATGTTATGATATTGTTACCCATTGTATTCTTGGCAACTGGAATAATCTTGAACAAATTAAGTCACGAAATCCAACCAATACGAAGCTTGGTTTTAAATTATAGTACGTTCCTTTAACATTTCTTAGGTTAATACAAATAAAAATATGATGTCGATAATGTGAAGAACAAATTTTTAAGATATTTTTCAGGTTAGGTAATTCATAGGTTATTTAGTAAATAAAAATTTATTCTTAGGTTGTTTATATTATGATAATTTTTTTTTTATTAAACAATCATAATTTAATTTAATATATTTATTTATTTTTATTATCTAACAATTCATGAATTCTATTACCATTGGAAGTTATAGCGCAAAACTTATGTACAAATAGAATAAATTCAATATATAAATAAAAAACATTAGCATATAAATACATATGAATACATAAATAAATATAACTTTTGTATAAATACTTTGAGGCTTATAATGGTAGACGAATAGTGTTTTAGTTAGAAGATTAATGGGTGCTTAAAGTTGAAGATGTATGTTATCAATAAAAATAAGTAGAGCATGCAGATATTGGTTGATTCAGAAATGAATGCTTCAGTTGGGTGATCAGATATTTGTAGTTTTATTATTTCCATGTTGTATATGTTACGGCTAGTGTTAGGAGTATGGCTAAACTCAAGTTTAGCCAGCTAGTCACAAGTTTAGCCATTGCGTTTGGCTAATATCTAAATTTCGGACATTATCCCCCAATATTTAACATTATCCAGGTGTATACGGCTAATGTCTAAATAGTATTATCCTTACAAACAGTCAAACGGTTTTAGTGATACAAAAATTCTTTAATTTCTTCTCTTATTCAATAATATTTAATAATACCAATCTTATTTAATAATATTATAGATTATGAAATAATTTTAATAATAATAGAGTAGAATTATTATTTAGAATTATTTATTCAATGATAATATGTACCTATTTTTATCATATAGATTTACGGCCACTTTTCATGACAATGGTAATGCAATTCATAGATGGCATGACTATTTTTATTCAATAGTTTGTAGATGTTTGAATACTTTTCCCGAGAACGGTGGGACCCCTATCAATAGTTATTATCGATATATATATTATGGTCTCATCTAAAAATTCTTCGACATTTTTATTTTCATATTTTTTTAAATTCCATGAACTTATTGCCGAATGCGATATTTTACAAAAATATTTTTCTTTTCTTGAAAATCAAAATTAACTTAATTGGGATAAACGAAAAAATATTACGTTAATTTCTAGTTAATTTGTAAGGAAATAAGTTAAGTTAATTTATTAGTAATGAAATAATTTAAATTAATAAGTTAATTTAACTTAACTTTTAACTTATTAACTCCCAGGCTTGAAAACAAGATTTACAAGATTATTGGTATCTTAACTACTTACAAACTTAAGTCGGTAATTACGGTAGATTATTACGAACTATCTCTATCGAGAGCACAATATTGTATGCGGTTACACGCACATCAATTTTGCAATCAATATCAATTTTAAAATATTATAAAAATGCACACAACTGTGTACAATATTTGTATTATTGAAAATACTTTACTTAATTACAATTTCAAAATATTGTATTATTATTGTAAATAGTTTTAAATTTTTTATTAACCTATGGCTAATGTTATTTAGTCATTAGCCGATAACGGTTGGATAATGTTGGTTTTATTGACTAGTGTTAAGATTATCCATTTGTTTTTGTTGGCTGATGTTCAACATTTTTACATTAGCCAAAAGCATTGTCCAAACTTAAGATTAGCCGGCTAATCTTAATATTCGCCAATCTTCGGACACTAGCCGTGACATATACACTATATTCAATGAGAATATGTTTATCAATTCTGAGACTGATTATAGCTAACTCATTTTTTTTTTTTAGTGATAACGGGGAAGGACCGGGGTAATTTTGATCTTATAATTTTGTTGAGCTTGATAGTCATTTTATTCCATTTTTTTTCACCATTGGTTTAGTTTATCCATTTTCATGAAATTTTTTATGTCACTGTAGGAGAAGGAATGGGAGATACGAGTATCGTGAGATTTATTATATTTAATAATGCTATATTAACAAATTTACAAAACTCTAACGAAGGATTTATTTATTTAAAATACGAAAAAATTATATAATCCTTTTTCTTTTATCATTACCATTTTTTGAGTACATAATTTTTCCTTACATGGATAATTTAATTTTAACTTTTACAAAAATAAAACTATAATAGTTTTTATCATAATTTAAATCAAGATAAAATTTAAGCTAATTGGAATAAAGTTTTTTTTTAAATTTTTTTAGATGTTTATAAAGAAAACAGTCGATTAATCATACCATCCGAAGAATTGTCAAATTATTCAACATTGGATTCAGATTTATATACTGGCTCATTTCCTGGATTGTTAGATTTGCCTTCTCATCTAGGAGCACTACAACAATTTAACGAGTGTTGCTCACCATTATCACTAACAATATATTACAATGATTCTTTCATACATTCATTGCCGATAATATTGAACTCAATCACCAGCAATTTATTCGGGTAAACTTTTTGAATTACAACATATACCAACATTTAAAACCACATTTTCTATATGTTTATTATTTACTATATACCTATATATATATAATCACCATATTTTAACATTCATAAAAAATGTTCAATTGTATTTTGAATTCCGAATGTTTAATTATAAGTTATTGACGGTTAGAAAAAATAGAACTTCGGCAGTGTTAAAAACATAGTACAATGAAGAATACATTTTTAAGAACTAAAATTAATATAATATAATTCATTATTTAGATCTAATATACATGAACCAATACAAATAACATATATTATTTAACAAAAATAGAATATAGATTTTCAAATTTAGTTTATATTATTATTGCTTTTTTTTAATTTTAGATTACAAGCACCATCAATTAAATAAATTATATTACTAATATATAATTTAAAGAAATTATATATTAAATATATTTAGTAAAATATATAAAATAAAAGTTCTTCAAAACAAATAATTACTTATTATGTTCTTTGTGGTTTAAACTATTTTAAATATATAATTTAATCAAATTTATTTATATTAGATATGACTTTTACAATGTAGTTTTTTACTAATTAGGAACAATATATCAAGGTTTTTTTTAATATTAATTTTTTTTTTTTATAGAAGTCAAATCGATATAAAAACAGAACCATTTAAGATGGAGTACAAACAAAACGAATACAGCTTTAGTAGATGTTCATCGGCATTCTTTTTAGGAATAGTTTTCGTTTTAGTTCCAGTTAGCTTATCTGCTGATCTAGTCTATGATAGAGAGGTAATATAATTACAACTTCGATAGTAATCTTGTGTTTTGATTTAAATTAAAGTTAGTGATTAATGTCTAATGAATATTTGGAAAAAATACAACTATTTTTTCTAAAATTAATTAAATACTTTCAAACTTAAACACTTGAATATGTTATAATAACTTCTCTTTCATTTTTTTTTTTAAATATTGCTTTTAAGTGATAAAATTCCTTTTAAAATATATATTTATTTCCAATATTTTATTACTTATAATTAATTTGACAGTAATTAATATCCATAAACGTCCAAATATATTATACTTACACTGCAAATATATATCTACAATTTAAATATGCATATATATAATACATATTTAACATAATTAATAATAATAAAATCTATGATTCCGTACAGTACTGATAATTAAATTACTGTATATTTATTCGTCACGAGATGTTTTAAAATTGTATTTTATTATTTTTTTATAGATTAAAGCCAAAAATCAGCTTCGTATCAATGGTGTAACTTTTATGCAATATTTTTGCTCTTATTTTATTATTTTAATTTCTATGTTACTTCTCATATTCTTTTTACTCATATTTCTTATCGCTTCATTCCACGTTGAAGGTTTAGACACTCCTTATGCAATATCAACCATGATAATATTACTCGTAGCGTATTGCCCTGCTGCGATTTTAGCTACCGCCTGTATATCATATTTGTTCGAAAGATCTGATTCAGTACAATCGATTCTACCGAATGTAACGTCACTCATTGGTGGTGTACCATTTATAATCGTAGCTTCGTTAGATATGCTAGGTATTGCTAATGACTTAGGATTTGCTTTACACGTACTGTTTTCTTCTACTAATTTCGTCTATATACCATTTGCCATTATTTACTTCATTAATACTGTGTATCGTGAAAACGACGAACATGCGCCTTTCATTAAATATGTTAATAAAGAAACAGTTGCACTATTAATGGGCTGCTTGGGCCAGATTCCTGTACTATGGGTTATTCTAAAAATATTAGATTCTGAAACGAAAAATAAAAGAACTTCAATAGTTACTGTCGACACTCAAGATGAAGGCGATGATGATGTAAAATCTGAACGGGCAAAAGTAAATAGCATTATCAACGACCAGGTAGACTGGCCAGTAGTAGTTATTCAGGTTTGGTCCACGAGAGAAAATTTTCATTTAAATTATCTTTAGAATTTGGTTATTTTTAAAGTTATATACTTACAGAATTTAAAAAAAGAGTTCACAAACCTAAACGTAAACTCCAGTATAAGTTGTCTTATGAAAAAAAAATACACTAATAAAAATAACGAGAGAAAACTTGCAATCCGAAATCTATCATTAGCTGTGAATTCTGGCGAAGTCCTAGGATTGCTTGGACATAATGGTGCTGGAAAAACTACAACTATGCGTATTATCACTATGGAAGAAAAAGAAACTATTGGCAAAGTTAGAAAAGTATTTGTACAAGATAATTTATTGCTATTTATAAATATGTTTATTTTTAAGATATTTATCAAAGGTCATAATATACGAGAGTCACAAGATATTGCATATAAAATGATTGGATACTGTCCTCAACATGATGCCTTATGGAGTTCATTGACCATTAGAGAACATTTAAATATTTATGCTACTATTCGAGGAATTACTAAAAATCAAATTCAAAAGTAAATAAAAATAAAAATATTTATAAACGTTTTAAAATATAACCATAAGCAATTATCAAAATTGTTGAACTATAAATTTGCAATAATTATTGAGTAAAATATTTGTTTAAGCTTAACTATTTTAAAATATGTTTAGCATAAACATCATATTGTACGTCTTTATTAATTCTTTCAAATTACACAGTAATTTATTTTATTTTATATTTTTAAGTATCATTGATAAATACATCGAAGGTCTTCAAATAACTGAACACGCAGATAAACAAGTTAGTTGTTGTTCAGGAGGAACAAGACGCAAATTAAGTTTTGCTTTAGCAATGATTGGAAACCCTAAGCTAGTACTACTCGACGAACCTAGTACTGGTATGGATCCTAGGTCCAAGAGATATCTGTGGGATGCTATAATAAGCAGTTTTCAAGGAACTAAAGGAGCAATATTAACTACTCATTCGATGGAAGAAGCAGATGCGTTGTGTTCTAGAGTAGGAATAATGGTTAAGGGCCAACTCAGGTGAAATATTTATTTTGGTATTTTATAACTTTAAACGATTAGCAAATATCTGATCAGTAAATTTGGGTTCAAAATTGTAAAAATATTCTAAGTCTTAATATGACACCGTAATAAATGATTATTGATAAATAATGACATTATTTTCCTTTTGAAACTTTCATTTAAAATGTTTATAAAACTTCTTAGGGATTGTTTTTTTTATGCAAGATGTACTATCTTTTGAATGTGTATAAATAATGTAGCTAACCTAACGAAGGATAAATACGCATGTTCCCAGTGTTTTACTATATTTTTACATTTATAAATATTAAATAAAAAATAAAAAAAGTGTATAATATATTTTTTTTTTTTAGATGTTTGGGTTCTACCCAATACTTAAAAAATCTTTATGGTGCTGGTTACACACTGGAAATAAAATTAAAGCCTCACGGAGATATGGATGATGTTAAAAATTTTGTCATAACATCATTTCCAAATGCAATTCAAGAAGAAGAGTTTGCTGATCGATTGGTTTTTGGAGTACCTCAATCAACAGTTATATCATTAGCACAATGTTTTTTGAATCTTGAAAACGGTACTTAATTTTAAAATTGTTAATCATTATTTTCCACGATCTTGCCACATAAATGATATTTAAATACAGTGCTCAACTTGGAAAAATTAAAAAGAGGGACTCTATTTACTTTTAAAAAAAAGAGCGTCCCCAAAACTTGTTAACCGTTATAATTAATAATAGTAGGGGGACGCTAAAATTTCTGAAAATTAGTTGCGGTACTCCGTCCCTTTGCGTTCCCCCTCAAGTCAAGTTCTGTTTAAATATATCCATACAATAATTATCAAGACCCACATGGAATTAATATTTTCCAAGTGTCACATACAAATTATTACTATTTATTGTTTCAATTGATTATTCTCCTATTAATGAAAATCTGAAAAATATATAGTCTTTTTAATTAAAAATGTTACTAATCCCTAAGATTTAAAATCTCTTGCCAGCTCTAATATTATTGTTTTCAAACAAATATTCCTTGCAGCACACTATATTATATATATATGGCTATATATGATAGATCGTAAGTTGTTACATTTGCTTACTATTATCTCACGTATCATACTACTCAATGAACAAGTACTTAGTACTTGAGACATGAAAAAAATTATCATCCACCCTGTTGATACCAACAATTGTTTTTGGAAATTACCGATCCGATATAATCACAAAGTCGAATCTCAAAAAATTACGTTCATTTTGCTTTATTAGTTTTAAAAATATTGATTATTATTTAATTATTGTTAATATTGTTTTAGATAGTTAATTTTTCCATGTATATGGCTACTGTCTATTATTTAGAATAAATGTGTGTATATATAGTATTATGCCTATATGTACGACGTATTAATATGATGTGTGCCACTGAAACTAATAAGATTAAGTTGTTACATATTAAGCATTTATTTTCAGCAACAAGTAATAAAATATTTACCTTTTAGCAAAAAATATGTATGATATTCAAGAATATAGTTTTGGTCAAACAACATTGGAACAAGTATACTTAAAATTCGCACACTATGAAGATACAGATGTATTTGAAAACAAAGCAGTGTGAATTCATACTAAATTTTATTAAAACTTAAATATTTATTTAATACTTAAATTCAATTTATTTTAGGGTGATATTAATTGTTATATATGAAAAATACTACTAATAATTTATAAATTAATATTATAATATCTACAGCTATAATGACTGATTATTATTTATAGAAAACTGATTTAAGTTGCATGATAAAAAAAATACAAAATTATTAATAGTACACATTTATAAATAATTGCCGTAGTTATTCATTGAATTGTTATATAATGCATCAATAAATATTTTATTATAATCACTATTATTTTAATTTTGTAGTTAATATAATTGTTATTATAATATATTTATAATATTCTGTAAACTAATCGATTACAATAAAACGTGTTATTGTGTTTATATAAAAAGTATTAAATTAAATTTGTGTTAAACATTAAAACAACTAGGTATTTGTTAAATTTCCAATGACACAATTTTTTTAATTTTTATTTATTAAGAATTGGCTCGATAGAAATTTTTGATTATGGTATTTTTATTTCTCTATATTTCTCTATTCATTCCCTTCATATTTCGATATTAAAAAATAGACTAAATTTTAAAATTCATTTTTACGGTATTTTTAATAATTATACTTTTCAAAAATGAAAAATGTTATAATTATTCATTGTAATTACAATTACGATATTTGGATAGTTATAAAGATAATTAAAATAACCGGTGAATGAGCGTGAGAATCATTAAAGAACAAAAATCTGCAAAAATTGTATCAATGAGTATAATATTGAATGATATTTAATTAAATTGAGAGCCAATAATAATTTTAGCTCAATAAGCTTATAAAATGAATAATTATAAATAAATAATAAAACTAAAAATTATTATTGAAATTAATAACTATCTAAACGATGTTCTAAGTATTAGTTTAACTAAAACAAAAAATAAAATAAAAATTTAAATTCGGAAAATATTCTTAAATATATATATATATCAAAATACTTTTTGAAAATGTACTAAAATTTTTAATCTTCTATCATAAGTTTAATTTGAATATATAATAAAAATAATAGAATTCACCCCAGATATATAGCAGATTTTTTGCATTAAAAATGTTACTTTTGGTAAATATTAAGTAATACTTATAATTTTTATATAATATACAATTTTAAATTTACTGGATAAATATTTTAAAAACATTCTTCAATAGTATACAACATAACCATATGTTAAATTTCTAGGCAACAAAACTTAAGTTTTTCCAAACAAGAAATTTGATTTTGATTTAAAATATTCACTGCTATAAATCAGTTTATTAAAAAAAGTTTTGATAAAATTTCAAAATTAACGTTTTCAAAATTATTAAAAAAGATGAGCATCTTTCACTTTTTAACCAGCGTCATCAAAATGGTAATATTTTTATATTATTTTGATAAATACTTAAATATATGTGTGTGTATGTCATATTAAAAATCTTAAATATTTAAATCATAGTAAATAATCGTTATACCTAATAATTCAAAAACATATAGTTATGTAAACTATAATGATGTGATACAATTTGTAAATATTCTTCATTATAGTTTTACTCCAATAGTATACCTATTTATAGCATCCTGAAATACTGTAATTTTTTTCCGAATTTTATAGCTTACTTACTTGAGATATGCCATTTAATTTTACATAACTGTGGGTTTCAAATTCGATAAGAACTTTACAAAAAATATGAACATTCGGTTGACTTTTATAAAATAAATTTCTTAGATGTCTATGAAAGGATTCATAGGTGTAACTCAAAAAAAAAAAAGTCGGAGTATGCATTAGATCTTTTATTACCTTTTTATCTTAACCGATATTCTGGCGGAGTTTTTTTCAAGCGCCAAGACATGCCTAGTAACTCCCGTATGGATAAATATCCGAGTTATTGACAACGAAGCCATGCCCTAAAATCCCTCATTTTAAAATGTTAACCTACTACAAAAATCAATCGTCACCTTTGTTTAATCAATAGCCATAAGTTCCTTAAGCTTGGATCAATATTAAAAATACTAATATACATATTTTAATCATATAAATGTAATATTTATATATATATATTGTATGTATAAACTATATGTGTGTGTTTATAATATAAACTCAAAATCTATGTATTTGTAATAAGTTAATTAGTAAATGTAACTTTTAAACTATCTTTTATGCCCTTGAAACATAATATGTACATTTCTTATGAGTTTATACACAGAGTAATTCATTAATTATGCTCACCCATTTCATTTTCTTAAATTCTGATACCTAGAAAATTTATTACACAAAAGTATTTTATTATGTACATTTATTTTCCTAACATAAAAATGTTAACATAGAAAAGGGTAAATATACATACTTAATATTGTAAATATTACGGGCAATATAAAATAATTATAGCTCGAGCAATTTGGTCCTGCCCAAACAATTTGAACCTCAAATAGAAATAAATAATTGTTATAAATTTATAACTTACAATAATATACTGTAAAATATTTTATCAATAATTTCTTATAATTTTATTATAATACAGAACAAAGTAAAAAGTATCAGTATTATATTTCCTAATTACTATTTATATTATTCTATGTTATACCTATTGTTTTCCTATATCACATTAATAAAAGTAATAACTGTACCAATACAATCAGACAACAATACGTAAACAATAATTACTATTTACGATCAAGCAATCGAGTTTTAGTGTTTTTCAAGACAATTTATACTTTATAATTATTTATATTCAAGGTTAAAATTACACGAGCAATGTGTACATTACCCAATTATCCCTATTGCCCGTAACATATATATATATATATACAGTGCTCGAAGTGGGGGGGATACGGAGGGATGGTATCCCTGTACTTGTTTTGTCTAGAATAACGCATTCCTCCAAAGACCAGGGCCGTATTAGCGCATAGACACTAAAGGCACTGTGTCTAGGGCCTACGAACTTTTTTGGGCATACGATAATGTGTGGCAACAATTTTTTTGTAGTATGCAAATTGGTACAAAAAAAAATTTTCTTATAGTTTTTGACAATTTATATAATATATGTTTTGGATTAAAATTAATTTTTTTTAACATTTGTTAGAACTTTTATCGTATAAAAATTTATAATAGATATCATGTAAAAATTTAGATTTGATTTTAATTTTGTATATATTATTGTTTTTAAAAGCTTAACATTGCATGAGATTCAACACTTCCTTTTCCAAAGAGAAGGTCTCTTAACCATTTGATTATTAGACAATGGCCCTGCAAGGACTAGGGGCCTAGGGCCTACGATAGTGTTAATCCGTGCCTACTCAAGACTTGTATTTTTAAATGATATACTTATCATTTTTATATTTATATATAAGGCATTTTTTTTTTTCAGTGAAAATAATTGTTTTTAAAATTCAGGCCCAGGCGCCCGGCTTATCGTGGTGTTTAGTATAAGCCGTTTTGCAACTCGTTTATACCCATATTTAGAGCCACGGACTAAGATAATATACTTTATGTGAACTATAAAAAAAAAAAATATTATAGATACACAAGGTGTGAAGAATGTTATGATTATATCAGGAAATCTGAATTATAAGACATCCCTCCACTTATCTTGAGCCATTTCGACCACTGTTTATATATGTATATGTAACTGTTTTTATATTATGTAAATACTTTTATAATATTTCTGAATCAAATTTTAAATTCTATGTAAATAATAATTAATACCTATGGTATTAAATTCTTGTATTAAAAAATATTATCTTTGCATATTTGAATTAGTTAATCATCATACCATTCAGACTATGGACAAAATTTAAAAATAGCTCTCGGGTGAAGGGCATTATTAAGTTGTTAGTGGAAGTATGTTCAGATATAGTTATTTACGTCGTCATTGCTGGAATAATTCTAGTACTTGAGATTATAAACTTAATCGAAGAAAAACGCTCAATAAATTCTGTGGTCAAGCAACCACCTCAAATTAATATGGTTAGTTATATTACTTAAATATATGTACCCACTTTTTATAATAATTATAAATTATTTTTTCATATAAAATAACGTTTGTCAATAAGGAAAGAGTTATAGATCCAAAAAAGCAGCCAAATACTCCCAAGTCCAATAAAAAAAAGCATTAAACTTTATCATTTATAAGCCTGTTAAGATTAGCGAAATCAATATTTCCATGAAGTGAATATTCGCTTATACAAATATGATTATTGATCCAACAAAACACAAATTGGAACACGTTTGGCGACCGATTGATTTTATAACCTAATGAAAACAACGTCAGGTGATGTAATTACTGTTATTATCTTCAAAACGTTAATGAAAATTGTTCGAAAATTCAACAATAAAATATGAAGTATAACCGAGAACCAAAAACGATAAAATATATTGGCCCATAGGTACTAAAACCTATGATGACTATGGTTATTTATTTATTATACAATTTACTGATTTAACATATTTAAGCATATGTATGAAAAATGTTAATATTAATATCAATAGTAGGGTTTACATTGTATGTGGTTAAATTACATAGGAAAAAAATATATCTATTAACTCAGTATTCGAATAGAATTATTATTATATTAAATAATAATTTAGTTAAAGAATTTGCGTTTACATTATAGTGTTCGTCATTATTCGTCTTAATGGCTCATTTGCTAAATAATTAGTGATGGCATATAGGTAAGACGTAAAAAAGTGCAGTGAATCAAGTTAGACGCTGAGGTTCTTTAAAAAAAATTCAAAAGATTAAATTTTACCATTTAAAAACACTTCAATGAATTGAATAGCTGCGATAAGTACATCCACGTTTGAATAAGAAACTAAGAAAGCAATTGGTCTTTGTAGAAATGTGAAGGTACATCAATTTCATTCGATAATATACAAGAGGCTAAATTTTTTTATTTTATAAACACCAAGTAAACGTCCATATACTACGGAGCAATTAAATAATTAGTTAATTATAGAAAAAATTTAAATATTAAAAGATCATCGAGGATATTTATATAAAAATTGCACTAAAAACCATTTAATCACTATTTTAAATTCCCTATTTTAATAACGACCAATCGATAAATAGTAAACTTACACGCAAAACCATTAAAATCAAACTTAAAATCTTCTGGAGTAGCGATGCCCAACCTGTGGGTAATTAAAATCCAAGGGGTAAACAGGATTTTTAAGGAGCAAAGACTGGACTAATTTTTATTTTATTTTATTTTATGCACTTTATACTTACTATTATAATTATTGTTGTTATTTTAGCGCCTTCAAATAATATTTTTACAGTATACTTTCGATTATCCGCAGTCTCTCCTATAGAACTAACGACGTACAGATACAACCAAAAAATACAAAAATATGTTTCTATATATAATACTTATATCATCATTACAGTTCCACGAATTTATCTAACTGGGTTGCAATAACCAATAATCCGGCTTGGCACACAGTGCTTTTTTTTGTGGGGAGGGCTGTTTTATAATATCTAACCTAATTTATGGGTAATAGTCTGAAAAAGTTTGGGAACCGCTGCACTTGAGTAAGAACAATTAATTATTAATTATTATTCAGATACACGAATGGATCTTCGCAGGAAAAATTCTAAATTATTCCAATATAGTGTAAAATCCCAAATATTACTAAATTAATAAGCTTAAACATAAAAACAATCTTATAAGACGCTATTTTCTATATTTAAGTAACCGAGAAAATCATGATTATACTCTTTTAATTAATCAAAATCATTTACCAAGAAAACCCATATTGTACACGTGCGAACGTAAGCTAATAAAACATGTATATTGGAAACCTAAGATAATTAATATACTTGTAGCGCATGTCAATCAATGTAAATTATAACAATTATAAAAAATCGTAATCAATTGAAGACGCGTAATTGAAATAGAGAGCACACGAAAATGAAGCTATCTATCAACATATAAAAGGGCTCCGTATCGATATTGAATTCAGACGTATCCAGTCATCAGTGTTTGGATTAAATGAGTAATTTTTTTATTTAGATAAAGATAAAGATGATGTAAATCAAATGTATTAAGAGATAAAAGATAGCAAAATACAAATTGTAATCAAACACAAATTAAATATTTCATATATATTTTTAATATATATACTAAAAATGTAATATTTATTATGTTATAAAAATTTTAATCATGATCATAAATAGTTAAAAATATAAATTAAATATTTACTGTGTGACATTCAGTTTAACCATGAACTCTATAACTCGTAAAGGTACGGTTTCCAAGCTGTGGCTGGCCGCAGCGGCTAGCCGCAACGGCACACGTAGTCTGACTGTGCTATTTAAAATTGCGGAGCGTGGTTTTCAACGTGCGATCGACGATTGCGTGATTTAAATATTCGTTGCGGCTCGCGGCTATAGTGGTCTGGTAGCAGTACATTGCGTGAGTCGTGGTGCGTGTCATATAGTGTTTTATTGTATTTTTTGTATTTTAATTAAAAACTATGTCAAAATCTACATTTTCGTCGAACAATGATGAAGTTTTGGTGGAAGAAGTTGAGAAGCAATCTGTATTGTATGATAGCTCCCACGAATACATAAAGATATTATATTATATTATCAATAACTTCTTCCATCACTATACTTTGTTAACAAACTAACAATTAACAACAAAACTAGTATAATAAATAAATTATTTACCAAAAAAACACGTCTGTACTCTACACAATATTAGGGTAAAATTAACTCCGGCCGTAACGTCTAGTCGTATTTAGGAAACCAGTCGGCACGCAACGTTTAATCGTTACGGCTGATCGTTGCGGCTAGCCGCTGCGGCCAGCCGCAGCTTGGAAACCGTACCTTAAGACAAATGTTATAAATCAATATTGATGATAATTTATAATATTAAAATTGGAAAACTATTTGCAGAATAATAAACATGCACCTTAAAATTATAAAATGTTATCTGATTGTCATTGCATTATCATCACATTTTTAAATAAAAGTACTTTTTAGTTAGGTACTGAGTACATAACAATTAAGAACATAGCTACTGTTTGGACCGAAATGATTATGAAAGGACCAGTCACAATGACATAAATAAAAAAAAAAGTACAATGGTAATAATAGTTTTGCGCCCAACTTTGTATGAGTTAGGCTATTTCTCTGAGTGTCGGTTTAAATGCTTATAGGCAACTTAATCATCAATCTCACTGGGCAGAGGATATGATATCACTGACGGAGGAACGGAAACAAGTAATTTGCACAATAGGCATGGGCGTAGCTAAAATTTAAATCAGGGAGAGGCAAAAACATAAAATGATTAGTGTTAAATTCGTAATTCAAATAATCTACAGATAGACCATTGGATAACACATTAAACGTCAAAACGATTACATGTGTAGATATCACTCGGTCCCACTAAACTACTTTTAGAATTATATCTTATTTAATTTTTGATTTTAATGTAAAACTTACACGTTTGGTATAAACAAATATAATTCAGTTTCAGGCGCAGGTGTGGGCAAGTGCCCCCCTGCCCCACCCTCGCTACATCCATGACAATAAGAAATAGAGTTTAATTATTGGGGGGGGGGGTCTCTGTGTTCGAAACGGTCTGGTGCAGTGACCACAGAACTAAACGTTCAAATCATTATTTAAATTACTTGATGACACGGTGAATATGGACAAAAATGGTAACTGATAGTAACTACGATGATGGTACTCGAAGTCCTGGACGGCCTCTCACACGCCACACCGGATGCTGGCGGACTTACGTATAACGGTGGACAATATGACGACCTGAACGTGATAATTAGGTAGACGGTGGACACGCAGACAATAATAAATCATAACAAAGAAAATGAGATCTTTTGATTTTTTTTATTGGTAATACGTTGCTGTAGTGAAAATAATATATTATTATAATTCACAATTTAACATTACTTTAAGCCACATAGGCGAGAATAATAATAATAAAACAACGTTGCCCCAATGGCAGAAGAGTAACAACGTATGCCGCAATGGCGAACAAAAAATGAAAAAACAAAACGATAAGTGTTGCTGTGTGAACGAATGACGAACAGAGAAAAAAAAAGGGGACGACCCGGTATCGCGACCGGCAAGACAAAAATAATTACTATTACATAATGTATAATAATGATAATAATTTCACGAAATCATAATAAATAATTGAATCACCATTTACATTTAGATGGTATAATTCCCATGCGAGTAAAGGACGAGGACGGGTGGAAAGATGGAAAAAGACGTAATCGCCGCCGTGAGAGCGAAACGCACAGATCACACTTTCCAAAGTCCGATAGCACGGATGACATATATTAATTTGATAAGCGCACGAACAGGTATAAATCCATAGACCTTAAGGTAGCCACACACGGTCCGGTCGGCCTGTCAGTTATGCCTGCACAGGCCGCCGGAGACCGGTCGGCCGTTGTGTTTGTGGGTTCCGGTCGCCTGAACAGTTATATCTGTACAGGCCGCCGGAGAAAATATGAAAACTCGTTCGTCCATCCGACCAAATTGCCAGACGGTTTAATTTTATTTCACAGTCCACGTGTTTATACTACACTGCATATTGCACTGCTCTGCACTTTTGTGAAGTTTTGTCATTAAAAAATGTCTCGAGAGAAAGAATCTCAGTGTATTGAAGATTTTATTAATATTTACCGAAGTGAACATTGTTTGTGGAAAATAAAATCTAGAGAATACCATGATAAATGCAAAAGGGACGTTTTTTAATTTTATTATTTTTCATGGCTATCAACAACCCTAAAACAGCAAGCGCGTCTTCGTTGGTAGCCATGTCTCTACAGTATAAAATAAATACAAACTTGCCGCGGCCGGACAGATTCGTCGGAACGTATGTGAGCGCTGCGTCAGTCCGGCCGACCGGTCTCCGGCGGCCTGTGCAGGCATAACTGACAGGCCGACCGGACCGTGTGTGGCTACCTTTATACTCAGAGTATAAGGTCTATGTATAAATCACAGACTTCTATACTAAACTAGTATAGAAATCTGTGGTATAAATCTATAGTCTTATCTATGTTATCACTATCGCTTTTCATTCATTGAAGACAGCACAACTATTGGAGAAAATGATCGTATCCGTGGTGGTAGACTGTGATAATGTCCGTGAGTGGTGCCTTAACTGATAAAACGAATACTTTTTGATATGAGATTTGATTTAAAATATTACAAATAAATTCAGTGTTGGTTTTAGATTTTCCAATTCAGTTTACCGTATTATACTGGCTTCATAATTTCTTATGAATTCACTGTTGAAAATATTTATAAGTAGCAGTTATACTGTTGTTCTTATGTTAAAAGTTATTATATTCTTGTCGGCTACAGTTGAACACGATGGCCCATACTAATAAAATAAAAGCTCTGCTGTCTGATTTGGGTCGATCTACTAAAAGGGGTGTGAAAAAGTGTCCATCGTGTGGAACATATAATGGCACAAGAACTGTAGTGTGCAAGAATTGTGACTTGTTATTGAAACCAAACAATAAAAGAGTATCACCTTCTGAAGTATGCAGTCTTCTTACATCCTCTTCGTCTAGAGTAAAATTACTATTCACGATTTGAGTTTTCCAATGTTTTCACAAGTAAATATTACAGATTTTCTCTTACATAATGTCTGAGAATATTGATTTCAACGAGAGGGGTTTTGTCCATTTTCCTGGTGCAAAAAATAAAGAAATCAACAAACTTGATACAGGAATTTGTTTAGTCCATTCTTGTGGTCGTTCGTTTGATAGTAATGTTCTTAAGTGTCATGTAAGTCAAAATAGTAATCATAATTTTATTATAGATCTTAATCAGTTTTTCAATAACTAAAAAATTATATTTAACCATGGAAATCAAGTAAATGAAAGTATTTATGTTATTTTAAATATCATTGAATTATTTAAATATTGTATTTTTATCTGATGTTATACATTTTACGGTATTAGTAGATACTTTAGTAAAATACCAATTTGTTTATATGGATTTATAAAAAAATAAACAAATTCCAAAATTTAGAAAAAAAATGTAATCAAACTATATTTGATTGAGTTAATAGTACTATAAAATATAATTTTAGTTTTTATTATTAATATTTGATACATTTAAATAGTTTTCCTTTATTTTTCTTTAACATAAAATATTAATACATTTTCAATTAAATGTGAGTATTATTATTATTTAATAAATTAATCAAATAAAACAAAATGTATTAAATGTTTAATATTCATAAATTAATATACAATTAAATAGTTTATATAATATTATTATTTATTAAGGAAATACATTTTTTGAAAATATTATCTAAAATTGGAATTTAATTAGATATAAATTAAATATATGAACAACTGTTTTTTTATTACATACATTTATATATATTATATATCAAATGTTATTTTTATGTAATGATTACGGAATTAAATATATCAATCTAACAATTCTTCAATATTTTAAAATTTATTTCATCTTGCATAAGTTATTATCTTTTATAGGAAAGTGTATTAAACACAAGTATTCAAAGTGAACCTTGCAAACATGTACGTAGTTGTTTTGATTGTAATACAATTGGTGTATCTTTAAAAATTGATCAACAAGTTTTGGAATCTTTTAGGGTTCCTCAGACTGTTAAACAAGTAAGTTTATTTTATTTTTTTTTTTAATGACTCAATGTTTTTGTTTAACATTTTTGTCTATAATTTAGGAAGTATGGTCAAATTTTATAGATAAGAAAAAACCCTATTTACAACGTGTATCTGAAAATATATTTGTTGTACGATGCAAAATTACCACTCAAAATCCATTAGGGTACTTGCATTGTATCATTGGAAAATATAATAGATGCTTTTGCTGTACAACTACACTAGTTACTGTTGATCAAATGGTAAGATATTATTCATATTATACCAAGGCTGGGCATTAACAAGTTAAAAAGTTAAAGTTAAGTTACTTTTAACTAAGTTATTTAACGAGTTACTTTTATTTTCAAAAGTAACTTCCAGCTTAACGAGTTTCTTTTTTTTTTAAACAACTTCTAACTTAACGAGTTAATTTATTAATTTGTCCTAATATAAATTTCATATATTTAAAATTATATTTAGTACTTACTAAGTACCTACTGTAATTAATACAATTACATATGTTTATTGAAAATAGTTAGACTTCCATTATATTGTGTTATTTGTTAAGCTTTGATAAAAATGTATGATAATATATTGTACATAAAAAAAGAAAATTAACTTATTTTTAACTAAGTTAAGTTACTTTTTTTTCAAATTAACTTTTAACTTTTAACGAGTTAAATAAATAAGAAAACTAAATTTTAACTTTAAACTTAACTTACATCTTTCTGTATTAACTTAACTTAACGAGTTAAAATAATTAGTTAACTTGCCCAGCCTTGTATTATACTGTATAATATGTTTACAATATTTTTTTTTTTAGGATCAAATACCAGATTTAAATACATACTTTTGCTGTCATTATATTGCATGTTTAAGTGCAATAGCAAGTTCACGGTATATGGTTCAAGACTTTGAAAAAAATCTTAACCCCTTTGTTTCCATCTCCACATTATCTGCAACTATTGTTCAACTTGACAATTTACAAAGTAACAAAATATTTTTGTAATAATTCAGTATAACTGTATGTATAAAATATGATAATGCCATAGAGTTACATTTATTTAAACTAAGTGTAATAATCAATTATATTAAATATTAATTTAATGGATGTTAAAGGTGATCAAGTAGCAATAACAGAAGAAAGTTATGAACCAGTCACATTCTTTGGTGATCAGATCATAACCAGTGAAACTTGTGTCTTAGATAACATTGCACCTAAACATCAAAGAACAGTTCCTAAAATTATATCAAAAGTGAATATTATTTTATTTTAACTCAATTATTATTTTATTATAAGTGTAATATTTAATAAATACCAAAATGTATCTATGCAACTTCATTAAGTTATTTTATAAATCAAATACTTTTTACTAACAGATGCTTTATAAATCATATCAGCTACCAATGAGCTATAATGCAAACCAAACAAAGTACCTACATCTGTCTAATGATTTGACTATTAAACCATCTTATCATAACTAAGAACCCAATGAAAATCTCAAGAACATGGTGATTTGTTAAAATTAAAAGCAATATAACAAATACAGCTATACATATCTGTAATTTTATCTTTAATTGCAACAATCTATTAAGAACTACAGGGATCAGCAGCCTACATTGTTCATCAATACAATAAAAACACTGTCCTCGGGGAGTACTAAAATTCCTGAATTATATCACTTATTATTTTATTCACTCTGACTGCAGTATCATACAATTAAATTAATATAATGTGATTGATCGACCGGTAGTTATTTTTGATCTTGCATTAAAGGTTTCCTATTTTCTTAGTAAGACTATAAAAGTTGCATTTTGTATTTGTATATATTTTTTTATTTATTGATCTTTTTTAACTTTAGCAACTAGTTATTACTTATTTGTACATTTCATTTTTAATTTATACCCAATAAACCCAATCATTTAATTTTAGTTTATGGTTATTTATATAAATTTCAAATAATATCTACATTATTAAGATAAAGCAAACTTGAAATAAAATAAAACCAATAGATGGAACCTAAATATCCAGACAGATACTCAAACTGGTTAGAAGAATTAATTTTAATTAATGTTCTCTGTATTTGTTTTCAAACAGAAAACGTCGCTCAAATGATACAAATCAAATAACCAAACAGTAGTAAATTAAGAGTGAATGTGTAGGAAATAAAAATAAAGTACTTTTTAATTTTAGAACTCAACAAATTTGAAATCTGAGCTAGATTTCTTTATAAAAGAAAGTAAAAATTATTTTAGAATAATTATAAATCAAATATAAACGTATTAACAAAAAAATCATTAATAAGAAATATAACTTGATCTCTTGACCCAATTTAAATTATAGAATACATGTTAAGACTTATTACAATTAATCAAGCTCTCCTTACAAATAAAGTGGTTAAAGGATAAAAAAAAAAGTAATTTTAATTTTCCTAGAAAAATTCTATACCATAATAACAATAATATTATCACTAAGTAATAATATAAAGAGCCTAAGCTAATTCATTTTTTCAGAAACGGAATAAAACAAATCAAAATAACTCTAGGATGAAAAAGAAAAATTGTAAGATTATAATTATTTTAAATGTCTATACTGAACTAAATATACAGTTTTTTTTTTTATATTTAGGTCTTGAAGAACCACAAGTTATTAATCCAAATCCAGTATTAAGTTTTGAAAATTGGCTGTCTTCAGTTACAGAACGAATTAATCAGGAAATGCATTATCAATTTGATGGCAATCCTCCAACTATAGTGTTCCATATTCATAAAGTCAGTAATATACTTAATTATCAACATTAAATTTTAAAGTTATGCATAATATCAGCATAGAATAACTCTGTACCCCGGAGGTAAAAGAAATCATGTCACAAAATAGTAATTTTACAGGGAGTCAAATTTTCATTTATTTTCATCTAAAAATATGTTTTTTTTCATGACTAATTTGAATTACTTTATTGCTCTTTATTTCCGTTACTTTTGGTAACTTGACATAGCGCCTTATACCTTTATATAGAGCGAAAAATGTTCAAAGACCTGAAGCTTACCAAATTTCTTAAAAAATGGACATGGTTTCCTTTACCTCCAGCGTACAGAACTAAACATTGCTTTATGACACCAGAAGTGTACATTTATATTTTTCGTCAGATTACTTGTAGACAAACAAGATTACATACAGTTACTTTAATTCAGTTATTGAACAGTGCTATTAAATAATAATGTTTCATTGATAATTATATAGAAATGTTTTGATTTAAATAAAAAATTAATTTTTTATATAATTTAAAAATGGGTCGGTAATAAATTACAAAGTTACAAATCTGAAATGTTCAGATAGATAATCTTGTAGTGTAGAAGTAGGTATTAAGATAAAATTAAATTTTACTTTGCTTTTGTAAAAAGAAAATCTAAACATTTTTTTTATTTTGGGTTACAGTCGTTTTTTGAATGTTTGCTTGAACGTATGTGTGCTGCTTCTGCAAAAAAACGTTTACCAAATTCTACTGTAGTGTTTGTGAAACGTGACTCTATGCCTTTAGGTACACTGACTAAGTATACTTGGCATATTACTAATATAATGTTGGTGAAGAAAATTTTTGAAACACCTCTTGTTCCTCTTAAAATAAGTCGTAGTTTCATCAGAAACCAAGACAATACATATGATGCTTTTGAACATGAGAAGTGTGATGGTATACCAATTGATAAATCTCACCAACCAATAAAACCAAATGATTTGAAGACATATCTCAAAGTTGGTTAGTAAACAAAATTAAATTCTATACTCAATTTGAGTACATTTGTTAATGTAAGTATTCTTCAAGGATAATAAAAATAATATAAAATAAATACATTGTTATAGGTATTGTCAGTCTTCATCAAAAGGAACGAATACCATTTATTATTGAATGGATTCCAGATGTGCTTCCTATAACCCAAATTGGTGAATTAAGACTGACTTTTAAGTATGGACATATGCCTCCAAAAGATAATGATTCTTTGAAGTATAAGTAATATATACTATTTAAAATTAAAATTCATCAGAAATTATGAATAAATGTAAAGAATGTGGTCATTAATTACATTATTTAACTAGTAACATTCACATTTGGGATTTGAAAACAATTTTAGTGACTGGCATGGAAAATTTTAATATAAAATATCTATATGATTAGGGCTCAGAAGTTGTAGTAGCTAAAAAAAGCAAAATATGCAAAAAGTGTATTCTGAATTCTAAAAAAAATATGTATAATAAATTAATAATTTACACAAAAACTATATATAACTGAAAAAAATGATATCCAGCCAAAATAGCGAAACAATAATTGTGAATGTAAAAATCGCGAATTAATTATGGCGAAAATAAAAATAGTGAAAATATACGATTAGACATTTAGTGATAATAATTTAGAAAATTTTTTTGGCATTTAGTGATAAATGTGATTAATTGTTTCGCTATTTTGGCCTAGATCCGAAAAAAAATATATAACTTGTTGGCATTCTTATTGACCTGGAAATATAATTTAAAAATATTTTTTCAGTTCTATAATGCCTGTTAATTTATTGCATTGAATCATCTTTCGTAAGATTTAAAATTTAAAATAACTGATGATTTTTCAATAGAAGATTTTAATTATAAAAATTTCTTTCAAAGTCAAGTTAGGGGTTTAACCTTATACATGTTAAAAAAAAATCAATTTTTAACTAATTATTAAATATGCATATGAAAATCAACAAAATATGCAAAATATACATTGTTCATTTTAGATTTTTAAATTATGTCTTATAGAACTCAGATTTCTAACTTAGTCTGCTATAATTGAGAGCATATAAAACAATATGCATCTCATACAACTTCTGAGCACTACATATGATATATTTTTACGTATGCTAATTATTTAATTATTATGTTTTTATTTTTATTCGATACACTAAAACCTTTCTTTGAATATTCTTTAATTTATTAAAACAATCGTGAACAAAAATGAAATGTGAATAAGTACTGTAAAATTTATACTTTTGTTGTTGTTTTCTTTGTAAAATTTTAATATATTATAATATATTATTTTTGTTTTATTTTTATAGATAATTTTAGGTAATGTTTTTGATTTAATTATTTATATTATGCATGTATTAGCTTATAAGTGATGATGCCAGTAAACACTAATACATATTGTGTAGCACAGCGGCCCACAAATTTCTAGTTACCTGTGACCTATCTTTTTTTTGTCAGTCAATGGAGTGTTTAATAAAATTTTTCAAATAAGTTTAACAATAAAAATTATCACACGCATAATGCTATCACCAACACTATATGTAAATAGTATTTTTAATAGCCACTACCTTATACAAACAATAGTATGGGAGAAGTAGTTTTTCTACAAAGAATCAATTTGATTTCATTCATCTGACTACCACTTTTAATTTAAACGGCTATAGTTTCTTGTCAGGATCTGTTTTGCCATGACAGTTAATAAAGCATAAGGGTAATCTTTGAAAGTAGCAGGAGTGAATTTAAGAAATTACTGTTTCTCCCATGGTTAATTATAGATTGTCTGTTCACGTATATTCTTTTGATATTCTGATAATACTGCTGTCAGAAGAAAAAACCAAAAATATTGTAGTATTCAAGGTGTTTTTAAACATAAAAAAAACATAAGACTAACTAAGCATAAAACTTATTTTGCTCAGTAATATTACCCATAATATTCTAAAATAATATTGTAAATATGAAAAAAATAAATAAATAAATAAATACACATGGGCGAAGCCTGATAATTCAATTAGTTATTAATAGTATATATGTTTCCCAGATACGTATAATGCTATTATTTTGAATAAAACAAATATACAATACTAAGGGATGTAATCAAATTTGTTGTAAATAGAAAACAATGAATATGAAAATATGAATATTATTATTATATTATTTTATAATATGAAAATTATAAAATACTTTTATAATTATAATAAACTTAATTAAAAAAAAAAAAATTAGAAATCCAAGAAAATTAAACTTCTCAGTAATTTATTAAAATTAATACTTCAACAGATTTATCAAAGGTAGATGAAGCAATTTAAAATTTAAAGAGGAAAATTATTCATATTTTAAATTTATTAAAATTTATTTATATCTTAATTTACGCTGGTTTTCTAACGATTTACAGCTTTCCCAAATTTCTTTATTCAGTTCATTATTTCCCGAACACAAGGCAATTAATCTATAAAATAAAAATAATTTATTAAAAATAAAAATTTATTCAAGTAAAATTTAAAAACTTACTTTGCAACCATCATAAAACGATGCAAATCTTCAGCAGAAATATTTTTAGGATCAGCTTTACGCATTTGTACATAATCATTTTCAATAATCTAAAAAAAATTAAAAAATTATGATTTATTTATTTTTTTATAATAACCAACCAATTAATTAAACTCTACTTTTAAAGTATCTTCTTTAAAATTAAAGGGAAATGTTGAAATTATTGCTATATATTTTCTTAATTTTTGTAAAAGTAGTGCCTGAGATTTTAGGTAGTTATGTGCTGAATCTATTATTTCTTCAATATTGTTAATACAAGAAGGATCTGGATTTAATACAATATCTATATCACACTGTAATTATAAAACAATAATATATTAGATAATTGATTCATTTAAAATCTATATCAATAAATGAAGTAACTTACAGGTAAAAGAGATTTTCCAATAGATAGTGTTAAAACAGGTATTTGAGTTTCATAATTTATATTATAATAGGTAAAATCATATTTAATCTGTTGGTTAGAAATTATATCAGTAAGAGCCTGAAGATTAAGTATTCCTATAAAAAAAATTATTATTAACACTTGATTTAAAAAAAGTAACAGTATATTTTTTTTGTACAATTATTGTACTCAAAAATAATTGTTTTATAATGAGCATGTTATATAATTGAAGATTTATATTACCTTTACTGTCCAAATTTCCTGGCTGCAAATCTGTTTCATCTAAAATCAAATGTGTTCTACTTGATAATTGTAAAATTCCATTCAAAAGTCTATTGGAAGTATAACATTTTCTAAAATAAAACAATATACTTATTTCTTAATATAAATTACTTAAGTTAATTTTAAATATTAATCAATAATATATTAAATTTATAATAAATTAATAAAAGTTGACTGTAAAGTAACACAAATTTTTCTATTAGCATAATTTTTAATATCACATGTAACATTTTAAAGTAAATTGAAAATATTCTATTGGTTTAAAAAATGAGTTAAACATTGTTTGTAATAACATTATTTTGGAAGATTATTAATAAGAACATAATTTATGCTTCTAACATTGAATAAATATATGTATGTATGCTTAAACAATGCTTCAAATACAACTAAATTGTTAATATAAAGATACAAGGTTATTGAAAAAAAATAGTTATATTTAATACTTTTTTAAGTGAATAAACTCAGAAATATTTTCTAATGCCTAATTTATTTATAAAAATAGTACATTATGAATTTATGATGTACAAACAATTTTATTAGTTTAGAAATATTTCAGTAACATAAAAATGCTCTTAAAATGTCTAAACATTGCAGTCAATACACATAAATGAAATTACCTTGGTATCATATCCATATTATTCATAGTGTCAATCGTGATTGGTAAATATTCACTTTTAACTACTAAATAAGAAATGAGTGCGTATAATTTTTTAGTATAGTTTTTTCCAATACCAGCTGGAATTCCACGAATATTTAATGAAAATTTTCCAGGCACCTGATTATTCTGTCTGTTATATCTAAATATTCAAAATAAAAACTTATTTTATAAAAATTTTTTTTTTAGTAAATAATAATAAATAATAAGTTAAAATAATACACTTACATGGTAGATGTAAGATAAAATAATAAATAATCTGCTGCTAGAGAATCTCCTAATAATGCTTGAGTTAATATCAATTTTAGTTCAGCATGGAGATTTGAAGCTTCATTCCAGATGTAGTTATCTTTACAAATTTAACTCATTTAATTAAATTTCAATTCATCAATTTACATAATATAAATTAAACAGATAAAAATATAGCAAAGATCATTTCATAATTTACTAATAGTCAGAAAAGAAATAAATTTTAACTTACTCATTTCATCATTATCCGTAACTAAGTTTGGAATTAATTTAAATTGAACAGTATGAATACAATATGTTTCCTTAACTAATGGAGATTGTTCATCTAACTCTTCATTATCTCCTTGAACTGTACGTCGATCGAGAAATCCTACAACCTCAATAATACTGTTTAACTTAAATTCACTAGTTTCAACATCCTCTGGGTACGTCTAAGCATTAAAATAATTTCATTAATATTCATATAAAAGTATTACATGCTTATCAATATTAAATGATAATAACATAGAAAAAATGTGAATACTAACAAAAACAAATACTTCTTTTGAGTACTTCTGGCAAACTGGATCAAGACGAATGCGTTTAATGTCACAACCTTCTCTAAATTCATATAATAATAATAATAATAATAATAACAATATTAATTATAGTGGTGCATAGTTATTTCAATAGTAAATTTATAAACATACAATTGTTCTTTCTTTTCATTATTTGCATCTTTGGCCCATTCGTTTAATCCAGGGATTGGAATACAAACAATAATTTGTCTCTCCATCAAATCATCTCCTAATTCAACTTCTTCTTCAGACTGTAAGAAAATATTAAATGCATCATTAAATCAAACAAGACTTATAGTAAAAACTATTACTCTTACTTGGTTTATAACAGTACTATGATATTTTCCTTGGCAAAGTTTGGTTTCATTAGTTGCAGAATTAATAATTGAAAAAGTCTTACTATAATACTCAGGATTTAGCATATCTTGTATCATTCCTTTAAATCGTACCAACGTTCCAAGAGCTGCTTCATTTTCAAATAATATAGGCACCTTCAAATATTTTTACAAATTAAAATTTGGAAATAAATCAGACCATTAATAAATTAAATTATAAATGATCGTTGGTTCTTTGAATTTAACAGAGTAATTACCTTCTCCCAACTTCCTGGTTCCATTAGTGTCTTCTTACATTCATTTTCATTTGCAATCCAAAAATCTGGAGTCCACTTATCCATATTACAAACAGTGATTATTGAAAAATATATAAGTATAATACAAATGCCCAACAAGAAAGGAAAGGTTTGTTATTTTTTAAAGAGTAATAAAATCAAATTCACCAGTACTCAGAGTACATGAAAAAAACGCACGATACCGCACGACAGTATGATTTGTGTATTTTACTTGTTATCAAAACAATAATTACGATAAGTTTTAGTTTTCCCTCGCTTTTTCTTTGTTTATCTTTTTACCGATTAAATTATACACTACTAGATAGCGTAGCTTTTATAACTTTTATAAAAAAAAAAAAGAAAACATAATAGACATCTCTACAAACCGTAAACTTATTACTATTTAGTGTGTCCTCGTATTTTGGTCGATCTATTTTTAAAAATTTAAATGTATTCACACTAGGAAAGAATTTTTCGCACGAAAATTATGACAGAAAAACTGAGAAGGCAATAGCTTGCGTTTACATCACGTCTACATATACTCGTGTGGAACGGTCAGAAATAATAATAATGAGCCAGTTTTATTAATTTAAAACAAACTGTTTCTTGCAACCCTGGCTATATTCACATGATTTCAATGCCGTAGCTAAAAACTGATTTATTTGGGAAAGTGTTGAATATTTTTATAATGGTATACTATATTTCCATGCTCGTACTGATTTTTAAATGAAGTATCACCATTTTTTGTTACATCTTCTGCGAAAAATTGGTGCTGTTAAAAACTTAAAACAAAATAGAACAATTATAACAAAACATCTCATGACATTTTGAATGAAATAAAAATGATTAGGAATAAAGAGAACGTAATAAAAATGCGTTCAACACGGTAGATATTTATAGGTGTTACGAGGCAACTCGAATTACATTTTAGGTTTCTCAAAATGCGTTTGCTTTACTAATGTTAGATAATAATGTACGAACACATTCTGATAAATTGTTTTTATTTCTTTCAGCATTCAAGCTATCCGATAGATTTTGTATAAATACCTAGTATACATAAATGCCGCAATAACTAATAGGGTTTAAAATCCCAGAAGTAATTTTATTTTCAATGACTTAAAAATATACACATATTTAACTAAATATCCCTGTAGTTTTTGCAAATAGGTACATTATAAGATGTGTGAAAATATTTCAAAAATAATATTTAACTGTTAAATTTTGACTACTTGGATTATGTCTCCAAGGCATTATGACTACGGTAGTTATGAACTAGTCATACATGCGTATACGGCTCAATCGTGGTATAATACTATTTTCAATTATGGGATAAATTCAATAACTTTTGTCATAAATCACGATATGTACAGCCTTGTCAAATAGAAGTCAATAGAATTCAGAAAATATACGTCGCACATTACGCATTATGTCTGTCGATTGCATAATATAACATTTATTTTAGTATCTGGTCAAAAACACCATTATAATAAGCTGGAAAATTTGTATAAAATTAGTATAGTCTTAAATTAAATATATATTATTATAGTATAGTCGCTTACAATTTAAATATTAATCATAATTCCGTTGAAACTAAAACCCGCGGTTTTACTTTATATATAGGTAGGTATGTACTATATAATATACAGACATATTAAAGGAAGGCATGTGCAATCTATTATCATTGATTTCATTATTATCCTATAATGCAAAAGGGGTTTTATTTATATGAAGTATGAACTGTAATATGCTTATTTATTTTATTTGCAATAATACTTACTTACGATATTTAATTCATAATTTATTGGATGTAATTAAAATATCTATTTTATCAAATAACCTCACAAACAATTTACTCGAATTCAAGTTGATTTGTATGTAACATTATAAGTTATATTATATCATTAATTAATTAAAACAATTTTACTACTTAATAAAACCCTGTACCCAGGGGCGGATCTAAGGGGGTTTCAGGGGGTCAGCTGACCCACACTTAATATTTATTGACAAAATTGGCCTCTTGGAATTTTTTTTCTCTTTTTAGACCTTGATTTGGAGTCTTAGACAGTTGGCCCATCGGAGTTACTTGAAAAATGAATGTCATGTATATCCAGAATTTAAAATTTTTCAATTCATAATTTATATTTTAAATTATATCCATAGGCACAATTTGGGGGGAGCTTGGGGGTGCTAAGCACCCCCAAATGTGTTTATGTTAATTTACATTTAAATACTCATTACTCATTATGTATAGAAAAACATAATAGTTTTTGATATTTTTTGTATAAATATATAAATTTTTATACAATACAAAAATATTTCACAATACGAAAAAAAAATATCTTTGCTTAGGGTAAAAGTTTCAAGTTTCTAGCCACATTACTTTTGGGATTATGACTTAATAACTAAAATTTGAAATGTGAAAGTCTTATTTACAGCGTATTTTTACTATTTCAGGACAGTTTTTTCCTCACGTCTAGAAAAACTATTATGATTTTAAAAAATGACCTATCTAAAGTACCACTGCATGCCAATTTAAAATCTAAAAAAGTCCTAGAAAAAACTTTTGGACCAGTATTTCTATCCGAAAAAGTGTTAAACAAATAAAATACACACATCATTATAAAATCATAATATCTTTCGCTTCAGTCAGAATCTAAAAGTGATCATGTGATAAAACATTTGTATTTAAAGACAGGTAATTCGTTACCTATACGTGCAATAAAAATATAAAATTAAAGTAAACAATTTAAATTTAGAAATATTCATATATTTACCAAATATTTTGGTAACTGTTGAATTGTACGGTTTGCGGGTGTCTATAAACAATAAGGAAAGTGAAAAATATAGAAGGGCTTCAGCACCCCCAGTTTTTTCATTGAAATTTCGCCCCTGATTATATCGTTTTAGTAGAAAGTTAAGTAAATCATATTTTATTCCGTATGTTTGTTGCGCTGATAAAATTAGATTATATTTATTAATCGTAAATAAGTCATTATCAGTGGTATCATTAATTCTAAAATGTAATATAAATATACTTGTACACTTTTATGAACATATTGTGTTTTTTTTACAAGGTATTAATTTCTAATTCAGTTTCATTCCTCAAAAATAGCCTCTTGAAATGGCTTGACCTACAGTTCCCCGACTCTGGATCCGCCCCTGCCTGTACCTCTACAATATTAATCATAAGTGAAGTTATTATTAATTATACTAAGAAAAATAATAAATAAGAATATTTTACCGAGTGTACTCCGGGTTTGGTATCTTATATATTATATACATAATAAGTGAAATAAATGTTTTATAATATTTTTCTTTAACCCATTTCGTGATTCTAATTTTAGAATTGGATGTAAAAGATACTAATTTTCATTATATTTCTATAATAATATACCTGTTACGGATACTTTTAAAGTATGTATGCTTTACCATGGCAACTACCACTCAAAAATTATATTTTATTCATATAAAATTATTATTTTATAATTATATAAAAAATCGATGTATGGTCTACTGTTATATTTATACGAATGAACACAAAACAATATGATATGTTATTAATATGTGATGTATCGTGTATTCGTATATACATATTCCACTAAATACCTATACTATTCTTGATTTGTATATGTGATAAATTATAGATCATATTATTTTAAATATAGTAATAATAATAATATTTAATAATATTTATAATAACATAATATTTCAAAATAATTTTCTAATAAAACATTAAAAAAGAATTTAAATAAAAAATTATACCTATTATACATGTCTAAGTCATTTCCACGTAAAAATAATATTAATAATTAATTTACTTTTGTAGGTTATAGGTTGTATGTAGATTATTGTATAAATTCAATTTTTAAAAAGAGAAATAAAAAACTATGAGTCTTAATTGTATTTTATGTGTTTGTTTAATTGTTTAAGTCTTAAAAATATTCACAATACAAAAATTATTGGATAAAATCGTAATACCACACCTACATCGACAGTGAATTGAAAAACATTAACCCATTACATGAGGTTAGTAGAGAAAGTAATATTCATTTTTTTAAGGTATATTTAGTTGAGATGCCAAAAAAAAATTGTTGTAGGCCAATATGTACAATTAATAGAAAAGGATAAGTGGGGAGAATTTAAATAAAACATGAGCACAAAAAAGACATATGACTGAGTATGGCTAAGTTTAGTGTTTCGTTGGCCGATACAATTATATTTTTAAACTGCTGAGATCCGAGAACCACTAGCAGTTTGAACTCAGGAACTCAGTCGCATTCACCTTCTCTTGCCACTTATATCGTCTACAGAATACCTACAAAATGGTTAGTATTCTTTTTTATATTTATTAATGTTTTAAACTCGTTCTTACAATTTATAAACAATTGTATTAAAATATTTGAAACAATGATAACACAAATTAATAATATGTAATTTATAATTTATTAAATACAATAATTGTATTCTAAATTTTAATTAAAGTGTTCATCTAAAAATATTTTAATCTGATAATGTATTGGTTGATTATATAGTATATTATTTTTATTATTATTTCATAAGAAATTATATTGTTATAAATACGTGTAAATATATTTATTATTTTCCATGTTAATAAAACAAAGGATAATTTTATATAATTATAGAAAATAGTCCTACATATTATTTATAATATGAGAATTAAATATTAATGTATTTTCTAATAATTACACCTCGTAGGTGAAATAAATTCAATAGAACCTGCGGTCATCTTTATTATAAGCTTTTAAGTTCAAGTTAAATAATAGTTTATTGACAGTAAAATTCATCTATTATTTTAAATATGAAATTAAAAGTTCATAATATTCATAATTTTGCACTTTGACATTGTTTAAGATTTTAATTTCTAGAAACTTTTCAGAACTTTATATTTTCTATTCATGGTGTGTTTCAATAAATTATCTTATGCAATGATATTTTAATACAAAGTAGAACCTCATAACCTTATACTATCCGAGCTATAATTATGTAAACAAATACATTATTTTATTTTGGGGACTTGAGTTTATCAAGGAGTAAAATTATAAAAATAATATTTATAACTGATTTCCACCGAGACACCTAAAAACTAAATCATCACTACTTAGTTCCTAAGTGATATAATGGTACGTACATTTTGGTATGCGAGCTGAAATTCTTTGGTTTGCTTCTATACTAGTTATTGAACCAAAATTCATAACAATTTGAACGGGATTAATTTTATAACTTTGTAAAGTTTTTTTATTTTTTAGCTAATTTCAGTAATGACACATAATATATTTTTTATGTATCTGTAAAAAGTCAGAATTTTCAACTTGTTGGGTCGCATAAAGTTGGCAACAAGTTTTGTTAGTTATTTAGATTGAGCTCGAATTATTTTTAGAATATGGCACATAAATGACATCATATTGGCAAACTCTCAAATTATTTCGATTTTTGAATTTCTAATGTTAGGAATTGCATCGAACTTTTTTTTAATGATATAACGATAGCAATTACTTTTTAAAAACAAAAATTAGCAATTTCTAAAATATTTATATTTTTATATTTGAATAATTTTTTTTTTTTAATAACGACGCATCAAGTATGCAAAATTAAAACAGTAGTGTTCATTTTACCTATTAACATTTAATTGATTTATATTTATATTATTTATATATTAGGAATTGTTCTAAAAATACCAAGTTATTCGTCAATCATTTTAACTTTATACAGTTACACTTTTATTATCAAATTGACGTTTAATTAAAATATGATTATTAGTTTTTAATACTTCTTTTATAATTCTTCCGAACAGAATTTATGTACATATTACATATATGTTTTGATAAAATATATATTATTTTTTCATGAATAATGTATCAAGTTTGAAATTAATTTGCAATTGTTAAAGTCTTAGTTAAAAAATTAAAATTTTGACATGTACATTATATATTATTAATAGGCTGACAAGGAAAAGGTAAAGAAGAAGAAGGTAAAGAAGGAAGAACCAAAAGATGCACCTGCAGAAGAAGCACCAGCACCAGCACCCGCCCCTGAGCCTGAAGCACCTCCTTCTCATTCCAGCACAAAACACAGTAGCCGCAAAAGTTCATCCAAGAAAGTCCGCAGATCTGGTAGTAATGTGTTCTCTATGTTCACAACCCAACAAGTGGCCGAATTCAAAGAGGTATGTTTATTAATTATCACGTTGAATTAATATTGTTACTTTAATAAGTACTAAAATTATAATTCTGTTTTGATTATATGCATAGGGTTTCTCGATGATGGATTGGGATAAAGATGGCATTTTGGGCAAGGAAGACTTGAGAGCCACTTGGGATAAAGTAGGTAAGCTAGTTACAGACCCCGAACTCGATGCCATGTTAAGCGAAGCTTCCGGCCCAGTTAACTTTACCCAACTATTGACTTTGTTTGCAGCTAGGATGTCTGATGGAGGTTAGTTGATTACTTTTAATATTTATGATTAGGCATTATTTTCTACACAATATTTTTCAATTTCTTATTTTTATTTTTTCACTATAGGTCAAACCGACGACGATGAAACCGTTATTGCTGCCATCAAATCATTCGATGATAATGGTAAAATCGATAGTGAAAAGTAAATATCTATTATCTATTTGATAAGTTTCGAACCTACGATTTTTAATCGATATTATTATTTTCAGGCTGAGGTACGGTTTATTGAACTGGGGTGACAAGTTCTCCGCACAAGAAGTCAAAGATGCTTTTGATAACATGGAAATTGACAAGAAAGGCATGATCGACACTGAAGACCTCATATCCATGGTGTTGGGATCTGGTGACGATGAATAATTTGTATTTATATAAATCAATAACCAGTTTTTAATTTATTTAATATCCCTGAGTTTGCACAAATTGTATCAATTGGTAGGTAACAAATGACAAATTTGATGAATGTTGATATCGAAATAAAAAGAAAGTCCTCTATTCACGCTTTTGTGTTTTATCAAATTGTTCAATGTTAATATCACGCAGAACCAAAAACGTTCACAGAAATGTTCAATGGTGGAGAGGGGGTGAATAATTTTCTATATAAATATGTGCAATGCACATCCATCTAGTTATGAAATTTAATATTATTTCTAATGATGACAATAAAAAAAAAAAAAAATAACAATAGAATATTTAATACATTTTTAATTTTTTATAATATAAAATCTAATTTTTTTGGTTTTTTTGCCAGATCATCTTCTATTTTTTCAGCTGTTAATGGAACCCCTCCATAAATCGCTAAAATTGTAAGTCCAATTCAAAATAGTCATTAGTTATTACACAACATAGATTAAATAAAAAATAAAGTTGATTAAATTGATTGATAAGGACATACTCCATCAAGAGTTAATAATCACATTGACCAGTAGCTAACCATATAGTAGCTGACAATGAAAATCAACGATTTATCACTTCACTCTAAATATAATCAGTCAATTATTATTATAATTTATCAATAATATTTTTGGATAACATGATTTTTATAATGAAACATTACAAATATAAATTATACTAAGAGACAATGAATATTCTTCTCACATCTTAAAAATATAATACAAATTAGTTAAAAAATATACGGTTAATGGGGGGGGGGGTTAATTATTCTCGAGAATTCTCCTCCCTCCCCGTAAGCATGCCCATGCGAAAAACAGTAGCCCCTTATTTTCTTATTTTTAGTTGAAACATATGTTAATTACGTTCAAAAGATTATTTATTGTTAATTATTAGGAAACGGATTTTAATGCTCTAAAAAACAAAAAAATACCTTAAATAAATATGATTTAATGCACTTATAACAGATTTTTTTTTAAAAAAGCCACAAAAAAATGCCTTTAAAATTATTTTTAATATTGAAAAAATTTGTTTAATTATAGGTACCTCCTATTCATATAAATTCTTATTCTTAGGTATTAATTATTCGTATCATTTTCATCATATTCTAGTTCTATCTATTTCTAGATATTCTTTTTACCCTGAAAATTATTTTCAAAAAATGAATATACAATTTAGATAGGTACATTCGTTATACTTTTACCTTGTGATTCATAATTATACTATATAATCAAGTGCTGCTTAATATTCTCTAACATAAAATTCTCAATTTTTACAGCATCTTCTTTATCAAACTCCCTCACAACAGGTTTAATCAATTAATCATTTTCACAATAGTATATAGCTGCCGACAACCATGTACCCCAATTAGTTAGTAAGGGTTTAGGGAGCATTGGTATTTCTGGCACTATTTCTTTGAATTTCAATACTGGATATGGGAATTTAAAAAAAATATTTTTTACGTTCAAAATAAAAGCATCTATTACAGGAAATATTTTACGTATTTCTTCAGCTACTCGGTGTGGAGAATGTGCCAAACATGTAACGTATTCCGTTTTTAAGTAAAACACTTAAATATTTTTCCCTGCTTTACCATACAAGGCAGTGATTCTCATCCTTTTATCGTTCATGTTATCTTTAGCCACTAGAAACAAACACCGTGTCACACTAACATCAAAAAATAATAAATTATCTTAACTGTGTATTTTATAATAATTCTTGATATAATAAAAAATAAAAATAAAAATACAGTACACAGAAAAATAATAAGTATACCTAAAATTTATTTGAGTTGCAAGGTTCAATAAACATTGATAATTTAAAGATTAAATTTGCATATTAAAAAAAAAATTATTTTACTAATTTTTTTAATTTCTTGTGTATTTAAATGTTTTTCTCTAATCATATGTTGTGTCAGCAAATTTTTTCTCGGCTACCACTTTGACCTCACAAACCTTACAAAATAAAACACTTCCATCGGTAGAAAAAATTGATTCTCCATATTATTGAATGCAAACGACAAACATCTGAAGTATTGGCCTTAGGCATTTTCAAAAACTTCGTGGAACAAATAAAACTAAAATAAACAAATCTACAAAAATTACTCGAATATGTTAACGATGAGGTTAATGTCGCCCGTCGCCATTGGATATTAACTTAATTTATTTGTTTATAACTATACACACTTTTAAACCGCAACGATGTACAAGTGAAAAATTACCACATATATAGATATGTTTTAAAAAATTTTAACTCGAAAACAAAATTTAAACATGAACACCAACGGAAGAGGAATCGTAACGCCAAACATCGTGTTTGCGGCAGGGGAAGGTTTTGTGATCATATCGCAGGCGACTGGAATCACTCTGATGCTATTTTGTCTGTGCACCAGGCACGACGCGTCCGTGATATCGTTGATCTCTAGGAACGTTTGGTCGTTCGCCAAGAACGCGGTACCCTACGCGATTAACACGCTGTTGTGCTGGTATCTGTCGGTGATGTTCACGAGAATCATGGCGTCGAACGACCCGATAATGGGGTTTACGTCCGAGCATTACATCGCGTCCAAGGTGGCATTGAACCTCGTGGCGTTCGTCGCTAAATATTACATTCACAAGGTGCAATCGATCACCATGAAAATCGCGCTGTTTGTTGGCTACCTAATTCTGATCGCCACGTCCGAGGCCATGTGCAACAAGACGCCAGATCTGATAACTTCCAATACCACCGCTGTGATTCTGTTGTCTTGGCTGAGCGTTCTGATATTGGTAACCTGCACGCCAAAATAGTCTTAAGATAGCATCCGTCCGGCAGTCGGATAGTAGGCAATTCGAAGCCTTCAGCGGCCTCGGTTGAATTATCGGGATCTTGAGACACAATAGAAAACGAAACCGTAGAACATGACACCTTGAAAAATGTCACACATGGGGGGGGGTTGATATTTATGGAAGAGGCGAGGTGGCTATTAGAATATAAGCTTTGAATTATTGTTTGTAAATGTATACACGCCCAGGGCTTAAAGTAGGGGGGCAAGGGAATCAGTTCTCCTACTTCTTACAGCAATTGTAAAGCCTGACCTTTAACCCGAAAAGTTACCTGAAACGCTCAACTGTTTATTAAAAATAATTATACACAATATAACAGTTGACAAATTGGCTTTGCAATTTAATTTATGTCACTAGGTGTTAAACAGTATTCTACAAACAAAACTAATTTATATTAAATATAAATTATAAATTTTGTTGTAATATACACTTATAAATACGGCTTTTTTATTTTATTAAAAGATAATGACAATTTGTAATTTAAAACAATAAGTAATTTACAAGTTCGTGCATTTTTATGGCACATTAATATTTTCTTAAGAAATTTGTTCACTAACAACACCTCATAATATATATACCTATTTATAATTAATTACCTAGTAATTTTATTGGACTATATGAAACACTGAGAATTATATACGAATTGAAATTCCCCCTGCCCTTTTTTACCACTTTAAACCCTGACCACGTCACTGCGTATGGACTGCCCTGGACCAAGAATACAATGATAATTAATAACATAGGGGGTCATAAAATGAGGGTAGTTATAACTTTTTATGAAAAATCCTTTCATCCAAAATAATTTAATTTTTTTTATGCACATTTAGTTATTTGTAATAAATATTAATTAGAATAAATATTGAATCTATATTTATATAATGTAGTCACAACTAATCGATAAAACAGTACTTTATATACGTGAGTCAACGGAGGTTATACTCATAAAACACACTGTTGTTCCATTCAACTTACGCCTTGGGGCTATATCCCCTAAACCCCTTAATTCAGTCCTGGATAGGGTTAGGGTGCCGAACCGAGTAAAGTGACTAAGTTTAAATACTCAGCGTAATCAATAATTTGAACCCGATCACTGGACCGGACCAATTTCCAGGTCGGGAACGACAGTTCAAAGAAAAGAAACCATCAGTGCCACCTCTCCGTCACCAATTACGTATAAAAACAAACACGAAAAATCTACCGGCCTATCTAAAGATCTTATACGTTGAAGTCTTCACCACTTAACCTAAATAAATTAAATAAATAATAATACGCAAAATGTGTAAGATTTTTAACTTCATAACAGAATAGCCCCGACAACAGTGGCGTCCCTTTATGTGGTGGGGAGAGGACGAACATAATGTATTTACATTTTTCCTATTGTGATAAAAATAATAAATAAAAACATATGGAGGGAACTCCCCTATTCACTCTCTACATAAAAATGCTCTTGGCTGATCATGGTATTCTATCTTCTCTCAAAACCCGGTCAACTGGCGTCTTTTGAAAACTGTGATGGCGCAGCACAGGCCTAATAAAACCCTATAGTCTAGGCCAGCGGTTCTCAACCTTTTTTCATTCACGCACCCCTTGACCACTCACTACTACTTTACGGACCCCCAAATGCCAATTTGTCATATATTTTTACATAAGATAGATATGAATTTACGAAATAAGTTTAATAATGAAAAATTTGATTTATTTTGATCAACATGCGCAATACATTGTATGTATAAAAATAAATAATAAAAAATAATATTGAGTTAAAAATGTAATTTTAATGTGATCCCTGAGCTTGTTTGCTAGCACTTAACTTTTTGATATCTGGCTCCACGGATGATAAATAAACTCGTAAGTCTGAACTCACCGAGAGTCTATTGCGGTACTTATTTTTAATAAATGTGTATGACGAAAAGGCTCTTTCCACTAATACAGAGCTCGTAAACGGTAGCAAAACATTGAATGCTTTGTAAGAAAGCTCAGGATATTCGTCTTTCACATTAGCCCAAAAGGTGATCAGTGATTTTTTTTCAAGAAATGCTGCTTGGAGTGAAGAGTCCGTTTTTAGTTCAATCAATTTTTCTTTTCCACGGGCTGATAAAACTGCAGATTTGAAATAAATTTCACTGAAAGGGAACATAATCCAGTGGTCTTCTTTTCCACATTTAGGGAAGTATTTTGCAAAAGCTGTTTTAAGCTCATTCAAATGTTGAACAATTTGGTGTTTGATGCCTTGTGATAAGTTCATATCAGTTTCACTGAGAAAATCATGCAGTGCTTCAAAAATTTCTGGTTGGATATACTCAATACACGTTTTCCAGTATTATACTCTTATTATACACTTATACTAAATCGTATAAGTTACGAAAAACCTATTTACAACATTTAAAATATTTCACTACTAGTTTCACAAGTAATTTCAATTAATTACAACAAATTTCAATTTTTCCGCCATTACGCTTTTTTTTTCGGGGACCCCCTAATACCTACTCGCGGACCCCCGGTTGAGAACCGCTGGTCTAGGCATATGCTTATTGGTGCAACTAAGCAGCGTTTCTGGTGGCAAGAGCATTTCCAGGGGGGTAAATGGGCCAATCGCCTCCCGATGGCCTTTTTCTTCAAATATTTGTTATTTATTATTTATAGTATACTAAAAAAATACATAAATGTGAATGCATGTATAAAGTTCGCACTTCCTTCTTATAAAGGGTCTAGGGACGCCACTGGTAGGTGGTAACGTATAATACTCGATGTGTAATTGAATTCCGTTTTCATTTAGGTGGCACCGATTGACATCTTTCAACAATTATTACTGTCCACATCGCTGAGCTGGAGGAGATGTTCATTGGTGTACGGGCTGACGACCGGAATGTGTCAGTATTGGTACAGAACCATGGTCGGTAAAGACGCGGCGCCGGCGTTCGATGCGTTTCTCTTGGTGCTAGTGGTCCACGTGCAACTCGTATGTCTGTGCGTCACATATTTTTCAGAAGGCCAAAGAATGCTGAGGAACATCGTCGGCGAGGGCGTGTACAATCCAATGGCTGATTCTTTGGAAATGTACTCCACTGTTGAATCGATAATGCAGCAATTTACGACGTACGTTAATTGTACGTTGACCACGTGAACTTATATCAACTATTCACACAAACAATTTAAACTGCCAAGACGAGAAACTGAACGTTGAAATTCCGTCTCGCAACAGTTCAAGCCGGAAAACATGGATTTTTAAAAATTCTTTCTATGCATACTAATATGTCGCATCCGCGCATAATTAGTTCACAGAATTAGGATTTTCTGCTTGACTATTTGAACCTCTAAATAAAATGAAAGTGTTCGATGAGGCTTTTGTTTTATTTAAAAGTTTAAATAGATTAGCAGAAAATTTAGTTAATGATTTAAATAAAATAAATAAAAACATTTTTATTCGAATATAAAATTTATAAAATTTAATAATATCAAACATTCAATCTACACATGAAATGTGTTAATTAAGTTTAACACGTTAACTGACACATACTTTTTCTAAGAATTGCCCAGGAAGCCATGTGCATATTTTTGTGTACACGCTATAAATTATAGAACTTGTGTTCATCAATGTTGGAAAAGTTCCTTTTAAAAAGGAGCTCGTTCCTGTTAAATTTTTTAATGTCTAAGCGGTTTCAATAATGTTATTTTTGTGGACAACTTTTATATCAAAAATTATTGTCCAATTTCTAAATTCAAGACCATTTCTATAGTTAATTGAACCAACTTTATAGGTGTCAGCTTTTAATTTTTTCCAATTTACAATCGTTAATAAATGCGTAAGGAAAAACTAACAAAAAGTGGCGGAAAACAAGAATTTTTTAGGAGTTCCAATTATGATAAAAATTGATTTAGTTTATTTAGATAGTTTTTATTACAGTTATACAACCGTGGCTTATATTATTATACTAACTTAATATTATTAAGTACCGTTGTATAGATATTTTATAATAAAAACATGGATACGACAGTCTGTCTTATCAGCAGTAATCAATAATTTCAATTGAGGTCAAATAAATGTATACCTTTTACCATTGATTATAGTATTAACTATTTAATGTTTTAGAAAATATTAATATTAAAAATATCATTTTTAAATGTTATTTACCTAATTTATATTTTTTTTAGAACAGAAATTTCCGTTTAAATTTCACATAAATAGGAATATATTTATTACTTTTTTTTACTTAAATAGTAATTAATAATTCTCTAGTTTTGTCGATCAGTGTTAGACATATTTTCCTCAAAATCACTGAGAGGCGTAAATAAATTAATAATAATAATATTAATGTAAAAATGAATTGAATGCGTTTTAATATTAAAATAATTTTTTTTTCAAAAATGGACTTGTGTAAAATATTATGTATTATGAATTCGCTGATAAAAACCGAGCCTTGGAGATAGAAAAAAAAATTAATAATTTCACATTTAGTACGAGCGTATTTACTTAGTAGCATAGCCAGAAGAATATTTTGGGGTATTTTAAATTTTAAATTCTCTCCTACATAAGTAACGACTTTTTAATATTAATTAGTCAATTAAACATAAATATTTTAAAATGTGTGATTAATTAGTTTATTGAAACTGTGAAAATTGCTTAATAATGATATGGTATAACCAATATAACCAATATTTTAAAATTGTTGTATATTTTACAAAATAATTCAGACATTTTGAAGGGGTGGAGGTATAACCCGTTAACCCCCTCCTCCTGGCTACGCAAATTTATTTACTAATTATCATTTCAGAAACAATCTGTTTATTTTTCCAAAATATCCAAAATTTATCCATTATTTATTATATATTATATATTTAAATATGCATAAATATGTGATGAATATTTAATGAATATGTAATGAATACTGCGTTCATAACAAATAGAATATATGATTAAAATTTTTCGATGTTTAACTGGTATTGTGTCATTTTTTACTAGTCCTCATAGGCGGAATTGAACCATTATTTTAGGAAGAAGGGAAACTAGAATGCATTAATACCAATAATGTATATTATGCATTAATAAAAATTATAAAAATAAAATTCGTGGTGGAAAGGCTAAGGAGTTTTGTGTAACATGAATTATTTGTGATAAATTATAAATATCAAAATTAGAAACAAACATTTCTCTCAAAAGCACTAAACCCCCTCCCCCCAAAAAAATTAAATAATCACCAAATTATTAAAATACAAAAAAATAATTGTATTTTGATGTATATAATAAACACAATTGTTTTTTTTTTTTTAATAATAGAAAACAAAGTGAAAACAAGTATTTTGAAACAGACATAAATATATTTTATTTATAATAAATAAATTGACATAATTTATTGTTTAGTTTAATATTAATAAGTTTGTCTGATCTTAATAACATATAAAAAAAAAATATATTTTAGGTAACTAATTGCACATTGAAAAAATGTGTTTAAGTTTTACATACAAATATAACTTTGGAAAAAGTACTATTTCATAATTTATTTACTAAAAGTAAATAGAATTGAAATTAATAATTAAATAATAATTTATCTAAAAATTATCTAGTGCATTCTTTAACAGCATTTTCAATCTTCTGAAAAATATTAAATAATTTTAATTTATAATAATATTTATAAAAATTTCATAGTATCATATAAATATGATTAAAATATATTTACACATATTTCAAATGATACAAATGTTATAACATTATTCATAATAATATCTTCCAAACATTAAATGTACATTTAATTAATATATATGTAAAATGTTATGTTATATATAATTTATTCTGTTATACTTAGTATATTTTTGTTTTAACTCAATCATGGATTTAGGTGGCCAGAGGAGTATCTCCCAATATCCCCCAAAAATGTTTTTTTATAAACGGTAAAAAAAACCTATTCAATTGATATTTATTAATACATATATATATACATTGATATTATAGGTATTAAATTGTATATGTATATGTATATGTATTTTTATTATATAAAATCATTTAATTTTTTTAAAAAAAATTAACCCCCCCCCCCCACACACACACACAATTTAAAAATACGCCACTATTATTAATTTTAATACTACAATTTTTTCCTAAAGCTACAACTTATAATATAAATACAGTCGAGTCACGATAGCTCGAAGTTGAAGGGGGATAAAAATTTACTTAAAGATATGTATTATTCGAAATACCTACCTCGAAATTATCAAAATTAAATCAAAACTTCTAATAATGTAATAAAATATAATTTTAAAAATTTACGATAAAAAAACGTTATGATAAATATATGTGCATAAATGTAAACACAAAATCTTCTAATTTGCCTATGATTTTGAATATAGAAGTATTCAAGTCTTCGACAGATTCAACAAATTGCCTAAAAGTTTGTAATTGCTTAGTTCATCGTAATCATATTTAAAGGTCTTTCAGGCTCATCAGGAATCATTATTTGATATACGAGTACATGTTACACATTTTATACCCATAATTTCGTTAGCAATAAAAATAAATATCGTATATACGAGTACTATATAATACAAGTTTATAATAGTCCACTGACTACAACATTATCAATAATTGTAGCATACGATTGAAATATAGTCGGTTGATCGACATAGTGTATCTGCTACAATTTGCCAATCATATCCATTGTCATCAACGTCATTGTTTTCTAAACATACATCACCCTCACACTGCTGCTCTTCATTAAAATATAATTCAGCTTTGAAAAAATTGACAATAGTATTTGGTTGTACATTAATATACATACTAACCAGGGGCGTATCAAAAGGAGGGATGTGGAGGTCAGATACCCCCTTATAGGCCTTTTTAAAGTTGTATAAAATAGTATTCTTAATGTAAGGAAATTATAAGGAAACAAAAAAATATTGCAAGGATTTATTGTAAATTATTATTTTAACACATTTAATATACATCTTTTATTATTTATTATCAGGGGCTTCATTTTTTTTTGAGGGGAGGGGGGGGTAGACTATGGCAAATGCCTCACTCTAAAAAATTTTAAAAGTCGGCAATTCTTTGTCCGATGATCAAATGCTAAAATCGGTAAATAGTAAATTTTTATTTACTATTTTGTACTCAGAAATCAGATAATATTCCCTTTTAAATACACGTTCACGGTTTATTAAAAGTTGGAATACACTGGCTCCTCCACAGTTTATGACAATCGTTATTACGCGAACCTTATAAACTCTATTTTTGGTATATTATATATTTCTATATACGAGTATGTGATCTTTATAAAACAGTTTTCGTGATATCGATACCATAAAAATTGAGCTCATAATGTATAAAAAACCGTTAAAATCGTTCCTATTCACCCTAAACTACGGTACATTATTATTGGACATTATATTGGAGATACAATTTTATGTTTTTATAAATAAGTTCTGCAAAGAATTAAATATACAAATAATAAAATTATAAGTATTTATTTAATTAGATTTACATTATTATTCTATTAAACCTATTGATAGGTAACTTATGACCTATAGGATAAGTAAATAAATAAATTGCCATCTTTAATGTTATTATTTAATTGGGTAAATTGAAATGTTTCATGTTCTTTGTTTATCATCATGACATCATTATTCATTACTAATCCTTACATGTTTTTTCCCAAAAAAATATTTTATTGATAGTCTATCGTCCATAAATATTTAAATATTTAGGTAACCATAATTTTTTAAATATTATGAAGTCGACAAATTTAATCAGTTGCTCCACCCTTTCAAAAGTTGAAATGACGTCCCTCTTTATTATTTAAATGTGCAAGTACTTAGGTTTAGAAATTTTCCTTCCATAATAATTTGTTTGTAACTGATCCCCCTTCCCATATAAAAGTTATGTATACGCCACTGATACTAACCATTACATACTTACTATTTTTGTGCATTCGCTAATAATCGGTTTCTATCTACTCGTTTACTTTTTGTTATACAGAGTACAGATATAGCAGATATAATAATACATTTCGACTAGGTAAGCTATTTATCACAATTTTATATTCGAATTAACAAGACTTTAAAACGTTGAGAGTTTTAAGAATTTCTAGGGGAATAAGTAAAAAATCGAGTTATCAAATTTTTCGAGTAATCGAAGTTCAAGTTGTCGCGACTTGACTGTATATATATCATATTTGTATATATATATGGCTATGAGCTCCTCCCGTGAAAAACTTCTGGATCCGCTCCTGTTCTAATCGTAACATTTAAATACAATAAGGTATCCAAAAATACTAAAAAAAGTTATGCATAATACAATGATTTATGTATGGTTCTTAATTATGTTTAGTTAAAAAATTAAAATTTTCAAATGAATAATTAATTTTTCTCTTCAAAAATTATAAGAATTATAGATTATACTACAAAAAACAAAAATTTCTGAGAGCCGTGTGATTAGTATATAGACATTCAGTTATGGCGTACTATTGAATACAAGGTGACAAATAAAAAACATAGTATCACACCTATTTCATAAAATATAAGCAGCCATTTAAAATTTACTTTATCTTTCACTACCTACATAATTCAAAGTCACCAATTTATAAAATGTAAAATATAGTAAAAGTACTTGAATTTTTTTTTAAGTTATAGTATTTATAACTATAGATTAATAAAGCATGGTAATATATATTCATTTTTATAATTAGTAAATTATAAACTATTTTGGATCATAAACATTGAAAAAAATGTATCTTATTCTTTCTATAGAATTTAAAAATTGAATATGTTAAAGTTTTTACCAAATATAAAGATATTTTTTTAGGAAATGTAATAAAAAAATGTATACAATTTTAAGTCTATAAAAAAAGACATAATAAAGATTAAAAACCCAACATTATGAAATACTGAAATTTGTTACAGTCAAATTACAAATTAGACATAAATTAATTATATAATTATTGAATATTACTATTAATATTTTCGTTTTATTACATACATACATTTATACATTTGTCTTACCTATATCATAAAAAATAAAGTTTCAATATTTAATCAATATGATAAGTAAATTATAATAAAAAATTAATTATAATTAATTAAATTATTAATTTTTAATTTATATTAAATTAATATTATGCAATTAAATACACAAAAATATAAATAAAAATATAAATAGTTTCATTACCGATAGTCCAAGTTTTGCGGAATGATGAAAAGGTAGACTCACTGCAATATTAGATACTTTGAGTCTTGGAATATGACCTGTATAACCAGCTATAGGTGGCAATTCTGAAGACACTTTGTGATCTACAAAATAAATTAAGATATTATCCTCTATGAACCAAATAATAATGAAAAATGGTTGAAAGTATTTTATAGGCAATAATAATTAATTCGATCTTATACTGTATCATGTTATTAACTTTAATAAATATTTCACGTGATTTCTAAACTATTTACATACCGCTTAAATAAAATGAAACTTTATAACTAAATTCTTATAAAATAAAAAAATTAAAATAGCACATACGTAGAAATTAAAGGCCGGTTTACATGCAAAAACTTATTGGAAGTTTTATTGGACATTTAATACAGACAATATAACGTACATTATATAGTATCTACGCAATCCAATTTTTACTAAATTTTCCATCTCAGTTTCAACAGTTTTTCTCTTCACTCTTCAGTGTTATTCAGTTATTACAGTGATTTTTGTCGATATAAAAGAAGTACTGTTATGATTTTTTTACTATAATGTCCTTAGTACATGTGCAATAGAATTTAATCAAAAGAATTTGTTGTATATCAGACATGTTCGCAAAATAATAAAAAATACCACTCAAATCAAATTTTTTATAATTTATTAAATAATATAGGTAAATATAACTACTATAATATATTGTAATTATTAAAAAAAACCAAATTAGGTTGTTAAAACAGTTCTGCGATAGCAGTTGTCCGTTACACACACACATTGTGTACGCTCCTTTCCCAATGTGTTTTTCTATAGCTACCTAAAACTTTTTTTTTTTTGTTAATTTCTATCCTATAAGTTTTACTTTCACACAGAGTAAAACAAAATATTATTCATAGTTAACAATCGGCTGGTGCGTTACACACTTTCGCATACGTCGTCGCTAATCGTAGGTCGCTACGGTGACTTCGATATCATTATTACTCTCACGCGGTCACGCTATCGCCGTCATCCCGTACTGGCTCCATTATCTTATCTTATTTATATAATAACCGCCAGCATAGCTATTCATATTTTATACCAAATAAAATTAGTAAATTAAAGGAATAATACAACACTGGTGACAACTCCAATAGGAAGTTTACCACGATTAAAATTAATAAATCACAACTAATTCTCCTCCTAGTAACGAATGAATTATACAGAGCGGTAGTAAAAGGAATCTTTCTGCCTCCTCTGATCCTACCTTACCACAATCACCGTATACTAAAGTACATAAAAATTATTTTCGTCTTCAAATCGAACTTTTTAAAAACCACCTTTTTAATGTTTTTCAACCTCACCAAGATATTCCTCCTGTCAACTCTAATACGGTTCTTAGTAGTCCTGATATGTCTTTACCTCTTTCTCCATCAATTAAACATTTTTCGCCGAGTGATATAAAATTTGCAATTCATAAGCACACTCTTAAAAAGTCTCCGGGCTTTGACCTAATAACAACTGAAGTAGCCAGATGCCTTCCTAAACGTGCAATCGTCTTACTTACTCATATATATATATATATATAACACCATACTCAGATTGTCATACTTCCCACTTTTATGGAAGTTCTACAAAATCATACTTTTCCCAAAACTAAACAAGGCCTCTGACCTGGTAACGTCATATAAACCAATTAGTCTATTACCTTTCTTCAGAAAAGTGCTAGAAAGACTCATACTTAATCGCTTACTTCCCATAATCAGTGAAAAAAATATACTTCTTAACTATCAATTAGGTTTTCGAGCACAACGTTCAACAATTCATCAAGTACATAAGCTAGTAGACTCGGTTTCTTTCGCATTTGAAAAAAAAAATGTATTGTTCTTGCGTATTTCTTGACATTCAACAGGCCTTTGACCATGTATGGCAAGAAGGGCTGCTGTACAAGGTAAAAGCACTTTTGCCCCCAACTTACCACACTTAATACTTACAGTAACGCTACTTAAATCATATCTAACTGATCGCTATTTTCAAGTTCATTTTAAATTTGCATACTCTAACATAGCAAACATCCGAGATGGTGTTCCACAGAGTGGCATCCTTTCTCCAATACTATATAACTTATATGCTTCTGATCAACCAACCTCCGCTAACACCATTGTGGCAGACTATGCAGATGACAAACTTATCATATCTATAAATGAAAACCCTATTGTAGCATCGCATAATCTACAAAATCATCTTTCCCTTATGGAAACCGGGTACAACAATTGGAGAATTAAGGTAAACCAAACCAAATTTAATCACACAACTTTTACCCTTAAGCTAGGATACTGCCCACCAGTCACTCTATATGGCACACAAATTCCGTATACTCCAACACTAAAATATCTTGGCATAACCCTTGACCGTAAACTCACATGGGCCCAACATACACGGGTAAAAATACACTCCATAACATACAAACATACACTCCAACTAAATTTGCGACTTCGTATGCTTAAATCATTACTCGTCAATAACAAACACACCAACCTTAACATAAAACCACTAATGTATAAATCCCTTATCAAACTTATTTGGACCTATGGTCTCCAACTGTGGGGAAATGCAAAAAAATCAAATACAAATCGTATTCAGACATTTCAAAAAATTGCATTAAGAAAATTAACAAACTCCCCTTGTTATGTTTCTAATCATACTCTTCACACTGACCTAAAAATCAAAACTGTAAAAGAAGAAGCAGTTACTTATTATAAAAAATTCCATAATCGACTTGCAACTCATTCCAATCTTCTAATTAAAGCTTTGTCATCAAATGCTATTCCTGGTAATTCTCCAAGGTGCTTAAAACGAAACTGGTGTAGAGATTTGTTAACTTAACAAAATAATATTAAAAAAAAAAAAATTAAAGTAGAGGAATCATTAAAGAATAAAATAATTAGTTAATGTATAAATTGCCAGGAATGTGGTCAAACAAGATCATACTGTGGCTACCCATTACGCCGTGTTTGGTGTAGCGCTTTCCATCAATCATCTGCCTATCCAAACTGCACATCTTCCCAACAATTTACTTATACGCAGGCGACATCAAGTCAAAATTTTAACCAATCCCCCCCCGACATCTCTTGACATCATTGGCGCCCGGAGGGGGGCAAGAGGGGGCATTTCCTCCCCCCTGCAATTCAATAGAATGTCGAATATTTTAACTTTTATTTTGATTTATCAACATTTTATTGATATTTTTACTTTAGTGTGTGCCGTGTGGTATTGTTGATCGTATTAACAATATATTATAAGGCGTACCTACAAAATAATGCGTATTACATTAATCGCGCAAAATTAAATACGTTTCAATTCTGTGAATTGATATTAATCGCCTAGTGTGTAAACCACTTATGACGATTGACGCACCACGCACACATAGCTTCAGTTTTTATTTAACTAATTTTTTAGGTTGTAAGGAATATATTTTTTAATGTTCTTTTAGGTGTTGGATTTCATATAATTCTAACACAATTTGTAGTTTACAAGGAATAAACTTTTTTTAATGTATTTTTTTTTGTTTGATTTCATTATGCCCCCTCCTGATAAGTTTCCTGCAGGCGCCCATGCTTGACATTAACAACCTAATGTCCAGCTTCATGCAGGAATTTAAATCTTTAATAAACCCTCTTATAACGCTTCTTACCAAGGTAATATCCTATCTTGATAAAAAAAATGACTAACAATACTTTCACAAACAAATTACTCACAATACTTCTTTTCAATGCAAATGGCTTAAAATATAATGAAAATGAGCTCCAAATAGTGTTACACAACAAACGTAAATGGCGATTCAAAATTAATCAGTCAAAATCTATACACACTACATTCACACTTCGTCTCTCTCCTTGCCCTGAAATATTTATATATGGCGCACAAATTCCTACTTCTTCTACAGTCAAATATCTAGGTCTAACTCTAAATCGCAGACTTACTTGGCTCCCCATCTTAAAACTAAAAGACCTAATTTAAACTGTAGTTTGCGCTTATTGAAAACTTTTTGCAATAACAATAAACCGTTCGGTATCGAACATTTCAAAAGATCTCAATACGAAATTTTTTTTATAATTAATGTATTAATTTAATAAAGATGACACTTCGAGAGTAATTTTACAATTGACCCGCACATTCAGGAGCTGCGACCACTAACGTGTGAATAAACGTATTGAAACATAGGTGTTCAATTTTAGGCGATTTTTCGCAGCGGCTAAAAACCACGACCGTGCGCGGCTAAACCGCTACGTGTGAAACCAGCTTTACTGTATACAAAATCCGTTTTACTTGATACGATTAGTCAATCGTGTTCGATAAACCGACCTTAGTAATCTATAATTGAAAATTTGTAATAATTTTAAGGGTTTATTAGAATATTTTTAAAAACATTGGAAAATCCCATAAAACATCTTTATCTACGTATTATCTCTATTTAATTTTCAATAAAGTAAAACGTAAATTTATTTTTATCAGTTTTTTCAACTGAAAAAACAAATAATTAATGTATTTTCATTGTAAAAAAACACTACAAATTAATTTCAAAACGTATACATGACAGATATAATTACAAGTTATATTATTAAAGTATAATACCATTGTTAAATGAATCACTACATTCACTACATTTAGATGTTGAATAATAAAATTAAAATTAAAAAAAAACTAAAAATTATATTCAAAAACAACAATTTTGTAGTAATTTCAAATGAATAAAATATATTATTATATTAGGTTAGAAGAAAAGTTTTATTTTTTTTAATGAGATTTTAACATAGTAATTGTTTCACTCCAACAATTACGTATTAATTATAAAACAGCAAAGGATAATAAAAAACAGATTAGGTAAAATATAATTAAGTTAAACGTAAAGTATTGAAGTATCAGATCGAAAATAATGAGCGTAAAAATTAAAAAGTAAAATAACTGATAAACAGAATCACATTTACCTTTAAAATCTTTGCTTCTTTTATATTTATTTAATGTATGTTGTAAACGCATATTAGCTTTATCTGGTACCATTTTCGGGGGTAAAAAGCGAACAGGCTTGTCAATAGTTTTTCGACTTTGCTCTGATGATAATTTTACGAGCATATTTTCTTCGCATTCTTGCGCTAGAGTACAAAATGTTTTGCCATACCGGAAATGCATCCCTGGTATATATCCTAAGTACAAATTTTAACAGTCCATAATAAACAAATAAATTCTACAAAATAATAGTTATAATAAATTACCAGTATAGCCTAAAATATATCTTTGATAATTATTAACTGTTTCTTGTTGTTTGTCAGTATTGATTTTAAAATCATTTACACTAGGCTTAGGTTGTAGTTTGTCTAATGGACTATCTCTTAAATATACATTTTTTAAATCGCATTGTTTTATCATTCCTTTTTCTCGTAATTCCTTAAATGTATTAAAATATAAATTAAATTAAATTCGTTTTTTAAATCATACAACTGATTATTATTTTTGTTTGGTTATTAATAAAAAATTATTATAATTTAGTATTTATAATCATTATAATTTAAACCTGGATAATTTCCAGAGTATTGGCTCCATATCTTTTTCCAAAACGAAATTTTAATGTTGGACAATGACCAGTGTATCTATAAAAGACAAAATTAAAAATAATTAATGATTTTACACAAATAATTTCGTTATTATGTATATATCTATTTTATTTAAAAATGTAGACATTTTTTTTTCAAAATTTGCTCACAATATAATATCTTCAGATAAAAAATATTTATATTAAATAGTATCATCATAAAACATTTATAAGCTATAACATAATGCTGAGGACCTAAAAATATGATATAATTTATTGATGTATTGATTTATAGATAAATAGGTAACCTTAAATAATATATATATGGATTTTTATTTTTTTATCAACACAATTTAAATGTGTGTTAGAACAAAAAAGGAAACAAAATATAAAATATAGGCCAAAGTTTTATGTATACTTTTATACATTAACTAATAATTTATTACGAGTACAGCATTTTCCTTATTAAAATTTCAAAGTGAACTTAAATGATTTATTTAATATGCGATTGAATAGGTGTTTAAAATTTTATAATTCAATAATATGGAAAACGCGAATTGGATCCCGAGATTTAGTCACTTAAAATAAACATAGTTGAGACCACGGTGTTATTTGATAATACTCGAATTGATTCCGTGGTAATGTCTTTATTTTATATATTATTTAAAGTTTTCATGCAGAATTTAATGCTAATATTAATTTAGCTGATCCAAAAGTTTTTGTTTTAATAGACATTTTACTTGGAATTCAGGGTGAAATTTAGGTATCACCTAGTTCAGCCACAAAGCCAATTAAAAAAACAGCAGAAAAAAAATGCTTTGTCTTACTAGTGAAGAATTTTCCCGATTAAATTTTGTAAAAGACGCGTCTTTAAACTCATTCTCTAGCTTAACCTTATTATTAACTTATTATAATATAAATATTTACGATAAAAAAAAAAAAAAAAATACAATATTTTAAGTTAAAATTAAGCTAATTTAATAATGATTTTAATTAATATTTTAATAATTTTTACATCAGACCGTTATCTTAATGTAACAAAAAACTACATTTTTGGGAGACATTCTATCCAACTTCCACGTGGTGCCTCTAGTGTAACGTTAATATGCAACTCATGTACTCTATAAAATATACGAAGACTTAAATCGTTTAATCCAATTGGGGCCAAACTTATGTACTCCATAAAATACATCCAGACCCAATTCATGCTGTTTTCGAAATCTGGTACTCAACTCGAGTTTGTTCAAATAATCATTTTCTTCGCAATTATTAATTTATATTCAAAAATTGGATGGACATTTTTAAAAGGGATAGTAAATTACTTTTTTGTATATATAATATTCGTATATTTTAAAATAGGAAATGCACACTTTTACATAAACAATGCATATTTATTATAATGCAATAGCGGAAAGTAAGAGTAGCTGGTACTACCAGGGCCAAATAACAATAACAAGCAGTTGACACGAAATGATGGAAAGGTTTACTTTTTACTAAGATTTTCACCAAGGCCACAATGCATAGAATAGTCGCATTTTTATGTTAAACATTTCAAAAACAAAAAAGTTAATTAGTTTGATGAACATCATTATAATTTTATATCTATAAATCTACAATACTTTTCAAATAATTATACTCAAAATTGGTTTAAAAAAAGGATACTAAATAGCATTGTTAACTTTTTGTTATAGACATTTTCACATTGTTATAATATAAATCAATAATATGCGTAGCAGAAAAAAACATTTATGAGAAAACTTCTATGAACCATTACTAATTACATTCGCTATAGATACTGACATAATTAAGAAAGTGAGATCGAAGAAAACTTATAGTAAACTATAAAGAGAAAAAAATGTTTTAAAATCACCTAATATTATACTAGTTAGTTCTCATGTATGAAACATATAAATAAGAATATGAGTATGTTATTAAAATAACGGGACTAGCGTGTAGAATAAAATATGTATGTATATATTTTGATAAATGTTATAATATTATATAAGAATAGCTATCTATTCGGTTATATGTAACTGTTATAACTATTATACTTGTATAATATACTATTCATTAAATGTTTATTGCTGAAATTCAAAATTAATTGAAAATTCAGTTTTTGCAAATTTTTCATTGTAAAATTGAAAGTAAATACCAACAGAATCTATAAAAAAATATATTGTACAGCAATATTACCCGATGGAATTTTTAATGCATAGTGCACTAGTAAAAATATGTACTTATATTAATAAATGCATATTATGTGAGTTCAAATAAAATACCTATAGGACTAAAGTGGTGCACCTTGAAGAAATAATGTCAAATATGGAAGTTTCAAATAATTAACTCCTAATGGAAATAGGAAATAATATAATATACTATATAGTGTTATAACAGTCAAGGCCATGGTCATTTTATGTTTTGTTCATTTCAAAATCGTTCGTTAATATTGTAAAGAGAAATTAAATATATACTTACAAATAAATAGGTGTTTTAAAATTCTAGTGTATTATTTATAAATTGTTTTCTCGTCGGTGAAATGCGTAATTACAAAAACATTTAACCATCGCTTTTAAAAAAATAAGTACTCACCAACATTCTATAATTGTTTAATAATAGATTTTTTTTAATGAGTTTAAGAATGGATATATTCTCATTTTACTACTATTCTCTTATTTTTTTATTAATTCCTCCTACATTTTAAATTACGAAGTATAGGTATAGAAAAATAATTAATTCGAAGACAATATTTTATATTAACTTTTAATAAATATAAATGCAAAACCAAAATGAAAATACATGAATAATAGATACCTATTTGAATATTAAATATAATTTAGTCGAAATCCGAGACCCTCCTCATAAATACTTCAATATAGCACGCTATTTATCTAAATACATCACATTCAACTAACACGTTTATTCGTATAATTATTTTAATGATTTTTAGAATATTAACCATGGAATTAATTAGATTCATTTAATTTAATTATATTTAATTAAATTATAAATTAGTCATTACCAAATAAATTTGAACATTTTGGGTTTTTAAACAATAAAAAGTAGTTTATACTTCGAAAAATATGAACATTTTGTTACTATTTAGAATTCAATCTATTTGATTTTAAATGTTTATCAATTTATTTTTATGTTAAGGTAGTTATATTTTCCAGAATATATAATAATTTATATAAAATGAGCAATGATTAGATCAAAAAAAAAAAAATCACCCACCGCTGGGAAGTTTCCAATATATAAAGTGATAAGATTACAACATCATAAGTATAAAACTAAATAGGTAAATTTAAGTATAGACTAATCAAAAAAAAAAATACTATTAGTTAGATTTCCGTTATTACGTGGTCTACAAAATACGATTTTACACAAGCGTAAGAATAAAACGTGAACAGTGATTTAAATTAGGCACTCGTCACGCTTCGTTTACTTCGGAAAAGGATAGTACCGTTCTAGTATATTATTAGTTTAAATTATAACGAGAAGACATTTTTATTGTAAATGAATATAATATAATATAGCATATTTACTATCAAACAGAAATATATGTTTAACAAAAAATACTCGAGATTTTATTAAAACAGAAGAATACTACTTCTTTGAAGTTTTTATTCCTTGATTTCTCAAAAAATTATAGAAGTAATAAGATGAAAATTAAAAAATGTTTAGATACTCAATTAAAAATTAGTAAACTTGTAACTACTAATTAATATTATAGGTAACAGTATAAAAAGTCAATAATAATAATTTTTAAAAACGTCATTGCGTAGAAGTTATATTATCCTCATGGGCGCTCGCAGGGGGGAGCCAAAGGGGCCATTGCCCCTACTGGTAATTTTTGTTTCAAAACTATTGTTAATTTAATACCATGCATATTAATTATAACATAATTTTATTGAGATCCATTTATGAAGTTTAGTAAAATTTATCATATTTTTAGATATTCTAAAATGTATAATCTTGAATGTATTTATTTGTTTACAATGTTTAGGCAAGACTGCATATCGCTTAAGACTATAAATTCTCCCGAGGACCGATTTCTATGGTATTTGATTTTGTTCTCATATATTTTTAGATACACGTTGTGACTTTTAGAATTTTAATCTTGCCCCGGGTGGGATTTTATACTGCGGGCGCGCTTGATTATCCTATATAGTTAAGTCAATGGTTTTGTAGTATAGAATAACTATTTCTACAGTCGACGGTTTTATTGTATTTGTAAAATTACCATCAACAGCTAATGAGCATAAAGCTATAATTAAATGATTTTCCCAAATTGTTTATCACGCATATTAATGAATTAGTAAATTTTAAGATCATTAATAATATTAGAATCTACCTAAACGAACACTACGTTGAATATTATACTTCATAATGCAAATTATTATAACTCAATTCAAAAAATGATAAATGCAAAAATAACCGTTGTCGGCTGCAGGTATTTTTGTACTGCCAACTGATAAATGTTGCATTTAACAAAGAGTAACCGACATTTTTATTGATTTTTTTCACATTATTACAAACCTTGTATACACATATATAAAGGACCTTTCGAGGGTATGACGTTGTAATAAGAAAAAATAAAAATGTAGAAACTTACCCCGGTAAAAGCGCACCATTGGACTGACTGAAAAGTTTTTCTCGTTCTTTTTTACTACATTCTATTACCATTTCAAATTTGTTTCGAGCGAATAAATAATTAAACTTTGTGTGCACACGGCTGCTGGGGAGGCTCTCGAAAACGTTTTACTGTATGAACCTAAGAGTGTACGGATAAGTGTTAACTCTCTGAACGTGCGTACGACACAATACGATCGAACGACGAACAACCCTCTTGACTTACTTCTGACTACGGGAATGATTGCAGATTTCGTTTTTCGGAAAGTTTCCCCCACGATTTCACCGCGCGATTAGTACCCACTTACGTCGATGGGTTGTCGTCATGCAAACGCGAAGTGTTTATATTCAATAACGGCGCACTCTTGTGTCGAGTTCTCGTCGAGCGCTTGAATGCGTAGATAACACGACAATAAGTGATAACGACAAAACTGTTTGCGATAAACTCTTATCACACGTGTGTCGTGTCACACGAAATGCCAATAGGAATGATTTATTAATACCGTTCGACCGATGAACAGAATTTCAATATTGAATTAACGCCAACCGTTCTAATAGTTGCATTTCTCCCGCATTAAGATCTCATCGTATGTGCATCTCACGATTGTAAAACTGCCTACTAAACAGTTCTAAAGTATTAACCGTCGGTTTGCAGTCTAATGTCTGGTTGTTAATCTGGTTCAATGAGCTGAACAGATATTTTTTAACCATTGGAATGGTTTTTTTTAAGTATTTTTTAGTGATTATTTTACTTCCATACTTGTACTGTGAAAGTCAGATTGATGGCAAGTGTTTTCATTTTATAAACATTTTTTATCCTCGTTTAATAATTTTCCAACAAATATTCAGTTATCCCATTCGATATAATATATACATATATTTTAATGATTTAATAATTACATTCTTCAAATGTTTGTTTTTCTTTTTTAGATGATTTTACAAATGTCAATACTAGTTTACAGTTAGTAACAAGGTTTTCTCAAAATCGTATTCATGGCTCAATATTATTTTCCCAACATTCTACAAATGATGATATTATTCAAATTACTGTTTCATTAAATAATTTTGGAGAGCCATCACAATGGTCGTGGCAAATAAAAGAATTTCCAGTTGATTACACTATTTTAACTGATCGATGTACTGACAAAAACCTTGGCAACAAGTAATTTAGTAGCTGTATATCAAAGAAATGTATGTCTTATCATAAATATTTTTAATGACAAAATTGCTGATTAATTTATAGACTTATTAACTTTGATGATACATTTGGAGCATTGACTTTGGAGAATCATACACAACTTCAGTTTTCAATATCAAAATCTATTTTAGAACTTACTGGTCCATTGGGAATTTGGTATAGGTCATTATTACTTAAAGATAATGTTGGAAATACTATTTGTTCAACAATTATGGTATGTTTATTATTTTAATGATTGCTTTACTTAACATTATAAAATAATAAATTCTTATTAGAGTATGTGAAATAAATATAAAAAATATACATCTTAATTAAACTAAGTAGGTAAAATTTGCTTGATTTTATATTAAATTTTTTTAATTTATAAAGCTATTTTTTTTCATATTTAATATTATTTTTAATAAACTAATGAGTAATATTTAACAGTAAAAATTAATGATTTTTATTAGGCAAAAGATGATTCAAAATTGAGAGTGGCTGAGGCAAATTTTCAAACACGATTTTTCGGCAAAATTTATATAATTTGGGTTGGAATATCTGGAAGTTTAATGGATGCTATCATATTTACAAATCTTGAGGATAGAAAAAGTTTGAAATCTGAGCTTAGTACCAATAATTGGAAAATTTTCTCAACTGATGTTCTTGAAACTAATTTAGGTTTGATATAATTGTTATAAATATATTTTACACTAAAACATCATTGTTTAATTTTGATATAATTTTAATTTTTAGGTAAATCAAAACTCAATTGTGATGCTCTACAAATTCTATATGATCCAGAATCTACCGGGTTGGGTGATTTAGGTGCTCGTCTTGGACCAGTCCAAATTGGAAAAAAGTCATTAATTCGCGATACTAATTTAGCAACATTTGATATTGAGTATGAAAATAGAGTTTTATACATGGTTCTGTTTGATAGTGATCATACTGAAAATATTTTAGACTGTGCTCAAATATATTTAAAAAAAAGCATGACACTCAAGTAATTATATTTTTTACAAATTATTTAACCTAAACTTAAAATCAAAATTTATGTGATATGTTGTTATAGAGGATTTGTAAATGAAACAAAAATAAATCTTGAATTAACCTTATGGCAAAAATCAAAATTTGAAGTAACCAATATTTATACAAAAGTTGAAACTGTTCAAAATGGCCTAACTTTAAGTTTACATGAAATACCATCGATTCCAAAAACATATAAAGTTCCATCAAATATAAATAATGATTGCTTGGGTGTTGGCAATGTTTTTAATCCTACTGGTCAAGTATTCCCTTCTACTGCTGAAAGACTCACTCAAGATCAATATGCTATTGGTGATTTAAGTGGAAAATATAATTATGGCAGTTCCATTTGGGATATATTTTTACCATTATTTGGAAGCAATAGTGTTATTCATAGATCATTAGTTTTATACATGTAAGTATAATCCTTTTTTTAAATATATAAGAATTAATAATATTTTTTTTTTTAGAAATAAAGAAATATGGACTTGTGCCACATTATTACCATTTACTGGTCCTAATTCTCAAACTAAAATTGCTTACTTAACAGCAGAGGCAATTTATCGTTATCCTTTAGTTGGAAGGATTATATTTCGACAGCCAGTTGACATAGGCGCTACTGAAACTATAATAATTATTGAAAGTTTAGTTCATGCTGATGGTACTACTCTAAAAGATTCAGATGAACATAGATGGTCTATAAACGTACAACCACCTGGTAAGGATTTTTATGACTGGATGAATCGATGTAAAAGTGCTGGCCTTATATATGACCCTTATAAGGTATTTTAATAATTTATGATTAAAATATTAATGTTTCTTTTGTTACTTGTGAGTTTATTAATTATCTTCAAAATTAGGTTGTAAAAAACAACATGTCATCTTTATGCAGCAAATCTCTTAAATACTGCAGTGTAGGGGATTTATCTTCTCGTTTGAATAGTTTGTCTATAGCAGGCAATAAATTAAACTCCATAAATATTAGTAGACGAATGTTTGTGGATGAATATATTTCATTATTTGGAATAAATTCAATTATTGGTAAATCACTTGTAATTTACAGTGATCATGGTCCTGAAGCTCGTGGAGATCGTTTAGCTTGTTCAAAGTAATTTTATGATTAATATACATGATGGTGGAAGTATCTAAAATGAACAAAGCTTGCATTTTTTTGTACAAATTTCAATCACTATATATTATTAATTAGGATAACAAAACTTTAAAACTTGCATGTTTACAATTATGAAATTATGAAAATTAATTATGAAAAATTATGAAAAATAATTACTAAATGATTTTGCCTGAATGTTAAAATGTAATCTAAAAATAAAATTTAAAAAATAAAAAATGAAATATTTTTTCAGAGAATGAATTACATGAGTTATAGTTAAAATTAGTTAAAATATTGTTTATGCCTGCTAGAAATAATCCTAAATTCTTTCTTTATAAACATTTTTAAAATTAAGTACATAAACTTTGAAATTCTTTATTTGTAAATAAAAATTCTTCCTCCAAAAGTATTACACTTAAATGTCTACGTAGTATGTTATTTATATTATATTTTAGTAGTATATAAATATATTTCTGAATAGCATACATGGTTAACAATAATATTTGATTTAAAACTTAATAACATATAATATAATTTGATTCTCTGAAGCTTTTTATATATAATTTTGGCTTTATTTTAATCTTCTTCTTCTATACTATACAAGGATAAAGATTATGTATAAAGTATTAAAGTTTGAATTTATAACATATTATGTATTATAATTAATGAATATGTTTGATTAAAGAAGATTAAAGAATAAAGTATATTTTAGAAATAATGATTTATTTACTTTAGGATTGAAAAAGTATGGCATAGAAAAGCAGTTGTAAAAGACTGGTATAGTGAAAATGACACAATATCTGTTTCTGGTAAAATTGAATTATTTCAACTTTCTGAGTATGATCCAGTTGATTTTGAAATCAACTTACAAGGTGTACAAGGTGGAAATAATTATTATGTTTATTCGGTAAGTTGTTTGTTTTAATTATAATCTAAATTTTGTACAGTTTTATCTTCAATGTATTATTAAAAATGTGTAATGTTATAGAATCCAGTTGATGGTGGTTTAGATTTACCATGTGAGAATTCAAATTTATATGAAGTCTGGGATCCATGGAATAATAAAGTAACTGGAACTTTACGATACGGTGATTGGAGTTCACGGTTTGGTTCGATACATGGTGCTAGAACATTAACTGCAATTGGCAATGATACACATGCTCAGCTATTTGGTCAATTGGTATTTTTGAGTCGTTCAGTTATAATACATGGTATACCTGCTAAAAAAAGGTGAGTTACAAATATATAATTTAAACAAGTTGATTTTACATCTAATATAATATAATAATTATGTTTATAGGTTAGCATGTTCTACAATTGAAAGAGGATATGCACCATCAGAAGCTAGAGAAATCAGAGCAATGGCTTCATTTCATAATCCAAATGGTTTTCTTTATGGTTATATACGAATGGTTTGTATTCTGCTATTTTTATCATTATATATATATATATATATATTATTCTATTATTTATTTTTATATTTTAGACTCAATTGATCTATAATGATGGAAGTAAAAGTGATACTGTGATAGAAGTTAATTTACATTATCCTGGGACATATAATCGAAATATAGTGAGTGAAGAATTTTAAGCCTATTAATTAAATTATTTCTACAATTCTGCACAATTGATTTTTAGACAAAAAATCATAAATGGGCGGTTTATGTCAATCCTGTTGGTATTGATGCAACTGTTGTAGATCATGGAACTCGGTGCACTGCAGCTGGGTACATATGGAATCCATATTACACTCAATTAGCTGATCCATTGAATGTAAAGTTATTTTTAAAATTGCTATGAATATATAATTTTATATTATATATAAAAATATAAACTTTATTTGATGACTGAGTCATTAGTTTTATTTAAAAATGTTTAAAATGTACATATATCTTTATAGATAATGCTTTATGAAAATGAATGTGGACCAGATCAACCTTTACGATGTTATGTTGGAGATATATCAGGTCGTCTTGGTAATATTGATGTTGGATCACATTCAATGGTATTTTCTGATCCAAATTTACCTTTAGGTAATAGTATAGAATAAAAAAAAGTACTTTTATAGCTCTATATTTTTAATATTCATTTATAATTTTAGAAGGAGAAATTTCTGCAATTGGAAGATCAATTATAGTGTTTTCAAAAAATGGTTTTCAAAAATTAGCTTGCGCTAACATTGAATATGACAAAGATATAATAAAATATGTAAATGTAAGAAGAACTACCAAGTATGAAACAACACATTTTTTCGAAGCTGTCAGAAGCGTATTGGGTGTCCCTGATTGGATGTTAACTGTCGACAGTAGAAAAACGAAAATATTACACAATGGAGCTTGTATTCAGTATTTGGTGCATTTCAAAGGTAAACTGTTCTTTAAGTTTAAATTAATTTGATTTTAATTGTATCTGTTTTATTTAGGATCCATTGCTAATGAATTAGAATCAGATTTTAGTAAACTTTTAACACTTGGATATTTACCTGCTCAAACACTAAAAATAAGTGGTTATTATCCTACTAAAGTTAAGTTGAAAATTCCATATCAAAGTTGCCCAGTATATAATAAAAAACTGGCATCAAGTAAGTTGTTTACACTCAAAACTTTTGAATACTTTTTATTTTATTTCATTTATATATAATATAAGGTATAACTAATTAATCGTTTTAGGTATATCATCTGCAGCGAAGTGGATTAAGAGTTATAGTTTAACAGTTACTATAACACTCATGTTTAATATATATGTTTTATTATTATAGGACAAACTCCTAATTAAGTTTACTATTTTATTCTTTATTATTGTTAGTTGTTATGTTAACATGTATGACCTCATAGTGGTGAATATTGATAATCACTGGTAATTCTCGACCTTTACTAATTATTTTAGCGAATTTTTTCTAGTTTTACAAATACCTCATATTGCAGACATTTACTGGTGATTGTTGACATGCATAATAGTTAATAAATAAATGTTGACAAACCAATAAAAATAATATAATTATAACTATTTTACAATTAATACTTAATAAAAGATACAAATTGACAAATAAATAATAAATATATTAAGATTGGTTAGTTAATAATTTAACTTAATACTTTATTCATTTTATTGTAGTTTATTGTGACATTTTTTTTTCTTTAACACCATAACTTCATTCATACATTTATTGTACTTTTCGGTACTTAAATAAAACAATTATCTTCCTTTTTTTTGGTCAATAGTTAATTAAACTTTTCATTCAAAATATCTTTCATATTTTCCATTTTCATGATTAATTATTTTCTGTTTAATTGAAATCAAAAATAATACTTTTAAATACTTGTTGCTCTAGATTTAGTATATGTGCCAATTCTAACAAAGGTATGATTTTAAATTAAAAAATCAGATTGTTAAATATCGATTAATATCTCGAGCTATAATAATAATAGCTGTGCTTATGGATTTAAAAAAATTATAGTTTCAAAACATTGTGATATAGCAATAACATCTTAAATCAAAATATTATTGAAAATATCTTTTAACATACAACGTGCTTTATGTATGGTCAATATTTACCAAACAATAGTTGTAATTTTCCACAATCACTGGTGACAACAAAAGCTATTTTGGCAACATTCACTTCAACTTTTAGTGTATAGTGATATACACTGGTGACTATCAACATTCATTGCTGTCATACACCTTAACAATTATATTGTTTATTCACAGTTTATCCATTTATATTTTAATTCATTTTTTTTACTTTTTGTGATAAAAAATTAATAAATATTTATTATGTTGCAATTTATTATGTTGTTTTAAAATGTTAATACATTTTTTTTTATTTATTTAAAGTAATTCAGACCTATAATCTGGATCTAGTATATTTATAATTTAATTATATAGGTTATGTATATATGTTCTTGACAAACTCTTAATTATATTGTCTGTAGTTCAAGGATCATTAGACAGCCAGAAATTGTTCAGTACCTATTTCGCAAATACATTAATTTTTTTAAACTAAACCAAGATACATATATTAATTCAATTATTAACCATTTATGTTTTATTTATTTATTTTTAATAGATAAAATTCAATATTTTTTTATGATTTAAACAATTATTTATCAAAATTAATTGTAAAAACAATATTACCTATTTTATGATTTTATATTGATCCCCTATGATTTTCTAATTGAATCCCTAAAGAGATTATTTTTCTACAGATATTTATATAAATTAATCAGTGATTAATAATCACATACCTAGCAAACAGTCAATTAATTATAATTTTTTTTTTTTTTTAAGTTATGACTTGAGGTATGGGGAAGCATACACACCTTAACTATTTTTAGATAACCTTTCTTTACTATGTCAGTTCAAACTTAAATAATTACAACTAATTGACACTGGGTTTGAAATAAGAGATTCATGTACCTTCAATAGTTTTTTCAGAGGAATAATTTTTTTTAAAATTTAAGTTTAAAATTTGAATAATAAAATAATAAAAAAAAATTAATTAAAATTAAAACTATTAAATATTTAAAACTCGTAAATTAATAAATAAATAAATAAAAGCTTAGCCTGGGAACATTATAATTATATTTGTAAAATATGACAGTAAAGAGCTAAACTTTTATGTATTATATTTGTGTAAACTATTTGTTTATTTATTTATAGATAATATTTACGGTTGACATTTTCATACTTAATGTTGATACGTTTTTAACCTCAATAGAAATGGATACAATTATTTTAATTAAGAAAACATTTAGTGAGACACTGTGATTAGGCAAGTCTATTTCAAATAAACGGCCTATAATTAAATTCCCTTTGGGGATTAATACATACTGTATTGTATAATCGTATAAGAAATCTATGAACTCTACAACAGAAAAAAAAAATCGGTACTTAAATACAGTCTCCACAAAATCTCCTCCAAAATCCTCCAAGAGTTTTCTCACAAAGTTTCGCACACGCCTCGTATTAATTATTTTCCGTGTAATGATCTTTTGATCATTAAAAATCAGTGGAAATATTAAAATAATAAAGTCCATTATTCAACCCCTAATTTTAACAAATTAAATAATGTTACTTCCAGTCTTAGTTTTAATCAGAAAAAAACGCCAATTTTACTGCTGAGCACGGCACTGCTTTCAACTACACTAGAAAACTTTTTTGCTTATTTTTCAAGTAATTTAAAGCTGTTACTTCATCACTCCTTCAATTGACAACAGTTTTAAGACAATTGATTCCAACGTCTATACCTACTTATTAAACTCGTTTTCTTCATTAGTTCACTACATTTCATTCATTGTTAGAAATGATATTCTTTGTTTTTTATAATTATCTGTTTCTTTTTTTGAAAATCGTAAAATAAGAAACAATAAAAAACTATTTACAATAGCAATTACATAGTTTGGCTACTTGTGAAAGAAGTTTCAATGAAATGAAAAAAATAAAAACTTGGCTAAGGACATTGTTGGTTCAAGATAGGTTCAGCGATCTTTCAATACTATATATTGAAAAAGATATTTCGAAAAATATAAAAAGCGATGATATTTTGAATATCTTTGCTGATACAAATAGATATTTGTCATCAAAATAAAATATCAATTATTTTTAAATATACGTTATTTAGTGTTTTTTTAAAACAATTTAAACATACCTATCTAGATTTTTAATGGCAATAAGTTTTACTTGTACACAGGAAGGGGGTGTGGGAGCGAAGCCCCGCCGGTTACTTTACATTGAATTATTATAGCCTCCACAAAAATTCAATCAAATATCCGCCTATGGCGATAAAGATTTTGAAAACTAATTTAAATTCGTCATAAAGTCTTCTTTAGATCGACTTTCCCACTTTTTTGATTTTGTCTCCCAAATTAATAGAATTAAACAAATTGGAAACATAAAAATTAATTTTTGGATATGTTAAGTACAAAATAAAAAAATATGAGAAAGTTGATCTAAAGAAGACTTTACGAAAAATTCAAATAGGTTTTCAAAATCCTTATCGCCTTAATGCCCGGAATACACGAGGCTAGTTTTTCAAGCTAGGATAGCAAGGTAATACTAGTAAGCTAGAAATAATAGCTTTGTGTAAACAGAACTAGCTTTGTTTTTAAGCTAGCAAGCTAGGGGATATTTTAATAAGCTAGCGTGTCAAGCCAGGCAAGTTTAATAGGATTGCGTTCTATTTTTTTTTGAGCTAGCACACCTCCCACCACTGAATTTACTATCTTAGATAGTGTTCTATCTCCGTGTAGACGGCAAAGCTAGTACATGATCGGCTAGCGCAGTGTTCACGCTTTTTATTACGCCACGTGGTTTATTAAATGTGAATCGGTATTGTTGATGTAGGTTTTTTTATACGTCAAAATGCCAAAATTAAGTGGTGATCTTAATTTAAAGTTTGTAGAATTATATCACGAAGAAGAATGTCTATGGAATGTCAGTATTCCATCGTATAAAAATAAATCTATGCGTGATACATCACTACAAAAAATATGTGCAGAATTGAATACAATCGGCATACAAATGACAGTTAATGAAGTAAAAAATAAAATTAAAAATTTAAGAGCAACATACTGTCAAATGTCAACAATTGAAAAATCAACCAGGTCCGGTGCAGGTGCTAATGAGGAGTATAAACCTAAATTGAGTTGGTTCGAGGAAATGCATAATTTTATAAAAAATGTTCCAATGAAAAGAAAAACAACCGTAAGTTATATTTATTTTGTAAATAATTAATAAATAAATTAAAATAAATTTAACTACCTATTTAATTATTAATTCATTTATTATTATTCTTAATATTAAATATTATTTACAATATTATTAATGAATCATATTTCCTTGCCATGGCACCGCACCCTCGTTGTTAAAATAGTCTTTAATGGTTTCTCTTTTTTGGACTGCTGAAATCGAAGGATGGTTACTTCCTTGTCGACATAAATTTTCTAAGCCTGTAGTTTCTGTTCTCCATGTACCATGAATAATATTTCTTGCCTCAGTATCTTCACGGTCGATATCACAGTGCGTTATATAATTATTTCGTTTTTCTTTTCGTAACCAATTATGCAAACCAAT